CAGTTAGGTCCATGATTCACACATGCCTTCATCACTATAATCATAACAATCTTTAAACAAATTATTTCATTTGATTTTATCTTATTCATTTGTCCAACAAACATTTGGCATGGATAATTATTCTGCTTACTCACAATGGAAAGCTAAATATAAAAGTTGAGCAATAGGACTCGTATTCTGTTTACAATATCACATACTCGGTTTGAGCCTTCCATATACAGTGTATGCATGTACATGTAATGGCATTCTCAACAATTCCAAATTGCACTGTGATTTCTAATTCCTTAAAAGACATCAAATATGGCAATGATAGTTCGGTGATCGTTACAAGCAGTTTTTATGTTTGTACCTCATGTCATGTACACAAGTATTGAAATCTAGAGCAAAAAGCAGCATACAAGGTAAATCCCCCCCTCCCCTCCAAAAAAAAATAAATAAATAAATAAATAAATAAATAAATAAAAAATAAATAAATGAAAAAAATAAAAAATCTTACCAGATTCTAGTTACTTTCTCTATAGATATTGTGTTGTTAAACTTTTTTGTGATTTATGCTGGTGGTATGCTTGTACACCCCATGTACAATTATGCATGTCAAAAATCATCTTCAAAATTTCTTAAGGGTTATGATTCTCATTTCAATAAATCGGGCTAAACACAGCAAAACACTTATTTTTAAAATGTATTGGTACTCAGCATTTTGATCGTGGTAATTTTTCTCCTACCCCCCCCCCCCCCATTCTCCAAATATAAATACATCCTGGCTACCTGCCTAAAGAGAAGTGAGATAAGATAAAGGTATAGTCTCAAGGTATAGCACTGTCAGATTATCATTAACCACAATCAATCAAAAGAAAAGAAAAGAATGAAGAGATTTTGAGGATATTAACTCCATCCCTACCTTTACAAACCTTTCTCACAAAAATTATATCGACGTCACGCCTCTTCTCTTTTGACCCAGACTTTCCTCTTACCCTTTTTCCAAACCTCAAATCCCCAATGAGTTTTAAGTGGATACCTCTCAGCTTAAGTCAGTGAACCTGTATTTAATTACTGTATGAAGAAAATATAATAGATGACATGCAATGATTCTTAATTTTGATCAAACATGTGTATGTATAGTGTTCACAGAGAGGGGTTCAATGGTCAGAACAGAAAATAAACAAATCATCACAACAAAAAAATATATATATTTGATCTACGAAAGAACAAATTGAAAGGCAATTTAATAAAGGGAGGGAGAGAATATTAGAGAGGTACATGTACATGTTGATAGTTCTTCCTACATGTACATGTATACTGACCCAATAAACAACTTTTTGGCCACTACTCATAATTCTAAAATATATTTGTAGTTTCTGTTTTGATCTCAACTGGCTGATCTAATTTTGCAAATCAGGTACCCAACCCTACTTCTTCCTTTTCCCTCGCTAAATTAAGATATGATCTTGAGTCTTGACCTACTTGTAATTCCACACAGCCTTCACCCTTTGACCAGACAAAAATATACAAAAAATAGTGATATGTCGGTCAGTTTTTTGCAAACCCAATTTCAAGACAAAAAATGACTTTGCATTAAATAAATTATAGACATTTTTTATCAAATACAACATTTATAAAAGTTTGTGATTTGATGAAAAGACACCATGTATGTTTCTATACCATTTGAAGGACATCATTTGGTTTACTGTTTGATACATGTAACCATTCTGTTATGCAAGCCCAAAATTACAATCAGGAATGAAAGTTTTTAAAAAAATGTGTTTAATACCGGAACTTAAATTATGATTTTTAAGTTTAAGAAACCCTCATCTTGGCCTTAATCTTTAATGTGAAGAATTAAAATTTAATAAATTATGCTCGACGTATGGACAGAAGTTATTACATTTAATATAAAACTTAAGCTATATTGGTAATGATTAAGAGCTTTGCCAAGGGCTTTCTTGTTTGATATTGTTTGAAATTAGTCAGACCAATTTTTACCTAACTCCATCAATTACATTATATGTATCATCTTTATTCAGCGTAATAAACAAAGAAGTAAACAGTAAGGCCAATGCATATTGTGGTTTAACTGTGAATGACAACCCTGTTGAAATTTCACAAAGCAAAGTTAAAATTGGCTTCTAAACTCCAATATTGTGATGTACCAGTAAATGAGCTGAAAGGTCAAGCGATTCATTTTTCTAGGAGCAATGCTAGATAAAATCAAGAAAGAATACATGTATCATCCAAGCTGACATTCTCTACTAGTGCTATTAGAATCATTAGATCAGACACAATTTTATCTTGTCTCTTACAATCCTGTGCCAAAGTGTCAAGATTTTTCACTCTCTACATGAATTTGACTCCAAAAGAAATTGATCTTGTTGTAAGGAGGATTATGGTATTGGTAGTTTCAGTCCTATACTGATAAGCTTGTAAACTTAGTAGGTGGGCTATGACAGGCCATCAAATTAGTTTTGACAATGGGATATGCCTGCGTTTTATATTCTGATGTGAGGAGGAGTGACAATGTTATGACTCAGATATATTAAAGGCAGACAGACAGAATATGAGGAAAGGCCTATTGCCATGTTATGAACAAATTAGGGTAAAATGTTCTTGATCATGATGCATGTTTACCTCCTTCAAAAATTGTCAGGATTTAAATCCTTTGACACGAGTCCTCTCTTACTCTTTTCACACTGGTTTTGCTTAACCCCGTACTTTGCTTAGCCCCGTACTATCCTTAACCCCGGACTATTTTTTTGGCTTTTCACACTCGCTGTTTTTAGTCCCGTACTAGCGCCTATTCCGGAATAAGAAAATTCCCGCTGTTCTCACTGCATTTCGTTAACCCCGGATATCGTGTATGTTATGATAGGACATACTTCGCATCTGGCCAGCTGCGATACGCTCCATTGCGTAGTACCGGACTATTTTTCGTTTCTGTTCTCATTCACTTGCTTAGCACCGCAATTGCGGGGTTAGCAGGAGTTAGCACCACAATTGCGGAGTTAGCCCTGCTATTTTGCAGGGTTAGTTAACCCCGTACTATAGGTGGGGTTAGCCAACTTTAGCCCACTTTGGTAAAAACCAGTCTGAACAGAAAGTGGAATAGGCTTAACCCCGTACTATAGGTGGGGTTAAGACCCCCCCTTAACCCCACCTATAGTACGGGGTTAAGGAAAATATTGCCAGTGTGAAAAGCATATCTGTGGTAACACCTTTTATCAGTACTTACATCATGTAGGCGTAATCCTCTATAGATTTATATGGTCTTAAATTCTAATCAAGATATGATAATAATATTTTACACAGGTTTTAATGCTTCATATTGAACATGTCTTTTATTCAAAGAATTAATTTACTTGTAGGATGATGGCTCAAAAATAAATGAAAATAACTTTTAGGTTAGCTTACATGTAGTCAGTAAAACACTAGTAGAGATACTGTGGCATATAGTCAGCTGCATTTATTTTAGATACAGTTGTACCCATTTATTCCAGATATTTTAATTTTTTTTCCTCAAGTAAAAAACCAAAAATGATTCAGGGGGAAAAAAAGGCATCAAAAAAAAAAAATTCCCTCCTTTTGATTAAGAAAATTGAGGAAAAAAAAAATCAGGAATATTAGGTAAAATAAGGGAAAAATCAGGGGAAAAAAAATTGGGAACCAGATTTAAATCGAGTAATTATCAGGCCTGATATCAATGATCAGTTTTAAATTTTATTAGATGACTTGACGCTGCAGGATATTATTTGATTCATCAATAATTGTCTAATAGTGAAAGAAGTACATATTATGCAAAAGAATCTGATGTAAAATTGAACACGACACCAGGTACATTCCCTTTGAAAAGGTGAGCACACCTGTAAACTTTGGAGAGCTTCCAAACAAAAGCGGTAATGTGAAAGCAATATAAAAGTCATTTTGCATCAATCTCATCAGGATTAGATTTTACTGTGAAATAGGTCACATCCATCATCCCATTGTTTCATCATGGATAAATCACAGAGAACTTGACACCTGATTTAAACACCTAGGGACCAAGTTGGCTGAGTATCTAATGCAGATGATTAGAAGTAGATATCATCACAGGATGCCCACCTTGCTTCCTCTCAACCTATCTCTGATGAAAACAGCTCTAGGAATCAAGAAAACACCTTGCACAGGTCTCACCTTCTTTGAGTTACTGTGCATGACAAGTACACACACATACAGGTACAAGTATATACCAAACATGATGTTAACATTCATGTTTCATGTAAAGACATTATTTATATATTTCAACTTGTTCTTGGTATAAGAATCTCACGATGCACTCCTAAACAGGATCATAAATGGCTGATAGTGTCATTTATCATTAAAAAAAACCTAGTTGTTTTAATGTCACAATACACACCTATTCTTTTCTTTCACTGTTTCTCTATAGATAGATCTACACATGTATACATGTATAGACTCTATGTACAGTAGATATTGAATTGATCTAGACCCTACTTGCCAAGGGAAGCATAAGATCATTAGATACGATCAGGCCAGTTTAAGGAATTGATAGTGCATCTGAATTTATTTCATTAAATATTCTCTAACAGTTAATTTTTCAAAAATGCAATTTAACATTACAAGATATGTAGAATAGTGAAACATGAAAAATATAATTAATTTTTTATCATTTACACACCAGTGCCCCATAAACCTAACAAAAAGGATTTCCCATCAGTTGGACCAAATTTTGTATAGCCTACAGTGTACATTTAGGTTTAGATAACAATATTTCTCAATTTCCATCATGCTGTTTAAAAATTCAAATATTTCAGTCACGGTTTGTAGTTGGGTGTAGTCATCAGTAATCTATTTAACAATGTGGAATATTATAAAATAATACAAAATAATTAATAACAAGAATTCCACAACGGGTAGATATATAGCACAGATCAGACAGAGACAGTCTCAGAGAGAGAGAGATAGAGGTTGAAAAGAATAACTCTAGGGCTAGTATCAGAGTGACTTACTGGATCATTAGATGGATGGTCAGGAGAAGGTGTATGAAACATTGGATTGATAACAGCCCGATCACAATGTTCAAGCATCTTCATCTTATTAAGAGCTTCAGCCGGTGGGATCCGGTACTGTGATTGTGTAACCTGAGTGATGTATGCTGGATTCGTCACATTGCCTCTGAATCTACGCTCGGGAGGGGCAGCAGGTCGGTTCCGGTTCCGGGTATGAGAATTCATCTCTCCGTTTCTTCTAAGTAGTGACTTAGGTCCAACAGGCATGAGTCAGTGATTCTTGGACAGTTTACTCAGAAAGATATGAATCACTGCAAAGATGAAAAAAGTAATAATTATGACAAAATGATGTGTATACACTAAAGATTAATTGTATAGGAGAAGTTGGAAGGACAAAATACATTAATTGTCCACCAGAGAATCTTTGTGTCAAAAATGTTGAAGATTACATTTACAAAAATTTAATATTTCATACTTCATGTACATTTTGAAAGAATACATGTACACTGTCTAGGTGAATTGGAGATGAGGTTAAAATCAAACCCTTGGGCAGCACTAATGTTCTTTGGCAAGCAAGACATCTAATTAATCAGCATTTGCCACTCTCTATTCAGGTGTTAAAATGCCTACATTATATAGCTAGAGACAGGGTAATATTGGAGCACCATCAAGGTGGATTTAAGACCTATACAAAAATCAAATAATATTATCTATATAAAAAATGAAATACTTAATGACAAATCTTTGAGTTCTGTCTCTACTTATCTGATACTCGATGATTGAATACGGTCTAATTAGATTTGGTGATTCAAGATGTTCAGGATATAAAGGATATTAGCTGAAATGATGAGAAGCAATAATTCATATCATGTATATATGTCATCACAGGAGAGGAAACCATGGGGCAACCTTGCTAGACAATTTATCTCAATTATATGCAATATTGCATTCCATTGATACACATCTCAATACTCATAATCAACTATTCTGTACATCCAATCTTTGAGTATTACTAGATAGGTATAGATCCCTAAAGAAAAAGCTGCTAAGCTACACTGTACATGTACATGTATGGAGCTCCAGCCAACCAGCCAATTAAAGCTGAACAAGCCATGCTTGCCTGGCATTAAGCTACAAAAAACAGATAAGATCTGAAAGTAGTCATGTACAATGTATCTACAATGTATGTATACCAGAAAAAGCATTACATCTTGTGCTTTCAGAACTATAGTACGGATGACGATGCAATTTGACTTCAATATTTAATGTTTTTCGAAAAGAAATCAGATGACCATACAATTGTATTTCATCATCTCGTGGATGATGGTACACCAAGTATGGAAACAGTGGATGTACATGTATCGGTATGTGTTTAAGTATGTATGCTAAAGCTCAGATGAATGAACGCACATCTACATGTACCATGCAAAAGTGTTTCGATAAAGGGGGACAAAATAGTTTTCCCTTTGATTAAATAGCATGTTAAATTGTTAATACAAAACATAATGGTGGGAGTGATGGTAAAAGTACTAGGTTTCATGCAACTAATAGTAATAATATTGAATAGATTCTCTTTTTTAGTAAAAAATGTTACATTGCACCCACTTGACAATATTTCCCTCACCATGCCAACCATGAAAGAACTCCTGATACCAGACGGTTATTTCTGTCTATCAAAAACTTTAAGCTTTAAACTTTAAGTACCATAAATCTCTGTGTATAAGACACACTTTTTTTTCCGCCGGAAAAAAAAAAATCAAAATTCGGGGTTGATCTTATACACAGGTACAGGATATTTTGAATCCTCAAAATGCTGCTGTTTAGTGGTTTTCAAAAATCTCTGTGTCTCAACATGAATTACATAATGCAAATAAAGAATAGGATCTACTATTTGAAGTTAAACTACGTTCCTAATTTGAAGGGAAGAGAGTTTTCTATTTTTTTCAGTCTCAATAAATTATGCCCTTTCACAAAGCACTTTGCCGGCCGAAGCTCTCCCGTGCCTTCAGCTCACTCACCCGGTTCATGCAGCTCACTCACACGGGGAATATCGACTCACCACTCGAAATCTAGCCTGTCCAAATTTCTGTTCGGACTCAGAGCAAATTTTTTCTGTAATCTTTAGTTTTAAAAACAACATTGTTACTATTATTTGTGACAAGTTCACAAGCCCTTCAACTGCGCCTCGTAATAAATCAAAGACCTTCCTTGCATGGCTTGGGTTTCTGAACGTACCTTACCAAACGCTGAAAGAAGACGCTATCTGATCTGACTTGCTGCCTTCAGTGTCGGCAAAAAAGCAAAAGCAAAAGCAAAAAAAAAAATTGGTCCTAAAAATAGGGTGCGTCTTATACACAGAGATTTACAGTAGATATAAATTACGAGGAACGTGTACCCCTCATACATGTACATAATCAAAAGACTCATATCTGTTGCTCCTCTTGAGAAATGAAAAAATAAACTAAATATAATTTGGAGTCTGTTCGGTGATATTTGCTTGTGGACTAATACTTTGTTCACAAAGACTTCTAATGTCCACATTAGTCCACATGCTATTAAATGCAGTTTTAATGCCATGCTACTCATCCAACACAGGCCATCTACAAATTAAACAAAAATAATGAAGAACAATTTTGATTGATTAAGATTTAACTTAGACTGGAACAATTATAGATCTATGTATAGACTACATGTATCGTTCTTAACTTCTAAAAACACAACATATTAATGGACCTAATTCATAATAATTTCATTTTATTTATAGAGAGTAGCCACATTAGTATTGATACTGCTCTTTAAGTATTATGCAGTCCCTACGAAATAACCTTTTAATGATTGAGACGCACATCATATGATTTTTAAAAATAAAATTAGGCCTAGAGGTCTAGGCCTACCTTCAACTTATTAAACTAAGGTTTGATTAAACTTACTAAAGCTACCTGAATATCTGATGAAGTAAAAAAAAAAATCAGAAAAATATTAGGTACGTGACAAACAGCTGCATCGTGCGATATGCAAGCGTACATGTACGCATGTTGCTTAGCTGCGACATGAGCTACCATGAGCTACCTACCTAACCGAAATCGCTGAATATGCACGACTCGAACAAACAGAGCCCTTCTCAACCTCGTGCATATTCAGCGATTTCGAGCGATCGGCGCTCGATAGCCTGAATATTCATATTTTCTTCGCCACTGCCGCGCATGCGTACCTTCTCATCGCTATTTTGAATCAATGCTGCGACATGGAAGAATCGTTGGTGTAGTATCCCGAATTAACCTTTTTTTCCCATCGAAGACTTCTTCAAATTATACATTCAAGTGATTGGAGTTGAGCCCTGAGGAGTCGTGCACCCTATGATGTAAAAATTGTAAGTACTCCCTTTGCAGATTTAACAATAATATCACCCAATCGGTTGTTTTACTAGCCCCCAAGAGAAACCAAGGAAACCACCCGAAGCTCCGACGCCTGTGTCGCCGGTGTTGGAGCTTCCCGGAGTTAATTTTGGGGTAGACCGAAAGCTTCAGTCTCTATACCGTCGGTTGTTCCACTGAGACTACGTCTGGCTCCACTAGACCTCCGGTTATAGAGACTGAACGATCGCCTATACCATCGTATGTTGAAGATATCACGGCTAGATTTTAGCCGCTAGGCCACTCCCACAAACATGACAAACTTGCCACGGCCGTATTGTTATGCCCCCAAAATCCCCCAAAATGTCATTTTACCTCGTCCATATCCAATTTTAAATTAGGCCTAGGCTATAATACATCGGTTCCACTTACTAACTTGATTGAAATAATCCGTTTAATGGTCCCTTTTAAGGAAATTATGGGTCAAAATCGACATCCATGTTGAAAATCTTGCAAGCCGTGTTAAACTCTCGCTGCCGTCAATCTCATCCCTTCTAGTCTACACCGAAGGCAAAATGATTATGAAGGAAAAACTGTGCGCCATCTACACGTTCGTAATGGCGTTATCACAGTTTTAACACGGCTTGCAAGATTTTCAACATGGATGTCGATTTTGACCCATAATTTCCTTAAAAGGGACCATTCAACGGATTATCTCAATCAAGTTAGTAAGTGGAACCGATGTATTATAGCCTAGGCCTAATTTAAAATTGGATATGGACGAGGTAAAATGACATTTTGGGGGATTTTGGGGGCATAACAATACGGCCGTGGCAAGTTTGTCATGTTTGTGGGAGGGGCCTAGCGGCTAAAATCTAGCCGTGATATCTTCAACATACGATGGTATAGGCGATCGTTCAGTCTCTATAACTGGAGGTCTAGTGGAGCCAGACGTAGTCTCAGTGGAACAACCGACGGTATAGAGACTGAAGCTTTCGGTCTAATTTTGGGGTAGACCCTATGTACTTTAGATCTAGGGTATCTCCACGCCGGAGTTACGGGTCAAAAAATGGATATGAAAGTAAACTAGTGCTGAATTTTGTACAGTGGTGTTTGAAATGTTGAGACTCCATTGAACATAATACACAGCCAGGATTATTAATGAAGCCATGTCATGTGATTAAATATCAGATCAAATCAATTTTGAAGAAAAAAATAGCCAGGCATGGCCATGGGTCTCTAACTTTCTAAGTAATATCTGTAGTCTACAAATAGTTAATGAAGTTACCTTTAAACTGTGAGCCCTACACATTTTCAGCCACCTACAGAATGCAAGAAAAACAAGGATTGGAAACCAATACAGTATACAGTGTGCATGAGATCTGAGACTGAGCTTACACACTGCACAGCAGCTATCTGTAGCAGCGACGGACAAAAACCGTCCACAACGACTCGTGCAAACACAGCCTGAACTCCCCGCACACAAAGCTACGATTCGCTAGCACTGGAGAGACGAGTCTTCTTCATTTTCGGTACAACCAAGCTAACTTACTACCCAAAATTTTGTTATCAAATAATTAATCCATATTATTATATTATATGCGTTGATTCGATGCGAATACTCACATGGTAATGGATGAGAGAAAGACTCAAGAAACGAACAAATTCCATGAGATTAAAGCAGCTCCACCCAGAAATTTAACGAAGATTGTATGATTGTAACTGTAGCAGTCGTCTTCTCTATATATTCGATACAGATTCACAATTTGATATCGTGATCGCCCAAAAGTTGGTACGTCAGACATCCCCCCCCCCCCCCCCACCGAACTCTGGACCCCTATATTATTTATTTATTTAAAGAACTTTATACAGGATAATATGTTCAGATTTACTGGGTTTTTTTTCCAACATGGTCCTGTTAACATTAAAAAGCAAATAACATATGTTTCAAATACAATCATTTTTTTTCAAGTCTTGAATAAAACCTCATTTGAATTGAATTGAATTGAACTGCATAAAGTGGACATAAAAATTCAAAAAATAGTAAAAACTCAGAAATGTAAGTATCATTAGATATAACATACTACTGTATCATACATTTTAATAAAGTATTAAAAATACGAAAAAGTACAATAGATACAAAAATTTACAAAATAAAATTAAAAACAAAACTTCTTATAAATCAATTCAAAAGTTTCAATTGTTTGGGCATTTTGTATAGTGTGGAATGCCATTCCAGCGCGCGCATTTAGCACCGGAAAATGTAAAGGCCGCTGTTTAAAGATTGAGAGGTCGACTTCTTGGATCTTGGATCTTGGATCTTGGATTATTTTCCTCCTAAATACTCCGAAGGAGAGTTTTGACTGGAGGTGGGCCGGGTGGACGATTACATTTTGGAAAAAAAGTTCTTTAGTAACTGCATTTTTAAATGAGAGCGGGGAGGTTTGGTCGATGGTTGCTTGTTGTAGGTTGTTGAGGTTGTTCCATGTCTTTACAGTCCTTGGGAAATATGAGTTGGCATAGACGTCCGAGTTGCATGGTGTGGCGAATTTCAAATTGGTTGGAGTGTCCTCGTCTACGTCAGTCTGGCTTAGGGTTGGTGTGAGATTGGTAGTCGATGTCGAGTTGTCCCTTGATCATTTTGAAGAGGCAGGTAAGACGGTGTGCTTCCCTTCTGTCTTTAAGAGATCCCCAGTTGAGTTGGTTGAGTAGCTTGGTAACGCTGGTGTCCCATCCATATTATTATTGGTGACAAAACGTGCAGCTGACGTTGAACTTTCTCGACAGCATAGGTGTTTTTGGCTGTATAAGGGTCCCATGCTGCAGTGGCGTAGTCAAGGTGTGGACACAACTTTTCTTTAACATTAGATGAGCAGTGATGGAAGTTGCGTCTTAGGAAGTTAAGGACCCTTTGCCGGTTGCATAATGAGTCTGGCTATTCCAGCGTATAGGTCTTTCTGGATATTGATGCCAAGGTATCGGGTCTGGTTCGTTTCCTCCAGGGTAACATCAAGGATTTTGTAGGATTTAGTACCCGGTGTTCTCTTTCTTGAAACACGCATGGTTTTGCATTTAGAGGGATTGAAATGCATGCCCCAAGTCTTGGACCACTGGACTTGGGTCTTGTTGAAGAGCTTTCTCATCTTCAGCAAATTTGATGGGACGGTAAAGTAAACAATCATCAGCAAAAAGTCGTGTTGTACGTACTGTTAACCTTTTCATGAATGTCATTGATGTGGTCAGAGTAGAAAAAGGTGAGGGCCTAATACAGTGCCCTGTGGAGTGCCACTGAGGACTGATAACCACTCGGAACATTGACCATTTACACAGACACGTTGCAGTCTCTTTGTCAGGAAACTAGATATCCATCTCTTATTATTTGCTCGAATACCATAATAGTCTAATTTCATGAGGAAACGCTGGTGCGGGATGACATCAAAAGCCTTTGAAAAATCAAGCACTGCCATGTCTGTGGTGATATTTTTGTCTTAAGTTCTTGGCAAGGTCATTTGTTGTGGACTTCATGTGGGAATTAATAAGACTATCATTAGTCCTAGTATGGTGATTATGTCGTTCACAAAATATTCCGAAATCATTACAAAGCTGTGGAGGGGCTATACCATGTATTAAACATTTTGTGAGAAGAAAGTAGTCTTTTCTTTCATTAATGTCTTGCCAAGTTAATTGTTTTTTGTTTTAATTGTGTTTTGAAAGCAATATTCAGGTCAAAGTTGCCAGTTATAAAACGTGCGGCTCGTTTTTGTAATCTTTGAAGTTGTGTTTTATAGCACTGTTGGCCCAGACAAAAATACCATAATCAATGCAGGGCTGTTACAGTAATGTAAATTTATAAAGAGTGTTCAGTAAAGAAGAACTAAGGAATTTCCTCAGTTTCCCACGAGAACGGATCTTGTATCCAATATATTTGCATAGGTTATTTACATAAATATCCCATTTTAAATTTTCCTGAATTTCAACGCCTAAGTATTGTATGGACTTGACCTGTTCAATTTCAATTCCATCAATTCATGTTTTCAGAATGTCATGAGAACGCGTTTGCAGTAAGTTTTCAGTCAACATTTTTGGTCAACATTGATCCTTTGTACCAATGATTAATAGAATCAATATTTGATTGAAGTTTAGAGGTAATTGTCACATCTTACCCTATCTCGAATAAAATAATACCATCAGCATATATTGTTGTAACACCAGATTTAATTGATTGTGATATAATCATTGATAAAAAAGTAAAAATATGATCGGGGCAAGTACTCCTCCTTGTAGTACCCCTAGTGACAGCTTCACCCAGAAATTTAATGAAGATTGTGTGGCAGGCGTCTTCTCTAGATTCACAGTTTGATATCCTGCTCGCCCAATCGCTGATACGTCAGACCCCCCCCCCCCCCAGGGGCGTCTCCAAAGGGGTGTGGAGGTGTGACACCCCCCCCCCCCCCCACCTGTCAGGATATTGTCGGTAAAATTGCGCTGCCGTCGGGAAAGAAGAGAAAAGGGGGAGGGGAAAAAAGAGAGGGAAAGGGAAAAAAAGAAAAAAGAAAAGGAAAAGGAAGGAAAGAAAGGAAAAGAAAGGAAAGAAAGGAAAGAAAGGAAAAGAAAGGAAAGAAAGGAAAAAAAGAAAAGAAAGGAAAGAGAAGAGAAAAAAGAAAAAGAGGGAGGAGAGGAAAGAAAGGAAAAGAAAGAAAAGAAAGAAAAGGAGAAAAGGAAGGAAATAAGAGAGAAAAGGAAACAAGAGGAGGTAAGAGCCTGGGAGAGGAGAGGGTGGGAGTAAAAGAGAGTGGGGCGTTGTTGTGTGGAGTCGTCTCGTCGAGGGAGCAAGAAAGATGTCGGGTTAGCCGTGTCGTTATTCTTGCTCGATCCTTGGGTACTATATAAATGCAGGAGTTTGAAGTCGGTGAGATGTCGGTTGACCCAAAAGTTTTTTTCCCCTATTAACTGTGACTTTTATCCGCTGTGACGACATCGAGAGAGACTACACAACTATAATACTTGTATCCTATAATATCAGCTAAAGAAATCAGAGGTTTAAAATTTTCGGGTAAACTAAATTCAAACAAGGATTAAGAGTCAAGAGCGGTACAACGAATCGTCCTTTTTTCTCTAATATTTTAATGAAACGCCAAAGCTTTCGCGCTTTGCGCGGGAGGAAGGAAATTGAATTCAGACAACGATTAAGAGTCGAGAACAGTAGAACAGATCGTCTGCTTTTTCTAATAATTTAAGGAAACGTCAAAGCTTTCGCGATTCGCGCGATTGGGGAAAACTGAATTCAAACAAGGGAGAACAGTACAACGAATCGTCTTCTTTCTCAAATAATTTAATGAAACGTCAAAAACTGAATTCGGACAAGGATTAAGAGTCGAGAACGGTACTACGAATCGTCAGTTTTCTCTCATAATTTAATGAAACGTCAAAGCTTCCGCGCTTCGTGAGGGAGGGGGAAACTGATTTTAGACAATTAGGGTTAAGAGTCGAGAACGGTACAACAATTTGTGACACTGGCAGGACACACATTGGTGTTGGGTCCAGGGGGCGGAGCCCCGTAAGCTCAGCGGTTTTATACATTAAATTATCGTCAGATGTGCATATTTTATACCTTATTTGTGACACTGACAGGTCACGAATTGGTGTGGGGTCCAGGGGGTGGAGCCCCTGGAAACTCAGGGGTTTTGGGCAATAAATAACGGTCAGATGAGCATATTTTTATACCTTATTTGTGACACTGGCAGGACACAATTTGGTGTTGGGTCCATGGGGCGGAGCCCCCAGAAGCTCATGGGTTTTATACATTAAATTATCGTCAGATGAGTATATTTTATACCTTAATACACTGGCAGGTCACGAATTGGCGTGGGGTTCAGGGGGCAGAGCCCCCGGAAGCTCAGGGGTTTCGGGCAATAAATAGTGGTCAGATGAGCATACTTTTGCCTGAATTTGGGCCCTAGGTGAAATCCAAGGGGCAGAGCCCCCTGAAGCTCTGCATCTTCATTCATTGTAGACTTCCAGTATGAAAAACATTCACCATCTTTTCCCTTTTTCCCCTTCTTTTTTTTGCCAGGGGGGGGGGGGCTCCCGTGCCCCCCCCCCCTGAATCTGCCACTGGTGGATGGATCCATAAATGTTTCTGTGTTTATGTTCCAATTAACCCAGTCCCATTCATTATCTTTCTCTTTCTCTTTCTCTTTCTCTTTCTCTTTCTCTTTCTCTTTCTCTTTCTCTTTCTCTTTCTCTTGCTCTTTTTCTTTCTCTTTTTCTTTTTCTTTTTCTTTCTCTTTCTCTTCCTCTTTCTCTTCCTCTTTCTCTTTCTCAATCTTTTTCTCTTTCTCTTTCTCTTTCTCTTCCTCTTTCTCTTCCTCTTTCTCTTTCTCATTCTTTTTCTCTTTCTCTTTCTCTTCCTCTTTCTCTTCCTCTTTCTCTTCCTCTTTCTCTTTCTCTTTTTCTGCCTAGCTGCATGGACGATGGACATTTGAAAGTGGGTGGCCGACTGGCAGTGGGGGCTTGGGGTCTTCGATCATTTATGGCTGAAGGGATACTTTTGGAAATGTGATGGTATCTCAAGTAATGCGAGACATGTACTTTGATTAAAAGTGAGAACAGTATACAAATCATGAGGATCCCTAAAAAACATATAAATATCCTGTAAATTCAAATAAATTGTAAAAAACATAGATGTGCACGCACCCCATATTCATTATGCAAATTCTGGGATATATTTGTGGGTTTTGGGTGGGAAGGCCCATCTGGTATACAACTGGTTTTTAGCTGGGCCCGGCCGATGCTCGATGTGCAACTTTCACCACCAAAAGACACACATGGGGCCCACCTGTGTTGATATACATGTGGGTTTTGGGTGGGAATGCCAATAAGGTTTTTTTATGGGCCACGTGGGCTACGTGGACATAATATACTTGTGGTTCTGGGTGGGAAGGCCCATCTGGTATACATCTGGTTTTCAGCTGGGCGAAGACAATGTTCGACGTGCGATTTTCACCACCAAAAACCCACATGGGGCCCATATGGGGCCTATATGTGTTGGTACTTATGGGTTCTGGGTGGGAAGGCCCATCTGGTATACATCTGGTTTTTATATGGGCCACGTGGGCTCCGTATACCTGTGGGTTTTTGGTGGGAATGCCCATCTGCATGGTATACATCTGGTTTTCAGCTGGGCCCAGCCGATGTTCGACGTGCGATTTTCACCACTAAAAACCCACATGGGGCCCATATGGGACCCATACTTGTGGGTTCTTGGTGGGAAGGCCCATCTGGTATACACCTGGTTTTTAACTGGGCCCAGCCGATGTTCGACGTGCGAGTTTTCACCACCAAAAACCCACATGGGGCCCACATGGGGCCAATATGCGTGGGTTCTGGGTGGGAAGGCCCATCTGGTATACATCTGGTTTTTGTATGGGCCTCGTGGGCTTTAGTCAGCCCATACAATTAAAACCCAGATGGGCCCATTTTGCTATGCGTTCTATAGCTGTATGGTTGCACAGTCGTATAGTTGTATAGTTGTATAGTTGTACAGTTGTACAGTTTCCTGCGTTCTGATTGGTTAAAACTTAAAACCGTACATCCATCCGATCGTGAATCGCCTAGCAGGCTGAATACCACTATATCGCTCCCGCCTATCTTGTCATTTTTTGAAGAACCATCTTATTGCCATCCATATAGATGTTATCTAAGCATTCAAGCAAATGCATGGAGGCTGTAGGACAAACTTGGCTGTATATTTTGTGATAACTGAAACAGAACTGAGAGTGGAATATTTTTTCAAGATGCTACTAACTTACTACTAGTAGCCATATTGTACTACCCCATTGCACTATACTTTTACGCTTGACCAACACTGCAATACAATAATGTATTAACAAGTAGATCGACTAGAAAGGGTGCAGAAAAGAACTATGAAAATAATCTTGGGACCTAATTACCAGTCATATGAGACAGCACTGAATCTAATGAATCTGTCTTCTTTGGCTGACAGAAGGAAGGAACTGTGTTTGAGTTTTGCAGAGAAACTGGTATCAAACGAGAAGGTATCTTACCTCATACCTCCTTGTATGAACATTAGAAGCCTACGCAAATCAAATACCAGAGAACAGTTAAAATGTAAAACCAAACGATTTCGTAACAGTCCAGTTCCCTACCTTATTGACTTGTTAAATTCACAGTAGTGATCATACACTTTGTCCACATTATTTCGTATAACATGTAAACTTATCCCCATAGTGATGAGGTAGAGGTGCTGTAGAATTATTTTATTTTATGTGAAATAGTATATAACCTTTTAACTAAGACGATTGTACAACCTTGATAATTGATTAATGAAAATGATAATATAATACGGTAAATCAAGATTACCATTGTTAACTTATGTAATGATTGAAACATACTTGCCACATATTTATTACTAGAAAAATCTCAAAATTACCGTATTTCATGTCTCTAATCTGATTGCATACCTACCGATCAATTTACAATATATTTTATCCATAACTCACCAATGAAAATGTAAAATGTAATTTATTAATTTTTACAACCAGTATTCTCTCTGTCGAAATTGTACTTTTTACCTTATTTTCGATATGTCTGATATACACTCTCATCCTCAGCATTATCTTTTATATATATATATCCCAAGACGAAAATCCTATTGAATCCCCATTGAATATCCCCATTAAATCCAATTTGGAGTAAATGGAAAGTGAAACAATGGGTACCCATTGAAACCAATGGGGACCAATTGCCAATTGGTTCCAATGGGGACCAATTGCCAATTGGTTTCAATAGGTACCCATTGTTTCACTTTCCATTTACTCCAAATTGGGGACCAATAGCCAATTGGTTCCAATGGGGACCAATTGCCAATTGGTTTCAATGGGTACCCATTGTTTCACTTTCCATTTACTCCAATGGGGACCAATGGGGACCAATTGCCAATTGGTTTCAATGGATACCCATTGTTTCACTTTCCATTTACTCCAAATTGCCAATTGGTATTGAATTGGGATTCAATGGGGAAATTCAATGGGGATCCAATTGGTAAATCGATCCAGTTAGAAGAACCAGTGATAAATTATTGATACTTCATAATCGATATTGGCAACTGTCCACCAATTAGGTGTATTCCAATCTCATTTGCATTAACTTCATCACAACCTCATCATTTGAAGAGAATTCAAGAGTTTCATTTACAGTGACAATGGCTCATACAAATATATATACTAAATATGTATATTGTTTCTTGGTTAGTAATCATATAATCAATATATAAATCAATATATCTATTGCTAAAACGTGAATGTAATTGTAACATGATCAGACAAAATAATCTATTGGTTAATAATTGCTGAAGGAATAAAGAAATCACAAAATTGATGTGCATTGTCATAATTTGCTTAACAAATCATGATAAATTTATTTTTCTGTGACACGTGTAAAGTGATAATGAATATTCATGAGATGCCTAGATTTGTTGGTTTCAATTGGTCAATTGGTTTCAATGGGACCAATTGAAGTCCAAATTAAGGCCAATTGGTCCAATTGAAACCAATTGGGGACCAATTAGTCTAATGGGGCCTAGGCCAATGGGGCCAATGGGTCCAATTTGTCCAATGGGGCCAATCCGGACCAATTGAAACCAATTGGGGACCCATTAAAATCTAATGGGGCCTAGGCCAATGGGGCCAATGGGGCCAATTTGTCCAATGGGGCCAATCCGGACCAATTGAAACCAATTGGGGACCCATTAAAGTCTAATGGGGCCTAGGCCAATGGGGCCAATGGGGCCAATTTGTCCAATGGGGCCAATCTGGACCAATTGAAAACATCTGAGGTCCCATTGAAACCTGTTAAAACATATTGAGACCAATTGAAACCAATTGAAACCAATTGAAATTTCAATTGGTGTTCAATTGGTTTCAATTGGATTTTCGTCTTGGGATATCTCGCTTTGCATGTCTCTCTTTCTCTCGATCTTCCTCTCTCCCTTTCTCTCTTTCTCTCCCTCTCTGCCTGTCTCTATCTCACACTTTTCCTGGGTCTTTCGTGCTGTCTGCACTATTATCCTCCCTACCTCTCTTCTATATTTCCCTCCAGCCCTATGATGGTTGTGGAATAGAATGTTAAGCAAATTTTATGAATTGTATTAATTTGTATATATATAATAATAATAATAAAAACGTTACTTATAAAGCGCTTACCACCGAAGTCTCTAAGCGCTATACACACAAAATAGACTGATATACAATTACAACTTATACAAAACTAAAAATGCAAATAAACCTACAAATAACAATACATATGGAATACACATCAAAGTGAACAGAGATAATTAATCATCGAACGCAATTTTGAATAAATGTGTCTTGAGACTAGTTTTGAATAGGTTAATGGTTTGACAGTTTTTTACATTTAAAGGTAATTTGTTCCAAAGTTCAGCAGAAGCTTTGCGAAAGGAGCGATTACCATAAGAGAGAGTTGACACAGAAGTAGATACGAGGTTTAATTGTGAAGATGACCGTAAATTGCGTGAGGGTTTGTATTCCTCGATTAATTCTTGCAGATAAATTGGTGCCAATTCATGAATGCATTTATAAGTTAAAACTAAGATTTTGTACATAATGCGGTACGTCACCGGCAACCAATGCAATTCGCGAAGTACTGGGGTGATGTGTTCACAAGAACGTGTGCGTGTTACAAGCCTGGCAGCAGAGTTTTGGATTCTCTGGATATATGTGTAGGCCTACACTGATTTTTTAATTCATTCACTGCGTGATATGTCTTAATACGTTTTATGTTTGTATAAATATTTATGTTTTTACAATGTACAAAGTTCTGCAATTCAACCATCTGGCTGCAAATAAATTTTTAATAAAACCATTACCATTACCATTACCATATGGATGTATGGTTGTGTGATCCGATGGCACGTTCCGCCCGTCATACACACCAAGAAGATTCTACATCATAAACCTCACGATAAAAGTCGGACACAGGTGGGCGGGGCTTGAGGCCTGGCTGTACTGTGCTGTTTACTTTGTCCGTATACTGTGCGTGTATGTAGTATGTACATACAGCGAGATTGCTACTACTACCAGGGACTTGTTAGTGTATCCCAAGTCCCTGCTACTACATTGCATTACGAAGTAATCATGCCTCTCTTTGTCGACTCTATCGCTAGAAACCTGAAAAGACCCGAGACTGGTTTGGTTGGATCATTTATATTGGTAATTTTCATCATTTTCTGTTATTGTGTAAGGGTATAATGCTATAAGTATGGCAGAGTAGCCTAATTTATCAAGTAAATGCAAGCTGAAGCTGCATTTCATGTATTTGTATATCGATATGTACCAGACTTTATGAGTATGACTAGGAGTCCGTCCGCGTCCGCCTACTTTACTGTACAAGTTATGGCTGTGTAATATTAAGATGAAATTTGTTTGTTGTACCATTCTATAGAACAGGGTATCTCAAAGTTCTCTAAAGATAGAAAGAAAAAAGGTAAAACTAAAAGAGAAGAAGAAAGAAAAAGGAAAAAGAGAGAGAATTAAGGGAAACAAATATATAAATATGTATAATACTATTAAAATAAAAATTGCCACTCTGAGTAATGGCTCGGCAACGTACAAGATAGGATAGCAACCAAATCCCAGCACAGATTATGTGTATAATTGGCTGCATCAATGTATAAATCACTGGCTGATCGGGGGGGGGGGGGGGGGGGGGGGGGGGGCGAATCGCCTGCGGCCCTCCTTTAAAGCCGCCTAACAAATGGAAATGGGGAAAAAAGAGAAAATAGGGTAAAAGAGAAGAAGATAGAGCTAGGGTGGAGGAACAAGGAGAGGGAGAGAAAAAAGGAAGAACATGAAAGTTGAAACTTAGATTTACACCCGCAGATTATATTTCCAACGAGTTGGCTTGACATTTTTACTGTAAAAATTTAGGATTAGATTGTCTATTAAGTCTGGAACAAATTGAGCAATGTTTGAGTCGTGCCCGGCTTTCCAGCAATCATGTTGTACATTGTTCTACTTAGGTTAAAGTATACGGTCGACCATAAGAATTTTCAGGCGAATGGCATCCCACATTTCGGACCTTACAGCTTTCATAGAAATCACATCTTGGGGCATTTCACAAAACTTGTCATCAGTGACAAATGACAGTTTTTGTTATAAGCTTCTGGAATCCTTGCTTCTGATTGGTTGTCAACAGATTTGTCATTGATATTTGTCATTTGTCATTGAAAAAAGGCTTTCTGAAAGAGGTCCCTGGTTTGAGAAATCCTGCTATAGAATATGCACAACTACGAGGCTTAATATTTACAATTTCCCCTCTTTTTTTTCTTCCTTCCAAAGCGTTTATTAAAGAAAGTAAACCGTTCCCTTGAGGAGAAGGCTGTGGAGCATGCAGAGATTGAGCCACACCATCATGTCTTAGAAGTCGGCTTTGGCCCAGGGTTAGGACTCAAGAGAGCAGCACAGTGTGTCAAAAAAGGTAACAAAAATAATACAAATGACTTTAGGCTACATTGTAAGTCAAATATCCATACTATAATTAAAAATACCTTTTAGAATGATGATGCATAATGCTTAAAGAACTTGATGAAATATGTATGCGAATGCAAAAGTTGAATGCAATTTTGGGCTTGACCTCAGAAATACTTAATTGCATTTGAGCTTTCTTGCATTTATCATTTGTGTTCCTATTAGATTGCTATATTCAAGACCGAGCTGGAGTATTTAAAGTTGTTTAGATATTTTCGCGGAAGAGGTTTACGGTACACCATGTGTAAAGTCCTAGAAGGACTAAGGAAAGTGGATAGAAATAGAAGTGAAATGGAAAGGCAAGAAAGTGGAGGTTGGAATTAAGGAAGAGTATCTTTCGGAAGTGAGTATAGTCCTGAAAAGGACTGTAAACCAGAAAGTTGTAGACAGGATGAGAGGTTTGAGTAGAAGACTGGATTGAGTTGGAGAGTTGAGTAGATGAGAGAAGCTGGCTTGAGTCGGCGAGTAGAGTTGCAGAGCAGGAGCAGGAGAGTAGACTCGACGTTTCGGACAGGTTGACTGTCCGTCTTCAGGAGTGAGTGTTCGCTAGGCATGCGGCGGTCCTTATGGCGTGAGTGCGGACTTGGGGGAAAGCACTGGGCCGGCGGGCTCGGCGGGTTGGCAGGCAGCTGTCGGTGGTGGCGCTCGGTTGCGTGAATTGGCGGGAAACGAGTGGGCGGCGGCTATGCAGACGTCGTGTGGTTGGTGTCGGCGGAGTAGCGGGCGGTGTGTCGGCTGTTGAGTGGGTGTATCGAACGGCGGTGAGGACGGCTATTAGTGGTGTCGCTCTGTGTGTGTTGGTCGGCGGTTTCGGCGGGCAGGTCTCGGTGGGATCAGGTGAGTAGCTTGGTGGTGTCGGCGTAGGTTGTAGCGAGGTGTGGGCGTGGGCGGTGCTTGTGTGGGTGAAGTGGCTAGTTGAGAACGTGTAGTGCTTGGTTGAGTAAGTGTGGTTGGGTGGTTGCAGGTGGTGTCCGGGCTGACGGATGGATGGATTAGTGAAGTGTTGGTGGTTGGCGTGCTGGTTGTGGAGTTTGTAATGTTATGAGCTGAAGTTATGCAGCACTCCTAATTTGAATATAACTTACACCTGTATGTGCTCATTGTTAAACAGCCATGCACATTCATTCAGAAGCAACCATGCAGAAAGCACTCTTCAATACAGTACTCTTGGCACACAGAGTGTGTGATGTATTTAATGAGTAATTAGCCATGCACACATTCAACCCTCATACACTGCCTTATGTACTGGACATGTGAGAGTGGTAAGTTGCACTTGACCACTAGCATGCACAGCATAAGCATGATGTTTTAGTTACACCAATAAACTCCTGAACCTCAAGCAAAGATATGTGGAGCTTTATTACTTTCTTGACCCAGCTACATTCAGTAAAGTACTAACCAAGAAGTCTACATAACAAACCCACTATTTTTGACATGGTGGCATGTTCAAATTAGGAGTGCTGCATAACTTCAGCTCATAACATTACAGAGTTGGTTGAAGATTGGTCGGAAGTAGAATGGTGATGAAGGATTGGGTGCCAGATGCTGTTGATGTGAAGGCCTGGGTCTTGGGGTACGGTGTTGTGTTGGTGGATCTCGATGGCTTCTCGGACCCTTCGGGTGTTCCAATGTCGAATGGTGGTGATGAGGTGACTTTTATCCCAGTGAATGCGGTGGAGCTCTTGTTGTGCGTGCTTGACGATGGCTGACTTGTCCCAGTCGCTGCGTCAGTGGTGGGTCTTGTGTTCTTTCAGTCGGGTGTCTAAATCGCGGCCGGTTTCTCCAATGTAGACTTTGCCGCAGTCGCAGGGAATCTTGTTTTATAGTCCTTTTCAGGACTATATTCACTTCCGAAAGATACTCTTCCTTCCAACCTCCACTTTCTCGCCTTTCCATTTCACTTCTATTTCTATCCACTTTCCTTAGTCCTTCTAGGACTTTACACATGGTGTACCGTAAACCTCTTCCGCGATTGTTCATACCACCATGCAAACCTTCAAACATCTTTAGATATTTTGTTTGTATGTATTCCTCCTACATATATTCCTCCAGGCTCCAGCTTTTTTCCTATGGGCCCTTCTAATCCAAAAGAATCTTTTTTGTTTTCTTAATCATATCAGGTGAAGGTTAAATTCATGGCATTAATACCCCCTCCCCCTCTCTCTCTCTTTCTCTCTGCTTCTCCTTTGCCATCTTTTTCTCCCTACCGTCTCTATTTCCCCCTTTCCCTCTATTCATATCCCCTCCTCTCTCCCCTCCCAATCTCCTCATTTCACCCACATACTCCTATTCTCTTCTATTTGTGTCATTCAAGGAATTAATCTCTCCCTCTCTCTTCCACTCTATCCCTCCCTCCCTCCCCCTTTCTGTTTCTTTCTCATTTTCTGTTCAATCATTAGGTGAGGGAATGGTACATGGTATTGATTTCTCTCCAGCCATGATGACGGCAGCAATGGACCATCTAGAGCAGGAGATTGCAGATGACATAGTTGAGCTAACACTAGGCAATGCAGTCCACCTGCCTTACCGTGATAACTCCATGGACCGCATCTTCCATACCAACTGTTATTACTTCTGGCCAGACGTGACAGCGGTAACCAAGGAACTCTTCCGTGTTCTGAAGCCTGGTGGTCAGATGATGACTCTGCTCAATCTGGAGAGGGTTAAAGCATCACATGACACTGGCTATCTCAAGTATGGCAACTATGATCCAGATGGCTACATGGATGCATTGAGGACTGTGGGGTTTGAATGCGATGGTATGAAGTCATTAAAGGATGGTGAAGCGCCATATGAATTGATTCCAGCGAGGAAATCATGATTTGAGGAACAGTACTTTCATATTCCACTTTACTAATCTTTGTAATTATAGTTTTGCAATATTTATGTACTTATGTTTTAATAATTTCATACAAATTAGTCTTTCCAGCAAATTTTTCTTAATTCTGCATTACATTCATATAATACTCGAAGTTCATCTAATTTTCATTTAAATAAAATAAGACTAAATTATAACTAAGAAATCATTTTTTTTTTAAAGGGCCACAATTGTGGAATAATATACCTCAAGATATAAAATCTAGTCCATCAATTAACGTTTTTAAAAGGAGATATAAATCATTTTTAATCCATCAAAATAAATAAAGATTGATTATGGACACGGTCTTTTTTGGGGGTTTTGGGTTTGTTTTTGTTCCCCCCCCCCCCCCCCCCCCCTCTAGTAGGTTTTTTTTCACCCTCTCAAACAGAGTGTTTCCACTCCTCTATACCACACAGAGCTACGTGCACTTCCTCTATTCGTTACAAACACACACGCTCGCGTGCACATGCACACACACAATATATATATATATATATATATATATATATTTGCACAACACCCTCATCAACTCATACACAAAGATCGTTTAAACACTTTTTAATTTGGTTTACCTTAAGATTTTTTTTGTTTTTGTTTTTTTGAGGCCGCCATACTTGTCAAGCTTTGCTTATGATTACGGTCTCCTGCACTTTTCCAACAGAATAGTTTGGTTAATACTTTAAATTTATGATTATATGTTATGGAAATATTAAGTTTCGTTATTATATGTACATATATTATGTAAAAAAAAACATTTTGACATGAAGAAATTATTGTTTATTTATGTTGTATTATACATTACATTTATATGTTCTTATTTTATTCTTATGTTATTCAGTTATATTTTATATGGAAAAAATGCAGAAATAAAATCAGATCAAAAAAAAAATTATATATAATACTGTATTATACGTTATTACTGTTTTGGTGGCAGCACCAATAAAGCCTTTGGCTTTCCTAGCTGTCTCCACATTCATATATATTTTTGTTGTTGTATTGTAAATGTTTCTCTTTAACTTGTACGCTATGTTTTGTATTTTTTTGTTATGATGTTTTTATGATGAATGAAAATAAAGTTCAACTCAATTAAATTCAATGTACATTGATAATCAATTCATGTTGTGTGTATTTTGTTTCTAATATATGAGACACTATTGTCAAAGAATTGAGTATTATTACCCGTATCAGACATCTGAGCTGGTCATTTACAAAACCGTATTGCCCTAGTTTTCACTAGCAGTGGGAACGTAGGGGTATATTCTTTGTATTTTCCTTGGTCTCCCTGCGCGTATTGACTTTACGTGTAGAGACGAGTGAAAATATACCTTGGTATTTTCCACGGTCTCGCATCTTGTATTGACCGCGCCGTATTTTGTCATTTTCATTGCGCATCTATTATGCGTACGAGAACCTGCGCACTTTGCGCGCACTCTATTGTGACGTAATAATCACACCAAATGCACACTGTTCGCAGTGTATCGAAAATGTTGTCAAGTACTGGATGCACAGTGCTGGTTTGACAAAGTTTGTTCAGTTCTTGAGATTGTCATGGTGGATTTCTGTATTTGCTCTAGATGTCTGATTTGGATAACAATAAAAATATTGACTGGCTTTACTTTCAGGGTATATCAGAAATATTGACCGCGCTAAGACCATATTGCCCTCGTCTTTCGACTCTGGGCAATATGATCTGAGCTTGGTCAATATTTCTGATATACCCCTCAAGGCCAGTCAATATTATATAATTATACTGAATGAATAAATGTTATTTTACGATACATTACATGAAGCAGAGATGCCAACCTTCTTCGACAAAAAAAAGTATTCTTAAGAGCAAAAAACAGTATTTTTGAAAAAATCTCTCACCTTAACATATCGCCCAATCGAGCAGCTTAAAAAAAACGGCAGTACCATGTATACATACCCGGATCAGAGCGCGACGTGCATACATTACATGTGGATTGTTCGCAATGTGCGCAGTTTTGGGCCCGTATCACCATTCTGCGTGCATCGTTTGAAGACGTAGGTGCATAATACACTTACGACACAAGGCCCATGATCAGAAATTAAGAAAAACGTCACTAAAAAAAAAAAAAATTAAAAAAAAAAAAAAAAAAAAATTAAAAAATTAAAAAAACGTAACAAAACAAACAAAAAACGTACTGCCGTATTCATAGTGAAAAAACGGGACAAATACGGCAAAAACGGAACAGTTGGCATCTCTGATGAAGTCATTACCGGTATTTGTTTTTTAATAGGGATGGGGAGCAGGGAGGGATATTTATACAGGCAATACAACATGTGTTAATATCTCACAATTGTGTGTCATGCTTTTGTTTTTGTCTACTCTGACATATGACATATGTATGACCAAAGTATCAATAGATTTTTGTTTGTGCCTTGAATTTATTTCAAAAAGTATTTATTTTAAAGAGTAGCATGTAATCAGTGTCTATGCATATATTTATACGAGAGTACACCGTCGTCTGCCCTAGAACTGTAGGAGTCTTCATTGAACTAATGAGTGATGGGAGTAGACTTTGTCAGGTACCCCCCCCCCCCCACCCCCTGCCTTCTTTGCTGTCTCTAATATCATCTTTAACACACCTCTCAAATAATAGAGTGCAGCAGCAAACAATTTTCTTTTAAATTGTCCCTTTCACAACAAATTATTTCACACCGTGCAGAAACATCAATTAGACACAAATGTTCAATATTCAATATACAATTTATTCAATAAAGCAGGTCTCTGTACATACTTTGATTATTGATGTAAATGTTTAGCCGTTTTCGACAACCTCGACTAGTTCCTCCTCCACATCAAATAAAAATTGAGCACTCATTTATACTTGATGTCATAATTTAAAACAAGAGGAAAATTGTATATTGACTAAAATAGCTTAGCTTCCAGGTTAAGTGAGTTTTTTCCCTCAATGATACTGTGCTTGAGAATGGATTTTGTAACTATTCTTCTGAGAGAGAGAGAGAAGGGGAGAGAGAGAGACAGAGAGAGTGAGGAAGACAGAGAGTGAGGAAAAGAGAGAGAGAGAGAATGTATAAGGGAGGATATAGGGGACATTCTACATGCAAACTCAACTAATCACAATTTAACTCGCTGAATACTAAGCCCAATGTATCTCAGGCTCAAGTTTATGGCAATCAGATATTATACCAAAATAAAAGTGCATCTAACATAGTAACTGAGAGGAGAAAAAAAAAATCCCTTCACCCGAAAGCTATGACAGGTAAGGAAGCACAGCAGAGAAGAAGAGCTCATTAGTTACATTTCAATATCTTACACTCGTAACAAAATTTAGTGTATTGAAATAGATGGAAATGCATAATTTGTCTTGGTCCTAACTTTGAAGTCTGTTTTTGTTGTATTAGGTCACATATTTACATTAAGAATATATTCCCCATATCCACAACCTTGATAAAAAACATTGTATAACAAAATCACTTGCTAATAAATGGTTGACCATATTCTATTTCTAGATATGTTTATACATGTAATGGCCCCCCCCCCCCCCATGTATTTGTTTAAATACAAAACTAAAATCTTTCAGAAAATATCTACATGAAAATGTTAGTTCAGTATTCACATGTGCAGCATCAGTTTCAGTTCTTTTCCTTCTAAAATGGTATTGGCAAGATTGTTTTTTTTATACTGGCTATTGTTTCAATACCCATAATCAATGACTAATTAATACTTGTCCACAGTGCAGAAGCAATCAAAGATAGTTTGCGTAGTTTAGAGATGAAAAATCAAAACTAGAATGTATCAACTTTCATGCAAGTTTTCTTTTGGTACAGTTCTGTGTACATCTCTGTTAAAATGTTTGAATATGAATGTACAAGTACCAGGTATCTCCTCACTTCGTGTCTCATATGTTAAAAGGAACAGCAGAGTTGCAAACATAAATTAACATGAAATATATCATTTGTTTCTTTCTATTTGGTCTGGTCCAAGCTACAGTAGGCCCATTGACTAAGTATATCACCAAACATACTAAAATGTAGCTTGGACTTTTCAAATATCAAAGAAAATTTATCATTGTTTGATTATTTGTTATATAACACATTTGCAAAACTCACAATAATTACTCGATAACATAAATTGGACTCATTTCATCACCTCTTCTTCCAACAGAGATTATTATTTAAACGGCAGCCAACTGATGCACTCAGAGGACCTCCAGGAAAATTTTGCATTTGTAATTAATGTTATTATTATTATTAATGTTAGTTTACCTGTATTTACATTGTTATATTTTTTTGTGAATTGCCGAATAAATAATAAATAAATAAATAAATAAAACATTAATAAAACAAAAATTGATGACTATAATACAAACTGTTGATTGAGTACCGGTAGTAATACACCTCAAATCAAGTTTGAGGAAAATAAATCCCAATATCTTGTCCATATATAACAGTAAATTCAACAACGTTGCTTAGGGATTTCCATACAGTACATAGTTGGGGGATTCCTTTGAAAGAGCTTTAAAAACTGCATGTGTCAGTTTCATAACATCAAAATAAAATAGTCTGGTATCTTCTAAAAGATAGAGCTAGCATTACTCATATTTCAAAGTGCTATATATACAATACCAATATTGTAAAAAACTTGAAGAACTTAAACTGAATGTTTAAGACTACTACAGATAAATATTATCTGACAAAAAAATGTAATTGCAGCATGAAATATACTATAGCTGAGTATTAAAGTAAAGACGAGGAAATCAAGCAAGTAATCAACACCCACGTACATGACATGCGGTGGTCTCATACATGGTGTCCTTTCAGCAAGTCTAGATTTACATCATATCTTGTTTCCTTTTTACATTTTGCTGGCCTTATTAATAATGTCCTGTAAGATAAACAATTCAGGAAGTATCTTAGTCAGATTTTCTCACATTTCCAATACAGAAGTCAAGATTAGCAGAAGCTCAATACAATTGAATTTTATAAAAATTAAAAGTTCACTTTTGTAAGAATAAAGACTCTTTTAAAAAACATGATACACCTGAATGTATTAAGAAATGGAAACAAATTATTGCACTTGAATGTTTATTTAAGCCTCTCAAAAAGTATAAGAAATGGCAATGATTCAATATATAAAAAGTATGTCAAATATATATTATCTACAATAATGCGAGATTTAATGACAAATTACCCAAATTGCTTCCTTTTCCTCAAAAGACTCTTAATGAATTTTAAGACACCTAAAAATGATGTCACAGAGTAAAATTCTTCTTCCATTTGTACCCTCATTCAGATAATTGTTTAATGGTGTGCATGCTTTATGACTCTATAATACATCAAAGCAGTGGAGTGATAAGTTTTTGATACACACTGTACTTATACTTTGTGGAGCTGCTTTTAAAGCGCTTTTTAACTGCAAGGAAAGGTGATATACTACATAGTTTGTTGATTAGATCGGAATGGATTGGAAGCACACAAATTCATAAATTGGTATTTTCATCTCTTAAAGATAAAGACTAGTTACGGTCATGCGATTGCATTGTGAAAGAAAAGTTGTGTACTGCAAGGTTCTGGAATCATCAAAATGATAAGAAATTTGGCCCAGTCTTTGTAAAGTTACAAGCACTGTACACAGAAAGATGTATATGGGACTTACGCACACGTGCGTTTATCTCTCATACACCAATAGATAAACTAATTTACCAAATATATCAATTAGTAGGCGGTTTCCCGGCAAAATTGTTATCATCATGTATTAGTCAAAACCTATTCTTTCACATGATTGGTAATAAGAGCTTCCATTTCATTTTTTGAAATTGGGGCGTTTCCAATACTGGTCTTTACCTTTAACAAGTTGTAGTTGTTCTCTTATGACTCTAGTTTTACCACAGCTGATCAAATATCTCTTGAAGTTTCTCAAAGTCGATTGATGATGGTCTCAATTCCTCATCAGATCAACTCTCTCTTGAAGTCTATCAAAGTCGATTCATTATGGTCTCCTTTTCTTCATCTGATCAAATCTTTCATCAAGTTTATCAAAGTCTATCGACGATGCTTGTCCGTACGAACTCGCTGGTGTGGTGGGTTCATTGGGGACCATCAACCATCTACAAAATATAAAATAATTGGAGTTTTCAGGTCACTTCTATATCTGCCTTTAGTTCCTGAAAAGATTGAAATATTTTTTACTTGAAGGTCCTAATATGACAATGATATCATATCGTGTAGGAATGAATATCTTTTGCTGGACACAATACATGCTTATCAACTCCTACTAGCATTATGCACTATCTGTAACCTTATGGCACAGATCCTGAGTTAGGTATAAATAATCTTTATCTTTACATGCACAAACTGTAATTGCAAATTTTCCATAGGTCTGGATCAACAAAAGTATAATAAATCTGGGGGTATTTTTGAAATCGCAAGTTTCCAGATCAACAGCTGGTTCTCACCTGTCCCCTTCTATATTTGCTCTTGCATTTTTGACCATCTTGGCAACCTTTGACCTTTCTGACCTGGCCATCTCCTCAGGAAGTTTGCCATCCAGTGTGCGAATGTTGAGGTCTATGTAATCAACACTCTGCAATAACAAAGACAGTTTCAATCATGTTAGACCAACTCACACAACATAGCATGTCCATCATACTGCAACAAAAAAAACTCTGTCACAGATTTGTGACAGTCCATGCCCCAAAATACATGAATCACCAAAGTGATTCATTTCCCAATTCCAGACATTTTCTTGCTCCAAAACTGGATAATGTTTACAATTCATGAATGTCACAGAAAGATTTACAAATATCCTTTATAATGCATTACTATTCAGAAAACCTGGTATCACAACATTAATAAACATCTATAAAAAAAAATTGTATTTTGTTTTCTCTTTGTTATTCATTAAAAACATCATCTTAATTCAAATATTGTATAAGAACATCAAATGTTTTATAGTAATAATAATAATAATCTGGATTTATATAGCACTTATTACAAAATACTGTCTCTAATATAAGCGTTTTACAGACATTAGTACCCCTGTCAGGCTGTCACCGGATTCATTTATGCACTATGTGCACCATCTCCACTCCTTGGGGAGTATTCCTACCATATGGTCATTGTGATGGCAAATGGCAATTACAAACACAAAGGCTTTCATCATCCTACCAGGTCCCCATTTCTCTCCTGGGTATGGAGTGGCAAATGTAGATTAATGCCTTGCCAAAGGACATTAGCACCATGGCGGGATGGAACCCATGACCTTTGCTTTTAAAGTAAAGTGCTTAAACCACTCAACTAAGACATCATAATGTCATCATAATATGAAGCCCCCAAAAATATGATTACATATTGTATATCCATTTATTAATGAGATGAATCTCATCACGGTCTTACCACAAGTTTCTTGACCATTTGTCTACGGTCAAGTTTGCAGGCTAGGTGAAGAGCAGTAATACCATCACAGTTCTGGACATTGATGATGGTTGTATCTTTGTCCACTAGAAGGGCAAGGATAGCCAGACCAATCTTTTGATCAGAGCATTGGATTGCTCGATGTACAGCTGTACAACCGTCCAGGGTGTTAGACGCACATATATGGTTTACTGTGGAACCTGGAAGAAAATAGAAATATATATCTTTTAATACTTTCTGTGCGACGAAGTGTTTGTGCTCCTGTTATAAATAAACAATCAAGAGTAAATTGTTTGATCATATAGCTTGTTTTATTAATCAACTGGCGTGTACACGTATTTCAGAATGATAATTAATAATCCAGAAGTACTTTCTTATTTCAAACAGGACTAGAAATAGCTAACACCTTTGGATCAAATCCTGATGCCTCGTGTTTGTGTGGTCCATGTCAAACGTACTACATATCCACAAAGAAGATGCTCAATAAAGCAAATCACATGTTCTGTCATCCATTTGAATATTCCTAGCTTTGATATATATATGTACCTTGGTAGATATTTGGCCTAGTTGGTTGTCCGAGATTGACGTAGATTTCACTCATGGATGGTGTGCGGGAATGAATAGCCTTAGATCCTCCATACACGCTACCAGTGGCATTGAAGGAAGCTATTGATACATTATCTCGGGGTCTGGAAAGGCACTCTAAAGAGGGAATAAAAGTTTGGAGCACAGAAATAAAATCTCATATCTACAGAAACGTAGTTATCTTGGGGTTAAAGATTACATTCCTGCTTTGTGAATGAATTAATATAAGCCAGAAAATATTCTTAACTTCTAAGATGTGGACACATCCTTTACTGCTTTCTGGTACGAGAACACAAACCAGCCCACTGTTCAATCACCACTATTATATAATATACTTGAACATCAAAAATACTCAATATCGCAGAAACACAAAGTTGCAAACCATCCAGAGACTCCTAATAAATTGCGTTACTGACTTATTAATTATATCATTACAAATTTTTCTTCTCAGTTTTCTTATGTATAACTGATTTTCTTATAAAACTGAAGATATGGCGTATATATTCAATACTGAATAAATGCCATTAAACTATTACCAACAACAACAACAACAACAATACTCAATATCCTCTTTTTTCTAATTATGGCACATTGCTTGGAGTTTCTAAACAAACTCACAGTTCTACCAGTCAACAAGATGATGCATTCCATCTTCATGATAATAAAACAGATCAGAAATCATGGAAGTGACACAGAATGGAAATAAACTTCTTTATAAATCCCCCGCGAAATATTGTTAACTGTATTCAACACTTTAAAGAGAACTGAAGTAACTTTATCTATGTTCAATTTGAATAATTTAGTTAACATCCAGGAATATCAGTAGCCTAATAACCCCTAATTTTTGGTGAACATGTTAGCTAAACTGCAGCTGTAGACATAGATATGAATGTTTGGTACTGTTACCTGTATCAGTAAGGCTCATAAATGATGAAGACCTAATTGATGCAAGGCCGGGAGCATACCTAGAACCTAGAACAACAAGAATATACAGAATACTATTACTTCTCACTTATGACTTGTTCTGCTAAATACAACTCATTAAAGGTATAGACCAGTTTTTATTGGAAACGCCCCCCTCTCAAAAAATGAAATCGAAGCTCTTATTACCAATCATGTGAAAGAATATGTTTTGATTAATACGTGATGATACAAATTTTGCCGGGAAACCGCCTACTAATTGATATATTTGGTAAATCATATCGATCCGGCCTCGATAAATATTGCGATTGCACTTCAACATTGAACATTTGGGCATTTATTTCTGCTTTTTTGTGAATTTAGGTTGAAGTATTGCCATCTAAACCTCTGAAGGCAATATTTAAACAATATTGAATGGATATTTTGCACCCAAAACCCTTGAACCGCAATTTTATCACTACCGGTCTATATCTTGAAGACAAGGGTATTTATAATTAATTTAATGAAGGGTTTTTTTCTCAAAACCATTGAAATGAAATCATACCATCAAGACATAAGGTACTGTAGAAGCAAGCTGTTATAGCAAGATATACTTTCATGAATCTCACAAATTGCTTTAGGGTCACATATTGAATGACAAACAGAATTGAATTAAATACCCTTGTCTTCAAGATATAGACCGGTAGTGATACCCTCATTGACATGTTACACGAATATATATATTGTTTTAGTATACTTACTTTACTGTTGTACCTCTACTGTTATACCATATCAAGAAATAATTTTTAACACAAAATACCTACTTTAGATTAGAGCATATAAGAATTTAAAAAATGGAGGGTATGTAAGAAGAAAGAGAAGAAGAAGAAGAAGAAGAAGAAGAAGAAGAAGAAGAAAGAGTATTTAAATGTATATTCATCATGACCATGTATATTATATCAAATGTATACTAAAACAGGGCCCTATGAATGTCAATTATATGTTGTTCCTATGTTCATTTATATGTTGAAGCAAGATTGTTCATGTGCATATAAACAATTATCCTATATGGACTCAATAAAGAAATGAAATGAAATGAAATGAAAATTAGCAATACACACATGATGTAATTTGCCAAAGTTAATTCATCACAAAAACAAGCACTCATAAAAACATTTGTATCACTATCATTACATAACATTGGCTTTTGATAGTCAGTGTTAACATGCGTGTGTATTTAAAACCAAAAATGTGATACCATGTTAATAATAATAATAATATGTATTATATATAATATATATGTTGCAATGACATCAATTCTTACTCTTCCAAGTTGTTCATTTTTTTTAGCATTCCAAATTAAGAGATGATGTACCAAACAAATGATTAAAGTATAAAACAATGTACACCCTTGATCCTTGACAAAAACCAAATCATTTGAAATCATATAAATAATAACATAAACACACTATTAAAGAGATGCTAAAAAACACTAAAAATTAAATAGAAATAATAAAATATATACCAAAACATGTCAAAAATATATAGAAACCATTGCCTTGCATGCCAAACTGATAATCATTCATGCACATACATGATGATATGCAACTGGTAGAATAACCAAACACAATTCTACTTATTATACCTCTCTCTTCTGTAATCGAGTGCAGTCTTTCATAAGCTATAGATAGAAGAAGCATTGATCAATAAAATTAAGACTACATACATTACATGAACTTACAAGTCTTCAAAATATATTAATTTTTTTTGTACAGAAAAGGGGAAAATGAATGCACTGTATTAAAAAAATAAAAAAATACAGGTGCCGTCACATTCCACTCACAAAGAAATGGTTAAATGAAAAACATTCATTTATCGAAAGTGCACATTCTCATGATGCATATATAGCTAACATCTTACTCCTTGTCCTATGTATTCTATCGAAAATAATTGAAAAAGAAAGAAGAAAGAAAACAATATTGCTCACAATAATCATGTCATCCCAAAATAAGTACCTTCAGAAGATATCAACAACGGCAATGAACTTTTTTGCTATTTGGCTGCCCCTATACTCTCCCGTCCCCCCCCCCCTCCCTTTCACATCCCCCTCGTCAGTTAATGACCTTTGACCTCTGCTAATGTCCTAACAACAGTTCATCTATCTACAATCAATTTAAACAAAGAGTTTTAAAACATAAATTTCTTAATTTTGGTCATCGATAACATTGTTCTAACACGCTTATTTTTTTTTAGGGGGGGGGGGGATAAAATGACAAATCATATGATTTCAGTTGTATTGTTTGATCGCCGAACCTTACAATCTAATGGGACCATCTATATGGAACTAACCAAGAAGTTGGGTTTGGAAATGATGTGCTGATAATGAGAGGCATCATGTGTCTATTTGCCTTTGCCCGTTATATTGCTGTAAGGAAAAGAATGAACAAGATATTGCACGCTCACCTGGCAGCTGTGAAAGTGTATCCAGAGTCTCAGTGTCTGATAAACACTTGCGGGTACCTGGTCTTCCTTGAATCATCCGTCTACTATGCTGTACTGCCCTCTTTAGACCCTCGGGAGTCAGGTTGGAGTCAGACTCGCTGGAGATGTCCTGGATGTTAAGAGGTTTTAATTTGGTTAGCTCATCAGGTAATTTTAATAGTAGCTTTATTGGACAACAATCACATTGAGAGGGTCTATATAATGGTCTTGACATATATTTTCATTATTATCAGCTTGTAGCACAAGGAGAGTCCATGAAGGAAGTTGATTTTCTACACTGCTCTTCAAATTGGCAACACTTTAATCTTTCCGACATTTGTTTAATTTCTGAGTGATGTTTTGGGCTGTAGTATCATCCCTCAAGCAGCTCATGAACCCAAGATAACCTTCAAAAGGGTAGTTTGTCCCACTGCTCCTGTAGACAGTATCAACTGCTCAGTATAAGAAGGACCTATAGAGTGATAGGACCTGTAACACTACACCATCTAATCCAGAGACGGAATACATTCAATGTGAGAATACATTCATTTTCATAAACTTAAGACTGCATCTTTTTGTATACTGAATAAGGAAAAGATTTAGTAAACATGCTACAATTTTAGATATTGATTTATATCTGATATACTATCAATGACTTTATGCAAGAATGATACTCAGATTAAATAAGGAGTATGATGACAAGAAGACAAAGGAGGAAAAGATGACAAAAGGGAGAGGAGACAGGAATATAAAGGTGGAAAAGATAAGAAGTGGAAGGAAAACAGATGGAAGAAACAATTTAATGAACAACTATGATTAAAAATATACTTTGCATGATTTTTAGAGAGTAAAAATTTCCCATCATAAAGATAATTACAATGTCATGTCTGTCTAATGCTCTCTAATTTCCACAATTTACAGGCCATCAATAAATTCCTGATGATACTTACCTGCGTCGGTATACTAGGATAAAGATCATAACGAGAAGGATGATAGGCTGAGATATCCTCATAGTCACTGAAGTCTGTAGAGCATTCCATGTAGTCCAGTGATGCTACAAGAAACGAGAAAAGCACAATTGAAAAGAATCTTAAACCAAATCTACCTCATGAATTAACTTACTTCATGATTAACTAGATGGAACTTCGACTGCGTGCAGTCGAAAATGAAGCCTCCGTCATAGAGCAATTTTACAAAACAAAACAGAAGAAATTTTTCAAATTCAAGTTTGATTGTAATCCATTAGCAGGTTCTCAGAATATTGTGATTACAAGCAATTTCTCATATACATATATGACCCTTTGATCTTTGACCTCATGACCCTAAAATCTACTCAGTTCATTGGCTCTGCAAGATGTCCTGAGTTAAATAGTAATCCATCTGTCAGTTCTAATGAGAATGCGTTCACAAGCTATTTTTGCATACATAACGAGCCCTGTGACCTTTGACCTTGACCTCATGACCCCAAAATCTAATCAGTTTATCGGCTCTGCAAGTAACATACATGACCTAAGTTTGGCAGAAATCCATCAATCGGTTCTTCAGATAACGCGATCACAAGCTGTTTTTGCATACATAATGAGCCCTGTGACCTTTGACCTTTGACCTCGTGAACCCAAAATCTAATCAGTTCATCGGCTTTGCAAGATACCTACATGACCAAAGTTTGGCAGGAATCCATCAATCGGTTCTTCAGATAACGCGATCACGAGAACGGGACATACAGACGGACAACCCGAAAACATAATGCCTCCGGATACTTCGTAACGGAGGCATAAAAAGTCTAAAATCAGTTCATCTAGCAGTGATGATGCATACTAAAAGTCATTCCTTCATATTGATCTTTGCTGGTGGAGGCTTGAAAATAATTGTTATTATTTGATAGGCATGAAAGCGCAACAAGAAAAGAATGTCCATACCACCCCCCCCCCCCCCTTTCCATCTCCCCACCACTGAAAAATAACAATACGAATTAAACACCTTTCAAGTTCTTAGCAGACAACATACTACCATTTATTCATAACATGAAGAACATTTTTATTTGTAAGAGCTTGTACTGACCTCTGTTTCTCCTTGATGTACCAGGTGAACAAGATTCCAAGAAGGTCCCTGAATCATTATCAGATTCTCGTCTCCATCTCGTTGACCTGAACAGACAGATAACAAATTAAAAACACCCTTTACTTCAACCAAGTTTAAATCAGTATTCCTGTGAAGCTAAAATACAATCTTTTAATAGAGAATTGTTGATTATGAAGTGAATATGAATACTTGTCGTGACTAAAAATCATACAATACTTCTGATTATTATCTATAAAAGGCTTCCATGTGGTACAATAAATCAGTGTATTCAATATCTTTAGTGCAGTACCCGGATGACTGACCAATATTGTTTGCGTATTGCTCAGTTATCTGGGAACTTCAACTATCGATATCACATCAAAACAAAGCCACATTTGCTGAGGTAACATCAAATTTTGTTATTTCGCTAGTCAGCCTGATATAGATAATATTAATAATATTATATGGCTTTGTTTTCGTGTGATACAAGAATATATTGCTCTTGCCATGACAATATTGGACTCGTCTCCGACTCGTTCAATATTGTCATAGCTTGAGCAATATATACTTGTATCACACTCAACAGGGGTGATAGTGAGCACTAAAAAAAAAATAGGTTTTTTGTTTTCCCCTCAACCACGCCCCCGTGAGTAAAAAAAAAAGAAGAGGATTCGCGGGGAAAAAAATGGCATCTAACAACATTCCCCCCTTTCGTGTAAGAAAATTGGGGAAAAAATAGGGCAAAATAGGAAAGAATAGAGAAGATAAGGGGGAAATCGGGAAAATCAGGTTAAAAAAGGAAAGAAAAAAAATTGGTAAAAAAAAAAAAAAAAAAAAAAAAAAAAAAAAAAAATCTGATTTTTTTTTTTTTTTTTTTTTTAAATCGGGAAGAAAAAAAAATCGGGAAAAAATCGGGAAAAAATAAAAAAATCGGGAAACCGATTTAAATCGGGTTTTTATCAGGCCTGACTCAAAGCCATCCAATATTATATAAATATTACATGTATACACAAGTGCCAAAGTCATGTGGCTAGAACTTTTTTTTTTTATAGCTTCAATTACTTGAGACTTATGATAATACTGAAATACGAAATAAGATTTCAAGAATAACCTTGTTATGGTAGCCAGAAATCTATTAAAGTGGAATAACAAAATAAATTTAAAAAAAACCTCTCACAGCAATTTCATGACCGCTTAAGGGCTTAAACATTTTGTCATGAAGTCAGTTTCATATTTGCACAATTCATTTAATTGAACTGATAAGAGTTCCATCAAATTCTATCAAATCTTATGAACAATTGTACCTTTCCAAGTCTCCTTCTTCTTCCTCCATATTCTGAACAGCAGTTTCTAAGAAGAACTTGACCGCTTCTAGTCGGCCATACAGACATGCAGTCATTAGAGGTGTGTCTCCAGCTTTATTGCGTAGGTTGTGGTCAAACTTGGGCTGTAAACAAGCAAGATATCAACAAGTCAATTCTATAGCTACACCCTATTGTCATTATATGGATAATGTATCAAGTCTTGTGATCTAACTCCTCCTGTTGATCAAAACTGATATCAAGATTGTCATTCAGCAGAAAAAAGGACATTGCCGAATTATCAAATAGCATTAATATTGCACTATCCACAACTTGACCACAGTCTACAAACAACTAAATAGTAAAACAATGATGTATCATCTGCTGAGAGCCAGTAGGGCCTTACCAGAGTGTAGAAACGCCCTTCTGACTCTCACCTGATATCAACATGGCAAAGACCTACATACCTGCCACATCTTCTTGAGTTGTTTGAATCTCTTCTTATCCTTGATGCCTAGCATGATCCTCTCTGTTCTGTTCTTACGATGTTTCTCAATCAGTGCCTGCACACCCTCGTATTCAACACACTTATACAGTCGTCCCTGATCATCTATGATGGCTGCACTGGCTCCGTGCTCTAACAGCATCTTCACGATAGCGCTGTGACCTGAAACAGGTATCAAAAGACATGACTTAAATGAGAGAAAGAGAGACAGAGAGAGAGAGAGAGAGAGAGAGAAAGAACACCTACGTTCTAATGACATCTTCATGATAACAGAGTAACCAGAAAATTCTTCAAGAGACATTATTCCATTACAAAACCTTTAACGATGTAAGGTGATTTCAAAACGAAATTTGACATTTTGAAGATAATAATGTTTAGAAATTAATGCTCCCTTTGCAATTTAAAGAATTTCTTCAAGCATGAATTTGAAATATTCAAGAGATGTAGCCTGATTGATATGCAAGGGAAGAATCTTCCAACAAGTTTGTAACAAAACAGTTTTTCAAGGAAATGTATCTCGATATAAACAAGTTTTAATCTGATGATCCTTATATAAAGTGGACTTACCTTTAGAAGCAGCTAGTTGCAGAGCAGAAACCCCCACCTTATTGATAGCATTGATATCAATGGTGTGATGGGAATCGTTAGGATGGCAGTAGTAGAGGAGATGGCAGACTATCTCTTGAAGGCCTCTAGAGCATGCTACATGCAGGACGCTGGATCGTGTGGCTGAATGAAGGCTCCAGATATCTCCACCATACTAGGAAGGAAGGAAAGAAATATAGAATGCTATTTAAGGAACTTTGAATGAAATGAATATCAAATGTCTTGGAAACAAGACAAACCAGACCCCAGAGACATACATGTACACATTGTGAAATATATCTTTGAAAACAAATTTATTAGAAATTTATAGAAAGGTTCATCTCCTTGCGTTTGCCAAAGTAGAGACAAAAAAGAGGTAAAAAGAGGAACATTTTTTACAAAATTGAAATATCACATAACTTATTAAGAATGGATGGAAACTTCCATTATATATCTATGAAAGGAAAAATGGAACTGATTGATGTAAATGATTTATTGAAAATATATATTATTTCATAAAGACAGTAGGCTGAAGCCTTTTTCCAGTATATTGTTTTGAAGTAGAACCTAACAAATTTCATTTTATTGAGCATAGTATCAATACTTCCAAGAAAAGTGGCATAAGAAAATGTTAAGGTACCTGCTGGAGTAGCTTGACGACTTCAAAATGTCCGTTGCCTACAGCCATGTAGACAGGCCAGTCACTAGTACCAGTGATAGGATTGACATCATCACCTTCTTCTAACATACAATAGATCTTAGAAGCATCACCGTTCATAACACACTCAAACAGAGTTGGGTTAGTGATCTCACGTTGACGTCTCTCCATGGCTTCATGGAGAAGAGCTTTGATGGAAGTGTCTTTGGCAAGTTGGAAGGCAGTGTATAAACCCTGATGAAAACAAGGATAAGAGCTCTTGTTTTACATAGCACTAAATATTTCTGTTTCTCTCTCTCTCTCTCATTAATGCTTCTTGGTACTTTACAATCACTACCCTGGTACTAATATTAATCTTGAAAATGGTATTCATTCCCTTTATTATGTCACAATCCTTTTTTTCTTCTTCTTAAGATTCACTAATAATTCAACTGTACTTCAATGAGCAATGTGTTTTAATTTTGTTTCACCTAAAATAAGTCACTTCCTAAATACTGAACCTTAACGATGGCTTACATGCTTACATAGACTACAAAGAAATCTGTCACCATCACAAGGTGTACAGCTTGTAAATAAATGAGTCTTTCATACAGCTGTTAGTAAAATTACGCATGACTTTACGAATGACTTGTATATGTGTCAGATAGGATGCCTAAAGTTTTTTCTGATATTTCCAATGACAAAAATTAAATTTTGGCAAACTAGATGGAATTCGACTGCGCGCAGTCGAAAATGATGCCTCCGTCATAGAGCAATTTTACAAACCAAAACAGAAGAAATTTTTCGAATTCAAGTTCAATTGTAATCCATTGACAGGTTCTCAGAATATCGTGATTACAAGCAATTTCTCATATACATATATGACCCTTTGATCTTTGACCTCATGACCCTAAAATCTACTCAGTTCATTGGCTCTGCAAGATGTCCTGAGTTAAATAGTAATCCATCTGTCAGTTCTAATGAGAATGCGTTCACAAGCTGTTTTTGCATACCTAATGAGCCCTGTGACCTTTGACCTTTGACCTCGTGACCCCAAAATCTAATCAGTTCATTGGCTCTGCAAGATACATACATGACCAAAGTTTGGCAGGAATCCATCAATCAGTTCTTCAGATAACGCGATCACGAGCTGTTTTTGCATACCTAATGAGCCCTGTGACCTTTGACCTTTAACCTCGTGACCCCAAAATCTAATCAGTTCATTGGCTCTGCAAGATACATACATGACCAAAGTTTGGCAGGAATCCATCAATCAGTTCTTCAGATAACGCGATCACGAGCTGTTTTTGCATACCTAATGAGCCCTGTGACCTTTGACCTTTGACCCCGTGACCCCAAAATCTAATCAGTTCATTGGCTCTGCAAGATACATACATGACCAAAGTTTGGCAGGAATCCATCAATCAGTTCTTCAGATAACGCGATCACGAGCTGTTTTTGCATACCTTATGAGCCCTGTGACCTTTGACCTTTGACCTCGTGACCAAAAAATCTAATCAGTTCATCGGCTCTGCAAGATACATACATGACCAAAGTTTGGCAGGAATCGATCCATCGGTTCTTCAGATAACGCGATCACAAGAACGGGACGTACGTACGTACAGACGTACGTACGTACGTACGTACGGACGGACAACCCAAAAACATAATGCCTCCGGCTACTTCGTAACGGAGGCATAAAAATATACTTTGCATTAAAAATGTTTGTTATAATAAGAATGTTAACCTAGATCTGCACAGTTCAACTTTAGTTGATACAGTTAATAAGGATTGAGCACCCCATTTAGCTTTTCATATACAAGTCGTTCGTAAAGTCATGCGTAACTTTACAAACAGCTTTATGAAACACCCCCCCCCCCTGATGCAACTGGTAATGAATAGATAAGACTTACATGTAGACCCTGAGTTGATTCAACAATGACCTGTACACAGTCGATATGGCCATGGATACATGCGTAGTGAAGTGCAAGCCTGCCCTCAATGTCAGGAATAGTGGCCAATGCATTGTGGGTCAGCAAGGTCTGGAGGACGTTCGCATTGCCATCCATGGCGGCCATAGTAAGTGCTGTTTTTCCAGTCTAGAGAGAACAAAAATTGAAAAAGGCATTTTTAACAGCAGAAACAAGGAAATATCTTAATTTTAATCAATGTACTGAATAGAACAGCTGCATTTCCTACCTCATAAAATAATTGTATTATCTCACTCATAAACATGAATTATTTGCATACCATGGACTCTGAACCAGGTCATAACTGACTATGATACCTACAGAGGGGCTACTGTTTAAGGGTGACAAGACTGACTACTTCCTGGACTATCCATCCCAGAGACCACAACTCCCTTCTCTCTGACAACAATAAAAGCTAACCCTAGAATCAATTACCCCTCCCACCCCTTCCTAACACCTACAACCACTAATAAAGTATGGTAAGACAAATGAATTTAAAACACACAAATTCTCCTCCAACTGCTGGTTAATGACATGTTTTTGTTCTCCATAGACATTACATCAATAAGACTACAATCTACTCGTACTGAACTGATACTGATTGATTCAACTTACCATGTGATGCTGTGCATTGACAGGACAGTTCTTCTCCTTTAACAGGATGCTCAGATTGTCACACCTGTAAAAAGAATAAAACAAGGTAAAAACAAGATTTTCTTTTAAAATCTATTTTTTCTGAATTAATCTTTACAAAGTATGCTGACTCAGTAGAAAAGAAATACCTATTGTTGTTGTTGTTTTGGTTTATAGGCGTTTGTCATTCAGAAGTGAATATTTACGCCTCTTCTCTTAGGGTTTTTTCCCCTTTAAAATTATATATATATTTTTTTTGTAAATATATAGATTTGGATAAATTGGTTTTTTAAAAGTTAAACTGTTTATGTTGAAGAATACTTTCAAAATAGGTAGTCTTGTTTTAAGGGCGCTGTTTTCTGATTATGCTTAATTTCAACATGCTCTGAACAAAATTTAAGTATACCATTTATCAACAATTGTTGGTATACCGTTTGTTATGATTGCATTATTCTTCAGTAATAGTCATGCAGGGTCAGTTAAAGGGATTGGGTATCTTTGCCTCAGATTCTAAACCAAATCCTGGATTTAGCTCATGCTGCAATCATATTTATAAACCTTTAGGTCATTCAGGAATCCCATGACTTTTACAAGCCGATCTCCTGTCTGATTATCAAGATATTAATGATTTGAAATAAAAATTTCAACACTACAGTCTATATCACAGACACTGATAACATGTAGGGCCATGCACGTCAGATTTATAAAACAGGAAAAATTGTTAAACGATGCCTTTAAAAAAAATTACGTGTTACCTGTTTGCTTTGGCAGCAGCCATGATGAGGGTTAGTCCATCATTATCAACGTTGAAATGATCAGAGAATTTCACTCTGGCATCATTTGGTGACAGGTTGCCCTTCAAATCAAGATAATAAAAACACACAGTATCAAACAATCTGGTGATACAAAAACAATCCTGATTTTACAAGTAGATAAATAACCACTAAACCTACCTTTAAGTCTCATCTAGGAGACTCTTTTATCGAGGATTAATACCTTTGAGTTCAGGAGCACATTTACTTTCTGTAAAACCTGGGACCTCTCTGTTACAAGATCCCATTCATAACATACCATAGTAAGAGAACCATAGGGTCTTTAAAACAAATTCTCCTTGTTTTAATTCAAGCTATTCTTCAATTCTATGTCAAAGTTTACTAAATAATATCACAATTGTCACATTACAAAATGACAGTTACAACCTTTTAAGGCCTGCCCCAATGTCAAATCACTGTTAATCTATTTGAAAGTATTTAAAGCTGTTGGGTTTAAACAATACAACTGAAAGGTCATTCAGGGGATTCAGGAAGTAGAAATGGCCTTGAATTCAATACATTCTGTCACTGATAATAACTCTGCATTCATACTGTAGCTATCTCCATTCGAATTTATTTCTGGAAGATTTGAACAGGAATTTCCGGAAATAATCCGGTAAAACCCAAAACAAAATATGAAACAGAAGTCCCTATGTGGAAGGGAGCATTTCCTGATTTTGCAAAACAATTAAGAAATATCGTTTTTCTGATGCTTGCCTGAACTATCCTCTTTTAGTAGGAACAGTGGGATTTCACCTAAATGTTCTGTTCAACATACAATTCATATTTCAAACCATCTAACCTTTCTGACATACTGACTGAGCAGGATACAGCGCTGATGTCGAAGGTTACGTATGAGGTCACGACACTCATTGTTATCACATCGGCCGGCAATGTCATCTGCTCGCATACTAAATTTATCTTCTATATTTATGTCAGCACCTCTTTTCACAAGGCAGCTATAAAACAAATAAAAGCATATAAAAATGTAATCTTTACATGAACCAACTCTAGTGTACAGTGGAAGCAAATGATCAGCACATAAACTAGCTTAGCTATATCCATATTATCATGTACTTGTGGCTGGCTTTCCTTCCTAAATTTCTACTATTGGTAGAATTAACACAGATCTATTTAAACTCATCAAAAATGCAAAGAAGCTTCAGAAACTCTATGTCACTCGATAAATACATCTTTTTATACTGTATTATTATCATTGCAAAGGGCATCATTGCAATTGCCTTTAGAATTGAACATCACTGAACTAAAAAGATTAATTTATCCTAGATGTGTTTAATATCAAGTTTCTTATTAAGTTTAAGCAGTTCAACAACATTTTCATATTTCATGACTGAGTAAGCCTTGTCCTATTTTCTCTTCCTTCTCTGTTCGTTCTTTGTGAAAATTTATACCAGTAAAAAACTAATTCCTGAATGGAAAATAAATTTTCAGTTTCAATTTCAATTTCAATCTCAATTTTAAATTAATTGGAAAGCCTTGTACTACCCCATTTAAATATGCAAGCAATCTGGAATGTCCAAGTCAACTGAGCATAGCACAGCAGTCAGGTGTTATATCTATTTGCATTTCATAATGCAATACCTTGGATCATATCCTGTGAATAGAATAATTATTTGATGATAATAGTTCTTACTCTATGACATGGACATGGTTCTTCTGAGCTGCATAATGTAAGGCTGTCCATCCATTCACATTGTTCTTCGTATCTGGATCAGCACCAATCACACAAATCAAGATCTGCACAAATATAATTTTCAACAAATATGATTAATTAATTCAAGTATGCAGTACAAAAATTGTTGTGTATACCTTCTTAAACATGTAGCATTGCTTATTGTGGAGTACCAGGAGTGTCAAGATTCACAAACATCAGTGCTATATACGAACATACTATTATTATTATTATTATTATTACTATTACATAATTTGCATGGTTAATAACATAATTATTTGTACTTCTTGTAAATTCAATGTTTTGGGGGTGTATTTTTTTAACTCGGTAATGAAAGGTGGAGAGGTTGAATCAGGGCCTTGAATAACTTTAGATGTAAGCTTCAACAAGTCACATTAAGAAACAAAAATTGGGACAAATCAATTTTCACATACTTAGCTAATTACAAAACTTGGTAAGGGTATGAATAATTTAGTTGTTAACTGTATATTCTACTTCATGAAAACGATTCAATTGAATGTGGGCATAATACTAGTAGTGTATTTTGAATTGAACAGAAGTTTAACTTGATTGAATCTGTGTAAAAATATGGAGGGATGTAATTTGTTTGTTTGTGAATGATTCTGAAAATATCTGACAAGCAAAAAAGAGAATTTGCATAGGCTGCCTACTAATAAGGCTCCCCAACCCTAACTGCCAGATTGGATAAAGAATCTTAGCTAGCTAGGTGCTATCAAATGAAGGTTCACCTCTACAATGACATCGAGGCCAAGCTGAGATGCAAGAATAAGAGGTGTCATTCCTTTCCTGTTCGTAGCCTCTACATTAGCACCATGAAACTGAACTAGATTCAAGATCAACGACAGCTGAGGGAGCCCTTCAATTAAGACAAAAATATATGTTACATCAAGTGAAAGTGATTTATGAACATGATATTTCATTGGCAGATCAACTGATTATTAGTATAAAATATCCCAGATAAGTTATGTGTAAATGTTTCTATCATAATTCATCTAAGTTCAGCGGATATACACAACTGAAAGTATAGTATAGTTATTACCGAAGCCAAGTCATATGATGTATACAAAGCATTTCCTCTTATTACATTGATCATTTCTTTCCACTATCGCATTCTTTTGATAAAAGGTTATCTGTCTAAAATGAAACTGAATGACGAAAGTTACAAAACAACAGAGATATACACTTCCAGGATCAGGAACACTGCCAATTTGAACACTATGATGTTTATACTCCATTTAACAACTGTTCTCCATTCTTTGAGAATATTGAACTCGGCCTTTTAACAGACTTCAGGGAAATCAGTTGTTTAATCAGTTGTTTATTCATTTCAATTTCATAAAAAACAAAGCAAAAGCAAATAAACATACAAGTATATATACATACTAAGGCAGAGAATGTTCAGTTTATACAACGACTTCAAATGAAATAGGAGAACAAAGGAAAAGCCCATGATGGCCTTATTGTAGAGTTTGTACAATTCTTTACCCAAACACAAATTAATTTTTCTATTTAGCCCAAAACATCTAAATTTAGAACAATCTTTACAATAAATGTTTTTGTTTCTCATTCAGGACAGAAATCTAGCTTTTTCTTGTTCCCACCATTCACTACACCATAGACATATTCTTGGGTGGGAAATATCGCCCATAAAAAAAGAAAATTTATCCAAACACAAACAAAAAAATATATAATTTGTGAAGCATACCTCCTTTGACAGCAGCATGTAAGAGAAGGTTTCCCTTCTGATCTTTGTCATGATTGATATCAAAATCCATGGACTGGATCTGGATCTGAAGGTCATTGAATCGGTCAGGTTGCTGAACATACTCAAAGATGACCTTCTTATCATGAAATGACCCTTGTTTCTTACGGAATGAACTTCCATGGTAACGGGTAGGCAAGCATCTTCTGGTCCTGGAACAGTAACATACCTGGTCTACCGTACGACCTAGGATGGAGAATAATCAGTAAGAACAGTAACATACCTGGTCTACCGTAAGACCTAGGATGGAGAATAATCAGTAAGAACAGTAACATACCTGGTCTACCGTACGACCTAGGATGGAGAATAATCAGTAAGAACTGTAACATACCTGGTCTACCGTACGACCTAGGATGGAGAATAATCAGTAAGAACAGTAACATACCTGGTCTACCGTACGACCTAGGATAGAGAATAATCAGTAAGAACTGTAAATTCTGAGTATATCACTTGTCATATCATATAGCATGTTTATACAGGATTCCAAAAGACTGTTACAGTGTTACTATCCTGGTTTTCCTCTTTTTCTCGGATGTTTCCAGGTACCGGTTCGCGCTTCTGTAGAAACACACCACAATTCCATTATAACGCTAACTGAATAGCGTACCGGTCTTCAGAGGTGAATTTTTAGAGGTACACTTCATCATCTTCCTTCTCGGTTCTGTAGAAACACTTTTGTACATTAGCATTTAAGTTCATGTGATAATGTACTGAGCACCACGCCCATTTTCTAGACACAAGTGTATCATTAAAGCCCAAGTCCACTCCAAAAATAACTTACCAGAAAAATCAGACAAACAAATCATAAAAAGTTTGAGCAAAATCAGATAACTAATAAGAAAGTTATGAATTTTTAATGACATGAACAACTTTGAAAATCACTACACAAATTGGCAACTCACTCATGAGTCTGTGACGTATGGTCCTCACTATCCACCAATTATTTTCTGTAAGTTAATAATATAAATTTCCTATTTTCACCCTAAGAATTGAATTTCTTCACACCAGCATCCAAGTTAGATTTTGAGTAATATGTGTTTGTGTGGATGCACAAATAAAGAGTAATTTTTGTCCAGTTAAATCATGAAAAAAAAAAAAAAAAATTTATAAACTATTTATATAAAAATCAATAATTATGAAATACAATATTCAAAAAATAGTATCAATTCCTTAAAATTCATAAATGTTTTTGGGAAATGTCATGCATGCAATACGATAGAAATCATATAACCTGGGCAAAAGCATGGGGAAATCAAGTTTTGGGGGATAAAAGGGGAAATTAATGGGATTAAACTATGTAAAGCAATTGATAAGTTGTGAGGACATGACGTCACAAACTGATAAACATCTTGGCAATTTGTGTTGTGATTCTCATTGTTCCATAGTTTTACATACTTTTTCAAAAATTTATAACTTTCATATTAGTTATCCGATTTTGCTCAAACTTTTTTTATTGGTTTGTCTGATTTTTCTGCTTTTATTGAAAGTAAGTTATTTTTCGAGTGGACTTGTCCTCCAACTACATGAATAAAGGGTTCATTGTGCCTCTGCAGGAACAGACCTGTAACATTCTGTTAGCATTCATTTTCCCAGGGTTTTTTTGGTAAACAATACCATTATCTTTCAAGTCTCCTATAGAAACATCCTGATCGACAACAATCGTAGTGGACAAATCACACACAAAAATTCCCTGTGACTGATTTGTTCTTAAATTTTATAATCTAAAGTGTATTAAAACAAATAAATTACAGAGGGAAAATTAGTGTGGGGACAAAAACATGAAACAACCAGGCACCTGTTAGTTCATGTCAAGCCCTACTTAATGGAACAACTGATTCAACTTTGGAATACTTTATTAAGGTCACTATCTTCGTAACCCCCTAACTTTAGAGCTATCAGGAAGAAGAAAAAATATATTTGGTAATGATTGGCAAGAATCCAACCTCCAAGTAATGGTATAATGATAAAGAGATGTGTTGATTGTTAATCGTTTGGTATTTCTTATCGACACTAAATGTCAGAATACAAGGTTACCCCAGGGTTAGTTGAATGTATTCCAATTATAAGGAGGAAAAGAGCTTTTCCTGTTTTTCAGAAGGACCTGCCAATATGAGTATAAATAGTGTGCATCCCAATTTCACTTTAACTGGTTGTGTAACTATTGTCAGTGACAGAACCAGTATTCTATGATTTGGGGGAGGGGATGACCAGGCAATAGCTACAAACTGCAGAAGTTGCCCCCACTATTAAAGTAGGATGATAAATAGTAAAATAAGGGGAACACTAATAAAAATAGTTCCATCGCACGAATGATATCATGTGACTACAGTCTAGTTCATATGTTGCACGATGAGAAAGCAATTTGACAACCTTAATGGAGTCATGGGGTTATAGTAGTTACATAAAATTACAAAGTTGAGGTGATGGTGGGGTAATTAAGACCCAATACTAGATAACCAAACCAGGGACCAGAATAAATAAATGACCAGTAAGATGTTTTGAAAAACTGGTACAATCCACTTCATTTGTTCAGGTAAATGTTAAGGAGACCCACACGATGAAAGCAGGATTAGTAAACCCCTGAATGAAATACTCGCCTGGTGATTCAGTTTTAATACACAACTAAGGCTAATAGGTTACTTTAACTGCATCCTTGTAGGCTATATGCAAAGCCACATCCTGATACCTCACCACCAAACAGGGCCCATTGAATAATGGAAATTAAAAGATGATGACGTGGATCCTAATCAAATGATTGGATGAAAGCGTACAAGTGACCATGAATTTATTTTGTCGAACGCGTAATTTGGATAATGACCGGTCATTATCCTATTCTAATGACGGTTCATTGAAATCATATTATAAAACATCATTTTATAGAACAAATAAAAACATAATCTTATAAAACAAATAATACACATCATTTTGTTCAGGCGTTAGTAAAATTACCCACACTCTGTACCTTCAAAACAGTCCAAACACCCTCGGCTACCGCTTCGGGCGTGTTAGACTGTTCCAAAGGTATCTTGTATGGTAATTCTTACTAATGCCCTCATTGCTGTGTACTTTTTTTTTTTAGCAAAGATTAATGCTAAATTCAGCAAAAATATTGATTGTTTCTTTCCTGTTAAATCCTTACTGGATGCCTTTAGAATTACAAAGAAGGTCATATACCCCGAAGCCTGAACTCGAAACCTATAATCTTGTTGATTTACATCTTATGGGTTATGGTTAATACAGCAAATGATTTTGATCAAGACAATGATAAGACTTTGCTACAATGGGACCGAAGTACATGTTTATGAGTAAATTCACCTTTTTGACTTACATGTGTACTGATTGTAAACTTTGGAATTTACTATGTTCTGCTTTGACTGACTTAATATTCAGAATATCTTCCGGGAATTTTCAAGGTAGGTTTTGAGAAGAACAAGTTTTAACAAGATTATCGGTGATGCACAACTCGTCCATGAGAAAACTGGAGGCTACAATGATAACTGTCCATACCTTGCAAAGAGTTAAAACTTTAATTCTTGACTATTTGAGAATGTCAGAAGATACTAGTACTTGGAGCTAATTTACATATTCATGACATCTGTATCACAATAGTACATCTAATACCAGCTCAAGTGGTATTGATTTAATACCCAGGCAATCCATTAAGCTGAACTTAAGGTATCTAGGTAAACAAAAACTGTTAGATATATGAAAAAAACAAGTGATTGTTTTTCATATCTGAACATTTGATGTAAAAGATATAACAAAAATACAGGTATGAGCATTGTTTTAAATAAAAACCTGATAAACAATCAGGTCCATCAACCTTGTGAACATCATATTTGAAATGAATTGTACAAACAGGAGGGACACATCATGAGCATCAGCAATGATATGACCGGCCAGCTTTCTTGCTCAAACAATAGAGTACCAAAGTGCTCACGTCATATTTGCTTGTCGTTCGGGTTACTAGTTCTAAAACAACAGAGCCTAGCATGAGGTTCACCGCGACAACATTCAAGCAAAGGGCTGGAGCAGGGCAAATTTAATGTTTAGCGCTAGTGTGATCACCACGCCCATGTTTAGCACAACTGAACCGGCAACCTTGAAAATTTGGCTAATATGACGTCACACTTCAGTACTGTAGCCTACATTGTAGGTGACAGCTGACTTCCCAAATATATGCAATGTCAGTTAACATTCCTTCGATTCATATACACATCGTGTATCCTTTAGCTAATCATTAATTCTTCAAAGAAATTTCATACAAATTTGCTCTTGTAAGTTCAGTGAAACCTGTCTATAAAGACCATCCAAGGGAGACAAGAAAAGTGGTCTTTAGTACAGGTTCCTTTAGTACATGTTTCAATAAGAAACCATTTTCAAGGGACAGGTGGTCACTAAAGCAGGTTTGGTGTACTTTCTGGAAGACTTACCTAGCTTATCCTGCTGTTTGACGGAGGCACCTCTACTACACAGAAAGGATACAGCTTCATCATTACATGCCAGGACTGCGTAGTGTAAGAGACCTAGTCCTTCTTCAAGACGTTGATCTATATCTGATAATACAAAACAGACAAAAATGTATTATAGCGAAGTGAAAAAAGGTTGATTACTCCCTTAAAACTTTGGACTATAAAATTCTACCCTCTTGCCTCTCTTATTGTGAAATAAAATAGATGCTTGATAAAGAATGGAGATGAAAACAAGTATTGAAAATCTTAAAGGTATTACACACAAATTGCTGGATCGGGGTTAAAATTCTTCAAAACATGTGTTTCATAAATCTACATAATCTTAGAACATTAAAAATACTTAATTTCTTTTAACTTAAGACTGTATTCACCAAACAGAGCAAGAGTCAGGATTGTCAGATGAAATTTTGATCAGATAAATATGATTACCGGTACTGTTTTTCACTCATTTGCTCAAACTACTCTCCCTTGTACATGTGTACAATTGAGTGTCAAGTCAGGCCTGGCTGGAATGCTCCCCAGGGAGTGGAGATTGTGCACACAGTGTGTGCGGGCAAGCACTGAAACCAATGACCGGGGTAAAAGTATATCTGTAAAGCGCTTAGAGACATCCGAGATGTGATAAGCGCATATATAAAAGCTGAATATTATCATTATTATTAATTGCAAATCAGGCAGCCTTTACAATCCCAGTACATCCCTACTTACTTATGATTCTTTGATCAAGCAGCTCTCTGAGGACTCTGATTGGTCCACACCGGAGCACCAGTTTACAGCATGTCACCACTGAATCCTGCAACTCAGGGTCCTTGAAACAAGAGATCAGATCCTTGACCTCTTCAGGCCAAAGGTCACTGAAGGTCACCAGGGGGTTACCGACATGAAATCGATGGCAAGAGAGCTTGGCACGCCAGAAGATGTTGGCTAATTTGAAATCCCTTAAGTCTGTTGGTTTGTTGGTGACATTGAAGGATGCATCGCTCATAGTAGAATCCATGGATTCAATAGACATTGTTCGTTTGATGGTGGACCTGGGTCCAACCTCAGTTTTCTGTGCATCTCTCTTTCTGCGTCTTCTGAACATTTCGCCTGCTTGCTCTTTACAGAGTGTGTCTGACTTTTGTTTTCTTCCAGGCTATGTCTCTCACATCATTTGTCTATATATATTAGAGTTCACAATATTCCTCCAATTATCTTGACGTACACATTTGAAGGCATCAGTCATATTCATTTCAAGCATGTAGAACAACACATAAGTGTATATTATTCGCATGGAAGCGTCAACATCAGCACATCCCTAAAAGATTCCAGTTCCGTTGAAAGTAATTCAAGAGAAATAAAAACAAATTAAGGAGAGGTATTTAAAAAAACATTTTACAGATTTCAATGTGCAGTATACATGTAACTAATAGCTTGAGTAACAGGTATTCACTTCCTGTTTAAGGAAATTTAGAACAGACTTTCTGCACAAAATAAAATAGAGATTCATTCAGTGTTTATTTATCAGGAGTATGACTGCACCGATAAAAAACATTACCATACCCAAATCATAATTTTAGCACGTGAAAATTATGAATAGAAAAAAACATTCACTTGTTGCATGTTCATTTAAAACCCTCTCTGTTATTACCTTGCTTCCATACACTGCATATGTCATAAAGTACGCTACAATGATATGTACGGGTACATATTACCTTGTGGTTTACATCAAGAAATTTGGACAGCTTGGTCTTGAATGCATCTAATGATACAAATCTAACATTTTTTTGGGTATAACCAGTGTCTTGTCATCAAAAGAAACCAATAAACAAAATCAAAATTTTTGAAGTTTTCCTACTTATAATTCATGACTCGATCACCAGTTATTATCTAATATTACAACAATATTTGCTCATATTTTTGAGGTATACAAACATTCTTCAAAAGAACTCTTTCTAAACTGAATGTGATTTCCTTCATCTATGTATTATTCCAAAACACAAAAACATTTTAGTAAAACAAATACAATTTATACTGCATGTATATACCGGTACTGCATACCTGAAATTGCATCAGAATTAGAATACCATATTGTCCTTCAATTTTTTTTTAAATTTCATATTTTGATATTAAAGGTAATATGATGCCTACTTTAGTTAAAGGGTTAGAAAACAGGAAGGAACCGAATCTTACCTTTTAAATCAGTACGTGCAGAATCCTGTTTGCTGCTTATTCCAAGAGTCTTGTAATACTCATCATCTGATATAGTGTCAACAATCTTCATCAAAACTGGTACCTATCACAAAGAAAATGCGGTCACATGATTGCACTGGGGAAACTTCAAGTTTTAGCCAGCGTACTGAGCTCACAACATACAGACTTTGACCCTTACATGATTCTACACAAAGAGAATAAAAACAAAAGCAAAGAGAGACCATTCTTTGAAGTGTATGAACATGACACCAAACATAAGTACTTCCGTGATTTTTAAAAGTATTGTTGTACTGTTGTAATGTTTACACAATGGAAAAGATGATATGGTATGAATCTAGTTTCAATGACAGTTTCAAGAGCTACTAAAAAATATTGCTAACCAGATACTTCAAAGTCCAATCAAACAGATTTTTTAACATACTGAATTGAAAATTTATGAATAGTAAAATAAGGATGAAAGTGATATAACTGAATAACTAACGGTCTGAGATGAAATAAAGAATTGACTAATTCTTAATTCTAATCCAACTAGAAATGGCTTTAGTACTGTATACCGGTACTCAAATCTGTATTATAATATACTGAAAGTCTGATATACCAACATTTATGAGGACAGCCTCTCTTACCATTTCAAGCAGTATACATAAACATGCAATATTGTTAACAAGTGTTTTTTTTTTAACATAGCTCTTTCTAGATTCTACATATTTTTTCTCCAAGTGTTTTGCAAAACTCAAACATTCGCAATTCACATGAATTTTCTTCCATGGGCCAACGTGCCCCCTGTAATTTTTACTGCAATAACCCACAAATATTGTACCTTGGACAAGTTAATCATCCTTATTGGAGCTAATGAGACCCTTTCTCTGCAAGTTGGATTAGATTTATGTGTTTAAACTAGTATTTATTAATATATCCAAATAATCTGAGATGCAATATCTCATTGAGTCTGGTCACAGTTAGATAATTCAGTTTGTGGTAGCTCAAAGCATTGTCCATGAGAACTGGTATAAATGGCAATGAGAGAATTCAGCAGTTAATTGTTTAACCACGGAGCTATCTATACTGGTAGCTCCATGGTTTAACCCACTGTATATGGGAATTGGGTGATCCCTGTATTAAGCCTATGGGAATGAGATAATTCAGTACTCAAGGGGTTAAGACAGCATATGACTAGGTAGTAGGTCATTCATGTTATTTATTACACTGGTAAATTCCCCACGAGTCATTTTTCTCAGTGGTTGGAAATTGATAAGCATGCATGCGTCTCCTGTATTGCGGCGGCGTTTGTGGGATAAGAATGAAAGCATCATCATTAAAGGAAATACATCACCCTTTCAGTTTCATTTGCTTTCACTTTCAAAAGAATAGGCTACTGGTATATGAATTACAATGTATGTGTAGCCTAAAACATATATCCTGCAGTACATATGAATCTAATTAAAACTCATGAAGAATTGTAAATGATCAAGGGAACAAATTAATTTGTTTTGAATCAAATGTGTAGAAAACAAACTGACTAATGTATGTACCAGTATATTGGTGTTTTAGTGAATATAGGGTATAATGTGAGTGTGAAAAGAATGAGTGCCGGTAACATGTTTATACATAAAGATTTATTTAGTATTTTATAACCATCATAAGGTAATAGTAGGTTTGAATTGATTTCTAACTTTATTGCCTCCTGACTGAAGCCCCTTTAAAGGGACTTGGTAACATTGTTCAGATGAGAGGAAAATGATGCTAAGGTAATGACTTCAATGCTAGATGTACAATTAAAGATAATCTGAAGTTTTGAGTGATTGGGAAAAACTGATCTGATATTTTGATTGATTCCTAAAGTCTCCCAACAACATAGTTATAATCAAAATAAATTTTAGGTGAATGTAAATCGTCACATCACAAAGCATTAAATTGGCTCTATATACCATTCCAAACATTTAAGTGTCCAAAGATTTTTTTAAAGCCTATTTTATGTCTTATTTTCGTGGAAAAACGGTTGGGATAATTCAAAAACTAGTTGGGAGAATTTACTGTTATGTCAGGGAATTACAGAAAACCATAAATATCTTTGTGGTTTGAGAATTTTTTCAGGATATTTTGCATGTAAGAGGGTTAGTACAGTAAAAGGAATATAATAAGTAACACTGTACGAAAAATAGGCAGTTTTTTTCAGCAATCTTGAAGAATGCTAAAAGTTCACTTTCAAACATGATATGGTGGAAGGAGATCATTGGGTCATGTCTCCCATGAGAGATACATCGTTCGTCGTTCGTTCGTGCAAAGAATATCAGGGAGTACATCATCTAGATAGGAAGATCCTTATTAAGCCAACAGATTGTCTGGGAGAGAGATGAGAGATACATACTCACTATGGACACTCACTATGGACACTCACTATGGACACTCACTATGGACACTCACTATGGACACTCACTATGGACACTCACTATGGACACTCACTATGGACACTCACTATACATGATGCTAACAATAAAAGGAGTATATTGGACACTTTTATACTCCTTGTATTGTTAGCATCATGGACCTACTACCGTACTACGCATGAACTATCTTAAATCAAGGGGCTTATCAAAAGACTTTATGGGAGAGCAGGAGATTATAATAATTGATCTAGGTAGTATGGACCATGGACTACCAGTACATGTACATTGTAGATCAGGAAAAAGATCCCACAATTTTCATGAAAGGGGTCCTAAAACCATTCAGTTTATGATGTAATCAAGTTGAAATGTAACAGATTATATCATGTTTTGTGTGGTTTTGAATAAAATGAACTGAACTGAAAGAGAGAAGGTATGATGCATGTGTAAAGATCTGTGAGTAAGATGACAAGTGTGTAGATACAGAGGATCAACCTTTGGTCAACTTCATGTTAAATGACTGAAATAGCAAATAATATATGCATAAATTGCCAGAGCAATTCTTAAAATTGGACAATTTGGATCATTATTAAGGAAACATTGTTTATCAAGTCAAGTCCTAACACAGATACACCCATATAGCATTGCACAGATTTAGTTTTAGATTTAACTGTATTTGTGTGTGACAGATAATGAATTTCCAGTGTATTATTATACCAGACTGGACATCCAGCACTAAGCTCCCGTTACAGATCTCATGCAGACCATTGTACTCGTTTCTGCAGGAAATGTTTGTGTTTTCTTTTGCAGCTGCCTCGATTACAAAAAAAAAGGCATTTAATCAATTTGAAAAACACGATCCCACCCTTTGGAATAGGTACAGTTTTTGAGGTTGATCTTATTAATTCTACCTACCGGTACACAAATATGTCTAGGTGGAGGGTACACATGAGATGCATTGGGTGATTGGAGATATTCTGGCCTTCTTACTGGGTATTAAACACTTAACTGCCCAGTCAAGCCTTTAAAGTCACTGAGTAGTCGGCTCTCATGGGGAATTCGACACCGTTCGGGTGTTTACCCAATAACAGGTGTTGTTAATCACCAGGGTTAGCCTTGAGTTTTATGACCATTGGACCTTATGTAATGCTTTGAATTGCCCGAAGACTCTCGAGCTCTCCGAGAGATTAGGGGGTAATTCTTGACTGGACTATGGGTTTGCTGTGTGCAAATTTGTACCCCCATTAATGGTATTTCCACCAAGTCTGGTGTCAGCGAATTATGGCCTTCTGCACATGGAAACTGGCGATCCACCCCCTTTAAGTGACTGAAAAGAAAGTGTTTGCTAAGCTATTCATAAAGAGGTATCTGTTGCATCATTTGTAGGAATTGAAATTGATTGTCACCTTTCATGGAAAGAACATATTCAGACAATAAACAAATGCATAAGAAAGAAAGTAGGTATTCTGTTTAAACTGAGACATTTTGTTCCCAAGAATATACTTGTGTTATTATATAAGGCTTTTATACAGCCTCACCTCTCTTATGGAGTAGAAGTATGGGGGAGCACTTACAAAAGTAATCTAAATTGTATATATTTAAGTAAAAAAATGGCAATGAGAGCAATTACATTCAGTCCACTTAGAACAGACTCCAAAGCTCTTTTTCAAAGTCTAAACATTTTAAATATTTTTCAACTTCATGAACTTCTTGTATCAACATTTATGTATGATTTGGTAAAAGGTTTTTTACCACACTCTTTAGTGGATTATTGTCAGATGATACAGCACAGATATGCAACTAGGAGAAAAGAAAGTGGCTTACTTTATCAACCAAAATGTAAGACAACGCAAGGGCAATTTTGTATTTCGTTTGTAGGAACAAAGCTGTGGAATGATCTGCCAGATGAAATTAGATTAAAAACATCAAGGTTATATTTTCGGAGACATCTTTCCACCTACCTTCTATGTAAATGACGTGGGCTCAATCCAACCCCCCTTCGTTTTTTCCTTTTATATTACTTGTCTTCCTTTTATATAAGTATACACTTCCTTGTTAACGATTATAGCGGCCTTAAGCTTTTACAGGATTTGTGCATGTACGAACATGTGTATGATTATTTTTATTAATATATCCTTTTCATTTTTATGAACACATTGATGATTTTATTTCTTCAAAGATTTGTCTTCTTTCATTTTAATGCTTTAACGCTTAAGCTTTTTTATTTATATTTTTTCATTTTAGTAAAGAAAAAAAGTTACATGATATTGTATTATTTTGTTGTATATATGTAAATACAAAACAAACAAGTTTTACATTCATATGTAAAAACAAATTAACAGAAAAAAAATCTTGCCAAAGAATGGAACTAGGCTCGACTAGCACTTGTGCTAACTTCTAGTTCCCATTAACAACTTCACCTAAACATAGTAATATACATATTTACGTATATATCTTTTGTACATTTAATAGTATGCAGATGTATGTCTAAAAAATATCGTTTTAAAACCATTACTGTTCAATCGACATTACTCTTGTGTTATGTATACATGTATCAGTATTATTCTTTGCATTACATGATTGTTCATATGTACTGTCATTATTGTGATGTGTTGTTGTTAATAAATTCAAAAATACTGATCTTTCCTTTACAGCCAGATTTAGCAGATTTTCTGACAAAATGAAGAACAATGTACCTTGAAGTTTTACTAAACCCAGTCTTAGTATCAGACTCAGTCAAACGATTGCTCCTGCATAAAGAATAGGAAACGTATTTCACAAGGGAGTCAAGCACTACTTGGTTATTTTGTTTCCACAAGTACATTTTCAAAAATAGACCTGCACAATATCATTCATGTAGTCCTACTCTGTATTGCAATTTAAATTAACTTACCGTATAGATTATATTTCTTATGTATACTCCCAGCACCTTCAGCATTTTGTAGTTGAAATACTGGTACACGTATAACACTAATATACTCATTATTATAAATCATAATTATCATTATCATTACCATCATAATTGTTTTTGATATTACTATTATTACCGGTATCATGCTTTTAATTATAAACCAAGAATATTTTATTCTTTATCAGTATCTATCTTAATGTTATAAAATTAATAGAAAATAGATTTCTTTAGCAAATTAAACAAACGATTTTTTTTTTTTTTTTTACTTGGCACACCTGGCCACAACAGACAAAGAAAGAAATCGTTAAACAGTGATTTTGCTAGAGTGCCCATGTTTGCACTGCGTCCTTATCTGCACATACGCACAGTTGTACTATTCTGATAAAACAAACCACTCAACCAACACAAAATATCTGTCCCTACTGCTATAACCGTACATATTAAGTGTAGAATAAAAGGGATAACTTCAATACAATACAAAAATTCTTGTCAATTTCAAGCAAAATATTACTGTGCGCAGACATAGGGTTCCCCTTCATATGGACTACAAAATTGACAGAGGCGCACAGCCAATATGGGCGACTATATATACATCTTCTATTTGGAGACTTTTTTCAATAATTTTGGTAGCCTATTTGGGAGCCAATCTCCCATTTGAGATACCAATTTCCTTAGTTATTTACATTTGCGGCAAATTAGGGATTATCTCTGCTCAAAATAAAAATATGAGCAGATTAAAAATCAAAAATTACTTGATTGAACGTCTACTTTTGTTTTTTATTTAAAAAAATTAATGATCTACACAAGTACAATTCACAAAACCAATGGGATCCTGACTTCAGGGAGGCAAAAATTTGGCACTAATAAATTGGCTCCTTGATTATTTTGTTGCTTTTGTGTTTATGTAAGCCAAGTCTGCAACATTGGATACAATAGTCTCTGAATTGGGAGAGCTCAGAGAGTCAGTCTCCCAAGGCCTCAGATCACTCTCACTTTCTGAATTGGTAACATCATCTCCTAGACCTACAATACATCTACATACTTTCTCTTCCAAATATCATATCAGCTTCTTTCTCTATCTCTCTCTCTCTCTCTCTCTATTCTTCTGCACATGATGTGAACGGACCATGAAAACAATAAAGTAGACTCAAGTTGAACCTGATTTGTTTGCACAATTGTCACGATTGTGAATGTCAACAACATGCAACAGTCAACACTCAACATTGCACACTCACTTTATAGCACATCAAGACTAGAGTCAGAGTACTTGATAGAAGAATACACTAACATTTCTTGCTCAATTTCGAGTCAAATCTTATATGCAAGTTATGGTGGCAGGCGTATCATGCATACGGGAGCTCCAACCTAACCTAAGCTTCCCGATGAAAAGCAGCGTACCTAGCCCGACCGCGACCGCGGCGATCAAAGTCTAGTCAGACTTACTGCGAAGTGCGAACAAAGCTTGCCGTCTACGACGGTAAAATAATGACAATATGAAGATATGCCTGGCTATTTAAACGATAAAAACGGGGCATTTCAGATATAATAAGACTAAATTTTTACTTAAAATTATAACGTTAATACTTACGAGTAGCATAGAACTTTCCTTCCAACAGAGCGTTGTTTACAAATTATTGTATGATCAGCGCGCAGATGACATGATGCATCTGATATTATTTGCATGCTAATTCACTGGTCAGTGCAGTACTATACGTACGCCCAGGGATATGTGAGTTTAAAGGATCCACCTCCACCACGCCGAACATAATGGCGTATACGTTTACGAAATAGATATCTTGTCCGCGAATGGCGCTGTTCACATTTTGATCGGAGGGCATACTGTTTATGTCATCGAATCTCTTTGTTTTGGACACTGACCAAATATGCAGTTTACCCTTTGTAGATATATTTTTCTTTTTAATCCACCGGAAAGCATAAAACTATATGAAATTGTTAGAGTGTCCTCTAGTCAACAGCTTTAACTGGTGGGTGGGTGGAGCTATAGGGAGGGGGCAGAGGATCGAGTTGTTGCCCCCGGCCACCTAATCTACAAGAAAGTATACCATAACAAAAAACGCCCCTTGTATGTAAGTAAACAAATGCCCTTCTATCCAGTGATGAAATTGGTGGCCCCCTTTAGTAAAGTTTCCCCTTCTTCATCTCGTGTGACCTAAAAATATATCCTTATGATAAAAAGGTTCCCTATATTTTAGTAAATCTGTGTCAATGACCTTGCCCTTGTTCCAGGTAGAGTTTCCAAACAGGAAGTTGCTTATAATTACTGAGCCAAAGATGTGCCATTTTTCATTTAATCCTTCATTTCCCCCTCAAAAGACTTGTTTCAAGAAGAGAGCATGCAAAAAGGATGATTTCGATAGTCAGAAAGCAGTGGAGGATCCATGGGTGGGCCGAAACGGCCGCGCCCCCCCCCCCCCCCCCCCATTGGCGGCGCAAAAAAATTGAGAAGGAAAAAAGAGGAAGAAAAAAAAGAAGAAAAAAAAGGGGGGAAAGGAGAATATAAAAGAAAAGAGAACAAAAAAGTAAAGAAAAGAGAGAGAGAGTTCAAAAAAGAGGAAAGAAAAAGAAGAGAGGAGCCGGGGAGAAAGAAAGACAACCGGCCGGCCGGTTGTCTTTCTTTGCCGGTTGCCGCGGCCCTACTCAAATGGTAGTGACGGTAACGATGGATAAGGGAATAAGGAGGAAGGGATGCACATGCAGGCGTGTACGCAGGGGGGGGGGGGGGGGGGGGGGGGGAGAGGGGGTCGAACCCCCCTCAAATTTTTGTCAAGTTGTCAAGTTGGTCCTGAGGTGTATAATGCGTAGACCAGGGGTTCTCAAACTTTTTCTTTGACGGTCCAGAAGCGATTTCTATGAAAGCTGCAAGGTCCGAAATGACACTTGTATACTGAAGATAATGAGGCTTGTTTTTGGTCTATATTCTGATCCAAGGAGAATTGTTACAGTTTTAAAAAAAACAGAACCGCCAGTGCTTCCACTCGTTTAAATAGAGTTTCCTGAAAAATAACACCCAATATCCTGGAATTAGAAGGAATTTTCTTAAAACTTTCAAAATGCCTCTTACGTGGATTTCTTATTTGGATGAATCGCTATGACGTTTTAATATATTGAGTGGGCTTATTTTGCTTTCTAATGGATCCATACAACATGGCAGGGCTTGAGGGGCCTGGCAGAGCCTTTTCAAGAGAGAAATTGTCTTTAGGAGAAAAAAAGAGGTTATTTCTAAAATGAAATGAAAGGGTTATTGACTTTCAAGAGAGAAAATTGTCTATAAGAGAGGAAAAGAGGTTATTTCTAAAATGAAATGAAAGGGCTCTTGTCAAATAGCCTTTTCATTTCATTTTTTCTCTCGAAATAAACTCTCTTTCTCTCTTATAGACAATTTTATGAGATGGAATCTTCAATCTGAAGCCTTTTTGTGCTCTTTGAAAATGGCACACTGAATGGGGGCAGTGCAATTTAAATTTCAAGGGATGGATTAGAGTTTTTATCGCTCTTAAAAGTCAAATAGCCCTTTCATTTCATTTTAGAAATAAACTCTAATACATTCCTTGATATTTAAATTGCGCTGCCCCTATTGTGTCCTCTTTTTAAAGAGCACAACAGAGCCCTCAGATTAGGCAGCAAGTAGTAAAACAAACCCGTAACACTGGACACAACATTCAATGGGATGATGCCCATATCATCGAGTTTGAAACGCACTTCTGGTCAAGAATGGTAGAAGAAGCATCTGCATAAAAAGGATGAATCCTTCACTGAATAGGGATTCTTGCTATTATGTTACCTTTCTTCGCTCCAGTGATCTCGAGGTAGCAGACAGCAAGAAATTGTGTAAATAATTTGCTGTTGCCGGGAGTCTTGCATGTTCTTCCTTTCTTCTTTCTTTCTTTCTCTCCCTCTCTCTGTCTCTCTCCTTTTCCTCTATCTTCTTTTTTAAAAACATTATTCTTTCTTTTCTTCTCATTTTTCTGTGTGTGGCATGCGTTACGCGTACGTCTATCAATGTCTTAATATCTACCATAATGGTATTAGATTTACATTTTGATGTTTCCCATTTTCACCTTTGCTAACTGCCCTTTTATTTTGAATCGTGCCCCTTTTCCTTTCTAATAAGGGACCTATCCCCTTTTCACCTCTGATAAATCAATTTCTGATGGATGCCCCGTTTCCGTCCACAAATGCCCATTTCCCATACTCATAAGTGCCCTTTCTCATTTCTGGTGAGTGCCTCTTTCAGGTGTAAGAAGTGCCCCGTTTGAACCTTTGATAATTACTCTTTGTACCTTGACACATGCTCCTTTTCTTTTCTAATAAGTGTCTTTATCCCTTTCGATATGTGTCCACTTAACCTCTCATCATCAGGCACGTAGGCACGGGGGGGGGGGGGCACGGGGGGAACATGCCCCCTAACCTGCTCATCATTAGTCTTGCACCTAATTTAAAGCGACTAAGAGTAATTTCCCCTGAAGCTCGCTCGCTCGCATTTATAGATGATACAATTAAATGTCACTTTAAAACAAATGTTTTTTTCAGTCTTCCGTGATGCTTATAACCCCATCATGATTTGGTTTTTTTCCTCTTTATAAGATGTAATTTTTCGCTCTGCGACCTCACAGATCTTAAATTTTTTTCTCGCTCGCTTTGCTCGCTCGCAAATGAATATTCAGACAATCACACCAAGCCGAAAGTGTGATGCTTAAGCAATATCTTGTATGATAAATAAAGAAAAACAAATATTGAGATCGTCCCTGATAATGGAATCACAATGAAAGGATATATACCAATGTTTAAAAAAATGTATATTTTCGCTTTGAGATTTCGCTTGGTAGGTGCCCTTTTTTGTTGGTGCTTTCCACTTCGGAAATAGCTCCGCCGCCCCTGCTTACACATTAGCGCCAGCTTTAATTTCACGCTTGCGCGCACAGGGGGTGTGTGTGTGTGTGTGTGTGTGTGGGGGGGGGGTCCTCTCTAGCTCTGAAGCTGATTTTTTTTTTTACCTAGATTCGTGCGATTCGGTTAATACTTTTAGAGGGAGTCTGAGGGGTGATGTGCCCCCCTCTGAAGCTGACATTTTTTGGATTTTTGAAACTGGATTCGTGCGTTTTGGTTAATACTTTTTTTGGGAGTCTGATTTGATTTCAAAACACCTGCAGTTAATGCGGGATGGGGTTGCAGCCTCTCTTTCCCCGAAAATTTAAAAATTACCAATATGCATTTGTTATATCTTATCTCGTATATTTTGGTGACAATTAACACTTTTCACAACTTACATAAGCTGAAATTTCCGCTAACTCGCTTCGCTCACTCGCCAAATTATTAAACCAGGAAATAGATATTGGGGCAAGAGGCTTCAGCCCCCACTGATGGAAATGTAAAAAAATTGCGCGCGAGCATAACTTGAAAACGGGGAATGTTGATATCGGACAAGAGATGTGACGTGAGCATGTCCCCTTTCCAAAATAATTGTGCCCGTTTGTAGGTACCAGTACACTATTAAAGTACAGTGCTTCTAATATGACCTTATGTCAGTATTGGTAAGTTTAAATAACGGTCTGCGCGAATTTCGAATTTCCGGCCCCCCCCCCCCTATTGGAAAATCCTGGATCCGCGCCTGAGAAAGTGCCCCTATAATTTTAGGAAGTGCCCCTATAATTTTAGAAAGGGCCTCTATACCTTGTGAAGAGACAGTGTTATACCACACATCAGATCTAGGAGATATATGAAGAGGCACTTTATATTTTGTTCATGTAACAATTATAACACTCTTACATTGACTCTATCACAGCACTTTTGTTTTTTACATTTTCTTCAATTTGGATCATATGAATGAGCATCTTTATGCTTATCCAAAAAATCAAAGATTTTGAATATATTATTAACTAAGCTTTCAGCAAGTGCATTCCAGAAATAAATCCTACCAGGTAACCACTTACTATACCTCCGTCCAGTGTGGCTGGCAAAGGAATATTATTGTCTTGCCAAATGATATAGCAGGGATTCAAACCCCCATACCTTGTGAGTCACAGCCATGAGATTTATCCACTGAACAACACCTCTACATTCAACAAGACTTTCTCGGACCAATTTGGTATTTATCATGTCTCCTGAAAAATAAAATAAATTATTAATAATAGAAAGGAGAAATGTTTCTCTTCCTCTCCCACACACTCTCTCTCCCCCCCCCCCCCCCACTCTCTTCCTGACACCTCCCTCTTTCTAAAGTCAATTCTAAGTTTGGCACAAATGTAAACAAATGCACCAAAAATAAAATTAGATACATATATCCTACAACACATACCAGTTTTGTATCTCAATAGAGTCTTTATTGAAACCATAGAATTGCATTGACAAGCTACAGATTGAACAATTGACAAAACAATGTTTTGAGGATATGATGGCTTTACATGCAATGTACCAACCATCTGGTTTTAATGAGCTACTTGGAGTAATTAAAGCCACACAATGGACAGCTAATATCAAGCTTAATATAAACACAGATTGAATGGAATGTAGAGAGGATTGGAAAAAAAATAAACCGTAAAATACATGAACTATCTAATAAATCAAGGGGGGTGTTTCACAAAGATCCTAAGTTGAACTTATCTCTAAGTTGGACTTAACAATTATGGAAAGCCATTAGTATCCTTGAAAAATATTTTGTACAAGTTATTTTAAAAGGCATAAATTGTTGATTTAAATCATTCATATTTTCTATTATCATGGGAGGTTTCATGTTCTTGATGTGGAATTTATGAAAAGTCTAAAATAATTAAATTTTTGCTTTTGAATACATTTCACTATAAGGCTACAAATGGCTCTTCATAATATTTAAGTCCAACTTAGAGTTAAGTTTGACTTAGAATCTTTGTGAAACACCCCCCAGATCTAATAAATCCAGCTACCGTTGGATTGCTTTAATAAACTCTTCTCTCTCTACATTCTTTTTGTAAGCTATATTGTGAATCAAATTCGCTGCTGGAATAGCCTTTTTAAGGTAGAATATACTCATCTGATAAGTTTTAATAACTCTCAAAGATTGGACTTGCCCTATAAGAAAAATTGTTAATCTATGCCAACGATATAATAACCTCATATTTAGTGGTTATGTGCATCAACATAACACACAGGCAAGAAATTCAAAGTAAAATATAATTGAAATGCCTATCTGTCATTACAGGCGTACTGTATTTTCCAAGCATACAATTTGGTTAGAAATGATTACTACCGGTATGTGACTATTAATCAAAAACAATCATAAAACTGAATACAGAACATTTAATCCCAGAATTTTTTTATTAAATGCTGAAATAAAAATGAGTTTTAATGATTTCAAGTAGGATAATACTAACAGAAGAAAAAAAAATCTTTTTCAAAAGAACTTTATCCTTTTTTAAACATCTCTTTTAAGATTTAAAATCAAGTCTAAAGTTCCATTCTAAATATAAGAATTTAAGGTTTTTTTCCAGATCAGTCTAGATGCCCTTTAACAAAAATTAAGTACTTAACAATAAGGATTAAGGAACAAATAAAGCAACGACCTTTAGTCTTTCTATTGTTTAAAAGGGAAAAGCAAAAAAATACAGTAAGGTACCGTATGAATATATTTACTTTTATTCTAAAATTTCAAAAGCATCTAAATGATTTGGTCAATCGAGATAAAAAAAATCTATAAAATCATAAAATAAACATACATAATTTCCCTTTTTAATTTGAAGTCATCTCAAATTATTTGTTCATCAATTAAGTAACAAGTTTACCATAATTTCTAGTATATGTCAAGTACTATCTTTTGTGTGATTGGCAATGATAGCTGTAGGCTTAATACAATCCATTCATTCAAGGTAGAAATTAGAAAATTACCTGGTAAAGATAATCGTAATACTGGTAGAAATTTAAGAGTAGAGCAACTGGAAATAGACAGAAATATAAGGTAACCACTTTAGCAATATAATATACAATATATTGTGCATTCTGCATTGTATGCTGATAATCATCAAAACATATACTGAACATATGGGACCAGTTTGCCTAAGTTCAAGAACATTATAAAGCCACCACCATACATGTGCAATGCTTTCAAGAAACTAGCTCAGGGCATTTACTTCACAATATGCAGCAGGTGCTTTCATTTTCTTGTTAACCAGGAGTTCGCAAAGAATTCTGTTCAAAATTTAGAGTCATAGATTAAGTCACACATACCATGATAATTTCAAACAAAGTTGAAATAATACCCTTGCTGAATGCCTGACATACTAAACCTTTTAATGACTATGATGATGCTTCTCATCTTACAATTACATCAAAATAATAGATTTCTGTTTAAATCATTACATCTATAAAAGAAATTTACTTCCATTGTTATCAATATTTGAAAACTGGCTTTATATTTTTTCTCTTGAATTGTTTAATTTCATGCTTTCACCTGCTAAATCTAAATGGCTACATTTATTCATTTGTTTTGTTGTTGCCTGTTATCGTGCCATTAAAGAATTAGGAAAAATCATCACAATGTGTTAAATAATAAGTCAATGAATTAAAATTCATGAAAATAGGAAACGATTGCAGATGACTTTCATGAGTTGTCTCTACTTAACATTGTTAGTTTTCTTGAACAGGTCTTTGGATAAGATATCTCTCTTCATCAGGACAGAGCATGCTGTGATCTGTCAATTTGAATTGTGCAAAGTCAAGTCACTACAAGGCTACATTCTTCACAATTCCTGAAATAAAAAACTTAATTGCACTTTAGTAAGTTTTGAATTGCATTCCACATAAAAAGAAAACAAAAGTAATTTTGAAAATAAGGATCAATTTAATCTTAAAATCTATAATCCTCAATTTCTTTTAGTCTATACCCAGTACTACTTATTCATTCTTTCAAAAAGATGTGGAATATCCAACAATAAAACTAACATTATAATTTATTTAAAAACCATCAAATGATTTCAACATATGTGTGTTCCACACTAAACAAAAATATTTAGGTATCTCGAAAATATCTATCAAACTCTGTATTTCAACTTTGATGAACTTTTTGTCTGATATTTCAGCATGATTTCTTTAATTATGCAACCTTCTTTTCTTTTCCAGGCATCATACAAGTAACCTTATTTGGAAACTGCTTTCTGAAATGCCTCTAAACCAAGATTTCTCATCAACTGACTTCATGATGACATGGATCCCAACACAGCCCCGTCTCGTATTTGCACTTATTTTGTTTGGTTTGATTTCCTAGTTCTTCCTTGGTTGTTGTACCACATTGACAGGTTTACTGGCTACGTTCTTCTGATGTGTTGGCACTGGTTTCTCATGGAACGTCTTGATGGCCTCGGGCGGGAAATCCTTGTTACCATGCGAAGGCGCTCCAGATATGAGTACTTTCACATCATTAGTGGGAGGGCTGAGAGAAAAAAAGAAATACAGAGAAACAAGAAATCAAATGCATGCTATCAAGGTATGATATCATGACGAATCAATTACAAGTAGAGGCTAAAGTATAAATACTCTCTACCTTGAGAATTTCAGTATCAATGCAACACAGCTTTATTCACAGTACTACATTATAAAGACAATATCAATCATACCTCAGTCTCGGTCACACAGACGAGACCAACATGAGACCGACAATAAACTGAGTAAAGTTGCAGTTTCTTGGAATAGCCAAGAATCGGTCAGTTTGGTATTGGTTTGGCGGTGTATCTGAGTTATTAGCCTTGTGGTATCCTTCAATATACATGTACAGTATGAGATTATTTTCATTGACATATTTATAATGACAATGTTTGCACTCTGATTAACAGCTGTAACAATCATTTTAGTTCCCTTGATGGCTGTTTGATATTCTTATCCGTCTAAGCATCTGCTTTTGGCTTATCACCAGCTAAGCTCTGCCATACATATTCTATTCAATTTTTTTCATTTTATTTTGTAACTATAAGGTCACTTGTATTACAAATATTACAAATTGACATTTTGTACTGCAAATATTCTAAATTCTTATATAATAACATTGCGACTGCTATACTGTAATGTAATTGAATAATTATGCTTTGAAGCAAAGTTTATGATGTTCTAGTTAAAGGAGTATCATTATAGCATCAACTTCAGATAAGATCATACAATAGATCATGATGCATAGGATTTGATTTAAAGCAACACATATTCTTTGTAGAAGCCAGCCCCATACATTAAAGGGGGGGGGGGGGTGGCGATGTACATATCAAAGAGAGGAATATGAATCAATCAATCCTGACATGATGAGAATTTTCCTACCTTTTTCCAGTTGTTTCCTCGTATTCCTCATCTTCAACGTCAGGTTCCTTAACAGCCTTATCATGATGGACCTTCCCAGGTATCCTCACTCCTCCTACCTTCACTGAAAAACACAAATAACAAACATATTCTTTGATGCTGCTTATAAGTATCGGCTTGCAAGGTGATGTAGATATACAGTAGGCTTACAACTATAAGCTAAAGAAAGATTACCAACAGTCTTTTTCAAGACTACCAACAGTCCCTTTCAAGACTCCCCAATCCTTCCCCCCTCTCTCTCACATGGTGCAACTGTAAGCCTACTGTAAACATATTCTTGTTCCACTGAATGGTTATAACAAACTCATTGTTATAAAACATGTTAATCCCTCTATTTTTTTATTATATTGCTTTTTAGTCCTGATATAGCATGGTTGCAATATAAAGAGGTAATATCCTTGGTCCAAATGTAATTGTTATTGCAAGGTTTTACTGTACTTGGGCCATTCCATGGTAACTCGCGTTACACCTAATGGGTACATTGACACGATAATGTGCCTATATCTTTAGAACTGCTAGGATCTGCAAGATACTTTTTTCAAACATGGACAGGGTAGATATAGAACAACTGAATGAAACAAAAAAGAAAATTGAAGAACAAACATTTTTAGATTCTTGGATTATTGAATTTTGGTAACTCGCGTTACAAAAAAAGGACATGGTCAATTCTATGAGACCCTCTTTTGGCAAAGTCTCCTCATACTAGACAATCTTGACAAAATCTTTCCTACGTTGATAGTAGGTTGAGACTTACTAGCATAAGATCACAATATTAAAGATAAGAAACAATGGACCAGTAAAATGCAGGAAGCAAATATGTCGGTAACTCACGTTACGGTAACTCGCGTTACATTTTGTCCGGAGGCCATTTTCACCCCTATGTAATAGATTAAATATCCCTGGACCCCTTAGAAAAGGCTTAGAATATGGAAATATATTCATCTTTTTCAATTTAGCGAAATTTTCAGGAAAAAATATTACAAGAATCCTGTGTAATCTGCAATAAATTGTTTTTTTTTCATCTACAGTCCCACATGTACGTTTTTGATGATGGTTTGAGATCTTAGGAAATCAACAAAAATGAAAAATAAATTGTATTGAATTTGAAAGGCCCTAATGTTTTATGAACATCCATGGCATAAGGTTAGTGATAAATCAAAAAATTAACATAAGAGGTACATTTCTTTTTTTTGATGTCATGTCCTTCTTCTCATGGAATGGCCCACTTTATTTTTAAGGTTAAAATGCCCTACATTGAGATGCCACCCACATAATTTCAAAATCTATGCATGTGCGAGTCAAGCAAACTGGAACAATTAAGCGTATTCAACATCTCAAAACCTAGATGTGATGTTGGTCAATCTTATGATGGTTTTGTGAAACAAAGCCCAGGTAGATTTGACAGAAAGTTAATTGATTACAATAGTGGATCAGTTTATGTATGCATTATTGTAGAGTCAATGCAGGTTTCCACTTTTTTGTAGATAGTCACTGAATGTATACTTAGTACTGATGAAATTCACACAGGTGTCCTGTCTGTTATGCAGACATTAGTATTCACGATATTGACAGTATCACAAATAATGCAACCTATACATACATTCAACTATTCTTGTGCATGTTCTCTTCCTCCTCTTCATGACACTCTCTAAGCTGCGGGCACCTATCTACACTAATCACTATTGTTGTACTAAAGCATCAACTTGGCAATGCAATATCAGGCATTTTCACTTTATTACCTGTGTAGCAGAAACAACATTGCCAACTCTAATCAGAGGTCAACATTTTTGTAATGTAAATTGCATATATTTTTGGTTATATTCTTGACCAATTTCAGAATCAAGGTGTTTTGCACAAGTAAAAGAAGAGTCCTGCATCTGCAGCGAACTTGGACTTGGAGCTACAAAGTACATAAAGTTTGCAAGGTTTGGCGGATCCATATAGGTCTATGTGCAGGTAAATGGGTGCCAATTAAGGCTTAGTGATATTAATATCATTCATATTTCAATATCACCAAGACACCAGGTAGCATGACAATGACCATGATTGGTGCCATGATGACAACACTTCTAAAATGGCGCACGCACATCAGAGCTACCAAGTGTCACGCATTAGGCGTGACGTCAAACATTTTGAGGGTCTGAAAACGTTCTCACGCACGACGCGCGCTAGATTTAAAAAAAAAAAAAAAACCTTATACGTGTGTTATACCCTCGCAAGCGCACTTGTGCGCCGAATCATGAAAATGTCACGCATTGCTGATCTTTGTTTGAACTTGCCGTTCTGCGACATCCACCCAAAATGTATACAAACTTTCACAATAGAGAGAAGAATGAAGGTAGACTTGAAAATTGGATTGCAGAACTGACTACATTTGCCCAGTAGTCGATAGATCAGGTAATAAGTATATTTATTTGACAAATGATGGGTGAGCTGGGCTGCACCGCCATCGCTTCCCACACCCAGACCCTACCCGAGCCGACCCGAGCCCACATCAACCCAACCCTCGGGCCTCGCCCAGCCTCGAGGCTCGAGGTCACACAATTTGAATAGGTCTACAAGCTGTTTATTTCCTATTCGACATGTTTGTTTCACCATGTTGTAGAATAACAAATTCCTACCTGCAGGAGCATGTCCAGCTTTTAAATCTGGTTTTCCTGGCGATGACATTATGACGAGCTTTCCTTCACAGTCAAGTGTTAGATTAAATTCTTGGAAAATACGGAGCTTCGACAGTCAGTAGTTGCAGTTGCGTGTTGTAAGTTTGTTTTGTCCACGTCGCGAGTATAGGTGAGCGTCGACACATCAGAGAGAACCTTGTCAGGGTGAAATCACTAATAGGCACTTCCGTAGAATAATAAAGTGCCAAAGACACGATACACCTGATCCGTATTTGCCACCAACAATAATATTGATAGGATTCACTGTTTCACAAATGACAAAAATAAGTGAAAAAGATGTTGATAACCAATCAGAAGCAAGGATTTCCGTAGCTTATAACAAAAACACTGTCATTTGTCACTGATGACTAGTTTTGTGAAACGACGCCCCCTGGAGTGACGTTTACCCCAATAAAAAAGAAAGAAATAAAGAAGAAAAAAAAACAGAGACAAACTTAAATGTCATTGCGTAAGAAGAAAAATAAAGATTTTGATAACAATTACTAATTTACTATGGGCCTATATAATAAGTCCCCGAGTGCTGGCACATCACAACTTCTTTATGAAAAACAGAACTTTTACTTTTCTCCCTCTCTTTTCCTCATACGAGGCATTTTATTACTTTATATCATTCAATCACAATTATATACAAACTCAACAGACTGATAAAATGAAATAGGGGAGACAAACAAAAAGTGGAAGGGAAAGAAATGCGTTACATCATGATATTACCCATTACTTTTTCTTGCTTTCTGTTTTGCCAATCAAACATAAAACATAACATCATTTTTGAAACTGAGGCCTTTTACTGGTTACTAGGGCTAATCAGGAATATAGATTTACCATAAATCCCCATGGATACACGGTATCCAATGGCAGTTATTAGAACTCTGATATGTAAAAGTGATGTTAAAACTGAAATTATGGGTAATATATAAAACATTTAACATCTAGGCCGGCTGTTTTTTGCACAGATTTTTAAACCATATTGTGAGCAACACTGAGATAGCTTTTTGTAGACATTGACCAAGTTTTTTTTGTTACGACAATTGAAATAATTTCGGTATAATACAGCTTAAACACACAGTTTTTCAGAATGCCGCTCCAGGGTGTTTCACAAAGATCTTAGTTGAACTTATCTCTAAGTTTGACTTTAAAATTATGAACAGCGATTTGTAGCCTGATAATGAAATATATTAAAAAGCAAATATTCAAGTATTTTAGACTTTTCATAAATTCCACATCAAGAACATGAAATCTCCCTTGATAATAGAAAATATGAATGATTTGCCGGAATCAACATTAATTTCATGCCTTTAAAAACTTTTACAAAATATTTTCAAGGATGCTAACGGCTTTCCATAATTGTTAAGTCCAACTTTATAGAGATAAGTTCAACTTAGGATCTTTGTGAAACAACCCCCAGGTTGCACTTCATAAAAAAGAACTAATTAATTAGCCACCATATAGGATATAGCCTGTGCACCGAACCAAGGCTTTTAGAAGGATCGAAGTACCAATCATATACTACCCATACATGGCGTGCTTAGTAGAACTTAATAAGCATTCTCTGTAAATTAAGCTCTTTGGGAGTATGTTCAAGCGCACGTTTTTATGAATCTCCGTTTTTATGTGTTTACCACTGAGCTGTTCGGTTCGGTTCACCATCGAGATACAATCTTAATTCTTTCCAGTATATCGCCGCCATATTGAAACTAGCGGATAGACCGCCCCCTTAGAGCTATATATAATAAGACCGCCCCATATTGCAAATTCAATGTACCTAGCAGTACGACCGAGACCATATACCAAATCGGACTTTTTTGTTGTTTTTGTATTTTGTTCAAGCAGTCGGCACACTATAGCCTACTTTGCGATGATGAAATATCTTATCACTTTTTATGCTGAGTTTTGTCCCGTTTTGTCTTGAGATGCTAGATCTAGTCGCTATGTCCCTTTTGCAGCCAACCCGGAGCGGGCCAACCTCAAATTCTGTAGAACTTTGCAGGAATTATGAATATGTAATGTATGTCCTATCTCTGAAATTTAAACGTTAGCATGTGTCCTAATATGAACCCGTTTACTTGCTAGACTTCACTGTCAGACATCTACTGAGTGCATGACTGAATGGCTTTTTTCTTCGTTGGTAATAACAAACATAAAATAAGCTGTAAAGGGTACATGAGCAATTGTCTACATCAATAACCCACTTCTTGTAATGGCCAAATCAAACTGATTGAATCTTTGCACAGCATAAAACCATTCGGTACAATGGTCTGAAAATCAAGACTATTACTTATTGGCTCTATAGCTCCTAAGTCGATTCAGGGACAACTATGTTAAAAACATTTTCAAGCCCCCCCCCCCTTTTTTTTTAGGGAAGTTCTAAATTAGTATTTTCTTTCAAATGCCGTTGGAATTTAACCTTTTCATTTTTTGGCCTGCAAATGGGACATAGTACCTTTAAGCTTCTTGGTTTTTGGAATTCTCATCTTGGAGGCAGTTAATTGTAATTTTGAAATTGAAAGGGTTAGGTATACTACTCGGAATAACTGCATTTGAATCCTCCTTTTGAAAGTAATTTCATAATATAGATTATATGCGCCACCCCCCCCCCCCCCCTCCACTCCGGGGTCGGATGGACCGTGTCAGGAATGCCATTTTAGCCCGTTTGGTAATCTTGCACAGTGACATAAATATTCTCTCTTGAAATAGATTGCTGAACCAGCTCTGCTTTTATAAATCAATTGATTTTTTTTTAAAGTCCGTGGTGCTATGTCACTGCAAACTGATACTGAAATTAACAGCCTCCCCCCTTAAAAAAAAAAGAAGATTATGCTCCCCGATACTGTGTTCTATTAGTGCTTACACCTGCATTCTGTATCGTATTTTGCGTAGTAATTATAGGCCTATGTGTAGACCTTTTTCACTGCTGTCTTTTTTAAATAAGCATTGAAACTCTCGCATATAACTATTTTCTTCTTTCATTCATTGTGCAGCTTTGATTATTTGTGCATTGAACGTGCATTTAAATAAAAGACAAACATTATGCATGCCTCTCCGATGAAGGAGCGTCGCTTTCTTTTCAATTTATTAATTGATGCCAATATGCCATGTCAAAAAAGATCTGAGTATTTTGTTAAGTAACAATTCAAACATTCCTGGTGTCAGCAAGTCGGCAGTTAAATAAAGAAATGATAATAATAATAAAACTCACTATCATCTGATATAAATTTTTAAGGGCAATCTTAACAACATCGGATTATAAAAATAATCGTCATCATGTATCACAATCACAAAAGCGTAAAATCAGTAAATCAGCAATTCTTATAAAGTCATTGTCATCAGAAAGTGTTAAACAAAGAGCGAACCAGATGGTAGCACTGAGACAGAGTGGTCTTGTGCCCACAAGTGCCCACATTTCTTTGTATTAAGTGCCCATTTACATTATCATACGTGCCTCTATTCATCTCAGATGAGTGCCCTTTTTCAGGTACAAGAAGTGCCCCTTACCACCTCCTTTTCAAATCTAAGGTGCCTTTTATTTTGACAAGTGCCTATTTTCCTTGGGCCCTGATCCCACTTTTCATCTCTGGTGATCGAGGACCCTATTCAAATTTGAGAGGAGCCCCCTAGTTTGTAATAGATGCCCCTTCTCATCTCTGATGTGCCCCTTTTATGTTGACGCTTGACCCCTTATCCTTTCTGATAAGTGCCATTTTTCGTCTGATGATTGCCCCGTTTCCTTTTTAATAAAAGCGTATTTCCCTCTATTTCCCTCTTTGCTGACGAAAAATGTAAAGGTATACCCCGGGGATACAAAATTAAGGCACCTGCCTAGAAGTGAACCCTAGATGGTCATGTCGTAATTTGAGTTTTTCTTCCACAAGCAATGATCACATTATCTATCACATTTTCATATTATGGTTAGTTCATGCCTACTTTAAAAAAAAATGAAAAATAGGCACATTATTTTGTTTCAACAGAATATACATAAGCATACTCATGTTCGCGGATACCCGGTGCGGATACCCGGCGAGACAGTATTCGCGGATATCAGAGTCGACGATTGGACTGCAACATTTTGAGAACAACGCCGACAGCAACAAGTTCCGGCTTCCTCCTCAAAATCCCCCGAATCCGGTAGATGTGGAATTAATAGATCATCATTTTGTTTCATCAACTCTTTTTCTCCAGGCGTGCTCTAACATCATCGTTGCGTTCAACATGGGTGGTGGAGATTTGGTGAGTTTTTTATGGGCAATAGTTAAGCTTCTACTACGCCGTACACGAATGTGATCAAGTGGGACCGTAGTGTAACTTGACTTGTATATTAGTGTATGATTTCATGATTTGATTTGATGAAGGGAGCCGGGGGGCTAATTTTTTTTTCCCAAACAGGTTTGTCAATGCTAATATTTCCGGTCATCTGATTGGCTGATATATTACGTCACTAGCAATGACGTAACCGTTAGGGTGAGTGATAGGGGTATAGAAATCATGCAGAATCACTTTTCATCAACCCATCGTTGGCTCAATCGGTAAGGTCAGCGTAATGCAATCATAGAGTTGTGGGTTCAAGTCTCAGTTTATTCCGTATTTTTGCCTTTATAAATAGTGGGGCAAAGCAATAAAAAATCAAAGTCTAATTGTTTGTGACCTCTTTCCAAGCTGCTAATGACGTATCAGCCATTGGAGAAGAACGGAAATATAAGAAATTGCAAACCTGTTTGGGAATAAAAATTTCGCCGCCGGGGGGGGGGGGGGGGGGGGGTGTAACTCCGTGAATATTTGTCCTTTATGATATCATCCAACATAAATAGATAAAGAGATAAAATATTGCTTGTAAAATTCTTCAAAAAACAGGTCAGACTAATTCAAACTTTCAGCAGTCTGCTTCTCTGATCAATCTGCTTTCCTAAGAGTTTACCTTCAAGGTTGGATTTCCCTATAAAATTAGGTAGCCAAGTATTCTTTGTTAGTGAGACCAATTCTTGAATTTGTTTGTTTAGAATATGAAGAAATCGTGGCACCCTCAGAGGATGGATAACCAGGAGAAGGTTTGGAAGAAAGAGAATGCAGAGAAGAAAGAACGACAGAGAATGATGGAGCTCAAGAGACAAATGCAGGAAGAGAGAGATCTGGAAGAAATAAAGAAACATGGAGAGAATAGTGGTACTCTCAAGTAAGTTCATTTATTATGTTATTTGTTAATATATTAATAATTCTGAGACATTTTCAAACACCATTTTTTTTTCAGTAACTTAGTATAGTAGGGGATAATATATCTATCACATACCTTTAATTGTTATTTTGACCGGTTGGTCAGTGAAGTAAAATATCATTGCTTACTTTTCAGCCTCTGTATGTTATGAGGACAAGGCTCTACATTAACTGTTTTGGAAGGGGGTCTGGATTGACCTTTTTAGATTCTGTATGTACAAGTTCTATGTAAAAATTTCCAAATTTTGGGAGTCTGGACTCAGGTGTTTGGCACCAATGTGTTCAGGGTCTCTGTTAGTGATGAGCATTTTAGGCATGATACATGTCAAACGAGTTTTTAAAATACTGATACGGGTTGTTTGATTGGAATTTATTACATTTAAATTCATGTGTAGAACCAGGACAAATAGACTTTGGTATTTAGATGCAGTATTTTGCTATAAATGAATGAATTGTACAGCTGTTATCATGTTAAATTGTATACTGTACTCCTGAACAACAAGTGAATTCAATGAAGTATCTGTTTATATTGCAGGAAGAAGAAGGATCGAGTGGACTGGATGTACAACCAACCACAGGTCAATGAAGAAGATTACCTGATGGGCAAGAAGGTTGATAAAGCCATCATGGAACACCAGGAAACAAAGGTAAATACAAACCAAAATTTAGGATACAAAGGACTGGCTTTTTATAATTTATATGATTAGATTGGGAAATGTGTGTCATTCTAGGGTTTAATCCAAAAATTTGGTTAGTGTACAATATCAACCGTCGACTCCGTGTGGAGCGATTGTCACCAAAATCTATGTTAATCCATTGCCTGCCTTAACCAGATAGCTTATGTATTAAAGCCTATGGAAGTGAGAGAATCCATTAGTCAATGGATTAATCATATTTGTTATGAAGAGAGTAACACCACCTTGGTCTGTATGTCTTTGAAACAGTTTGCAAGCAGCATAGATGCAAGATTGTCCAACTTTAGCATTGCCTTCATTTAATCTATTCATCACTTGAACTATTTCACAGCAATGGTCAATATTAAAGGAATATCATCTTTCAGCAGAAATATGTTTTCATCCTTTTGTACACCTGATTTTTGTTTGCAGGCTAAAGTAGCAGCTAGTGGAGGAGCATCAGGTCTGATTGTAGATATGGCGGCTAAAGTGAAAGAGGATCCTCTCTTTGCTATCAAGTAAGTTACCTCATCAATGCTTTAAGTCATCTAACAATGTTAAATCTGAGATGCATGGCCTTGCCTCCACATTACTTAAACCAGCCCCCCCCCCCCCCAATGATGTGTCAATGCAAACCATTTTACATGTAAATGAATGGCAAGTGGGATGAACGAAAAAAAGGTAAAAGATTTTGTCATTTTTAGCAGTTACTATTGAATAAATATGCACTCATACATGCAATTTTGTTTCATATACAGCGAAGAGTCTAATAAATATTGCTCAAAGCACCCATGCATCCACCTTTGTTGTGTAATGCTATTAACTTTTAACAGGATATCTTTTGTTCAACCTCTAATTTCATTTTTATTCTTCTAGAAAACAAGAGATGGGTCACAAGAAAGCTCTGATGAACAACCCAATTAGAATGAAGCAGCTCCAGTTAATGGTAAGTACGCCGGTTGCTGTGATGGACAATTTGTTCAGATTTGATAGAATTGTTTGATTTGAGGGGAAGCATAACATAAAATGAAAATGGACAAAGTTTTCAGGTTTTCAGTCGTAAGCAATATTGCACTACTGTTAGATTAATATTATATTTTTGTACAAGTAGTTTTGTTATATTACATCAGTGTATTACTATTCAGACACCTCCCATTATAATTTTTTTAGTTACCCTATGGTAAATTATAGTATGAAATTTGAGCTACCAAGTAGATAAAATATAACGCAAAATACTTGCAAGTTTCCTTATCTTACAAATTCTAGTTTTGATTTGTCACGATGTTTATTTAAGATTAATTAGTCTGCTAAATCTGCTTTAATAAGTTTATCATGAAAATATATATTTTTTTAAATGAGGATCATGATTTTTTTCTTTCTTATTTCTAGTTAAAAGCACAGGTGGCAGCCAAAGAAAAGTCCAAGAAAAGTAAGAAGAGCAAGGAAGGAAAGAAACATAAAAAATCAAGAAGAAAATCGTCCAGCGATAGTGAAAGTGAGAGTGAGAGTGATACCGGTACTTCAAAACATGACAGAAGAGACAGAAGAGACAAGAAGAAAAAGATGGAAAGAAGGAGAGACTCCAGTGAATCATCAGATGAAGAGCAGAGGAGAGTCAGAAGGAAGGAATCAAGGAGGAGCAAAGATAGGAGACAAATAAATGATAGTGATTCAGAACAGGAAAGAAGGAAAGATAGAAGAAAGAAAGAAAAAAGAAATCAGGAAAGGAGAAACATTAGTGATAGTGATTCAGAACATGAACGGAGGAAAGATACTAGGAAGAAGGAAAGGAAGAACAAAGATAGGAGAGACTTTCATGGTAGTGATTCAGAACAGGATAGGAGAAGAGATAGCAAGAAAGATGAGAAGAAGAGGAGAGAGAGGAGAGATGGTAGTGATGACTCGGAGGATGAAAGGAAGAGAGATAGCAGGAGAGATGAGAAGAAGAGGAGACAGAGGAGAGATCGTAGTGCTGATTCAGAGGATGAAAGGATGAGGAAGAACTCTTCATCCCATCATGCTGAACAGAAGAAGAAAAAGATACCTCCTGGCTATGGACTCATTGTAAGTACTCAGACGAATGGTTTAACCCAAACTCTTACGTTTTCACACCTTGCATGTACAGTAGCTAAAGCTCCAGAAAAAGTTCAGAACATCTGTTGTGAAATATGTGCTTTGATAAAGAAAGCACATTCTGAATAATGAGACCAGAGAGTCCTTACTGTACTAATATCTGGTTTACTTTCCAAATGATAATGTGTTGATGCATTAATGAAAGGAAAATAGATGCGTTGCCAGCTTTTGAAGGACAAAGTCGCTTACTGGTCCATTTAAGAGTATCCCTTTGCTTTATACATTGAATGGAATCTTCTTTTTCTTCAGGGAGGGCACAAAGCACCAAGAAGGCACAGAGAGAGTAGCAGTGAGAGTGATCATACCCCTAACAAACATCTCAGACATGATGATAGGAACAGAGATAGAAGAAGGTCAAGGTCACCTGTCAAGCAACGGAAATCAAAGTAAGCCAAAAAGTTCTTGTGTTGCTCATTGTTCTTAATGCCTAATGTTAAGAATTCATTGAACCTTTTAATGATGTGGTAATATATATCATTATTCATGTAGAAATATTGCAAACAGTTATTTAGAAAATATAAAGGTTCCCAATTATCAAGCAATTTACTTATGCCTGTTCAGTGTTGCCATTTGTTTTCTATGATTTATGTTTAGAATGATTTCTATGATCTATTTTAAAAAAAATGGAATGCAGAGAGCAACTGGCTTTTAGATATTGTAAATTAAGATGTGGTTGAACTTTCTAGGTTAAGCAAAGTGGTACCAATTCATACATTATTACATTGTGTTTTGGCAGGAAAATGGATGCTGAAGAGTTGGAACGTCGCAGAGCAGAAATGATGGACAATGCTAAGTGGAGAGATGAACAAAGAAAAGACAGGGTGTCGAGATACAATGTAAGTGTAACATCATCCCTATAACTCTACCATCCCATGCCCATATATAGTAATTGGAATACTCACAATAACAGGCCTGATAATTCCTGATTTATTTATTTTTCCCCGATTTTTTTCTTCTTTTTTTCTTCCCAATTTTCCCCTTATTTTCTCTATTCTTCCCTTTTTGTTCCTATATTTTCCCAATTTTTTACCAATTTTCTTACTCTTAAGGGGGGGGGGGGAATGTTGTTAGATGCCATTCCCCCCAGAATGCTCTCTTCTTTTTTTTTAAATCAAGGGGGGGGGGGGCATGGTTTTTGTAGTGCTCACAATCAACCCTGTAATAACCATACCCTTAGATCTTGCTCATCTCGTATGTAAAGATATGTTAGTTATGTTCTTGAAATCCAATGCTTTAAATTATGGATTAAGATTAATTTATTTCTTGCCAAACTTTTTGATATATTTTTACAGGCTGAAGAGAAAGAAGAGACAGAAATGGAGACAAAGAAGACAAAAGAAGCCAAGTTTCTTGAGTAAGTATATTTCGAATGATTTGTATTCATTGTAATTTTAGGACGTAGTCCTTTGGTTTTTAAGGTGTATTAGGAAATGTGTACATGTGTATGAAAGTGCAGATATGTATAAAATTCATTGTACAGTTTACTTATATGTGACAAATAATGTACAGTTGTATGACTGTGTAGTCTCAGATCAGATAATGGGGATGAAAATCTAATCGTTGAAATGACCTTGTTTTTCCTTGTTTGAGTTTTAAGCACATTTAAGGAATTGATCTTAATCCTAAGCCTTTGTTTGAAGAAAAAAAGGTCACTTGTGTAGAGGACATATTGTAAAGTATATCCGTTATAATCATGACTAATTTCAAGTTATTTTGTTGTATTTTCAGGAAGATGCGGTTACCAAGCAACAGTTCCGTTGAGGATCAGATAAAGAGGAATGTTTTCAGTATCCAGCGAACCAATGCAGCCCTGGATAAGAACTTTGCAAGAAGATAACAAGGTTGCTGTCTTGCCTCTTCATGGCTAACAGTCATGTCAAAAAGATATTTTAAAGGCCCACTGCACTACTTGTAGCTACTTGCGCTCTCTATATAACAAACAATGCCTAATCATGGCCATTGGTCCCCCATGATCCTCTTTTTCTTATGTTAATTGAGAGCTGAGTTGATGAGATAACCACCTGTCCAGTGACCTTACAGGGTGCTCTAATCCCTCCTGTAAACTAGTACAGATAAGCTTTAATAGTTCCTCATTTGAGATGCCTTTGGATTTCAGATGATAGATGAGGCTTCAACTCCTTCCATATTACTTCACTTTGACCATCAGTCGAGACGGCCTGTAACATCATCATCTTAACTTGGTTTTGCTTGTATGCTATCTCGAACCCTGCTTCTATGGACATTTCTGTTTCAAATCCAGGAGCCACGTAGGGATGATCTGTTTCCTTTGGGGCTTTCTCAGTCAGGAATATGGCAATTTTCCCAGTTTGTACCAGAACATTGACACTGCTTGATTTACAGGACTTGTCTTTAACAACATTATTTGCTCAATTGTAAAGGAGTAATTCTATGAATTGCTGGCTGTTTGTGTAATGAATATAGTACAAGTTTGTTTTTTTACCCAAATGTGACATTGGTGTACCCAGTTTCTGAGCTATGCTGACATTTAAGTTTATTGAAATGAAAACCGTGAGAGTATGATTCAATAAGTAGAGGGAACTGGGAAGGAATAGCGATGGTGGTCTTTTGATATTCTGATGAAAATGTTTCCGACTTCACTTTAAGGTACACCCTAAAAAAAGCATATTCCAGAGCAGACAGGTTTCTTTCAGCAACAACAACAAATATTTTATTCCTCACGCATCTTGTTTGTCTATTTTCCTTTCTTTCTCTTCACCTTCATGTTACTTCTACTACAGTAATCTCTCCTTCTTTCTAATCTAGGAGTAAACTTCTCTTCTTTTACTTGTTTATATGAAATGTTATACCTGACCTTGTAAGATAATGGTATGAAAGCATACCTGCCAACTGTTTGGAATATTCAGATTTTTCAAAATCCTGAATGACCCAAACAAAATTTTAATAGCCAAATTTGGCTTGTTTTACCATGTGCCACGATTTGAGAGTTTTTGAATGGCTGCAAGATCAACAGTGAATTTGTATTCGCTGTTTTGTGCAGATTTACCACGAATTGCCAGTTACACATGGTAAGGCCATGCAATCGCCTGGTACAGATTTTTTATTTAGTCAATCCATCAAATCCTGTTCACTTGTTTACACATGACATAGTAAAATGCAGAGACGAGAAATAAAACCTTGTATTTGGAATTTGTAGATAAATAGTAAGTGGGTGAAAGACAAAGTGCATCCAAAAAAGCCCACCCCCCCCCCCCCCCCCCACAAAAAAAATGGCAATCAAACTTATCTGTCTGTTATAAGACAAAGACAAAGTTATTAGCACTAAAGATTAATTTATGATATCAGTAGAATGCTGAAATCTTTTTTTACCTACAGCTATTGTGATATCATAAGTTGTGCATGTTAAGGCAAAAGTCTATTTTTGTAATTTCATTTGCACTGTATACATTGTACAATTTTGTTTTATGTACATTCCATGTTGAAGTGAATAAATGACTTTTTGCTAAATGAGACAAAATTTATTTTGAATGTTGTATTGTAACTTGCTAAATGGTTCTTTTTGAGTAAATATGAAAGTTCAGCAATCAAACAAGTTCATCGCATTGAATTTTTAAAGCATTGTAAACTACTATTCGATTATGACAATTGTTATCAGAATTGCTCCATTTGTGAAACACCAGCGTAACTACAAATGTGCATGTCTGTTCTATCATTAAAGGGATTGGGTACCAGAATCTTTGCCTCGGATTCTAAACAAAATCCTGGATTTAGCTCATGCTGCAATCATAATTACAAAAGACTTTTACAATCCGATCGCCTGTCTGATTATCAAGATATCAATATTTTTGATTGGAATTAGAAATGTCAAAAACTGCTTGCCAAATGGTTTTGAACAGTTCGTTATAACACTTCAGTCTATTGGGGAAAATGAATATGGTAAAACCGGCCACTCAAAATTGTTTGCTTTTTTGAAGGACTTCATGATCATTTTGAAGCGCATTTTTTTTTAAAGGCTTCAATGTTACACCATATCACAGATACTGATAACACGTAGGGCCATGCATCTCAGATTTGTAAAACTGGAAACTTGTTAAAGATAAAGACCAGTGATGGTCATGCGATTGCATTGTGAAAGAAACGTTGTGGAATCGATCAGAAAAGGTTGATCATCTAGCATATAAGTATTGGTGTGTACTGCAAGGTTCTGGAATCATCAAAATGATAAGAAATTTGGCCCAGTCTTTGTAAAGTTACAAGCACTGTACACAGAAAGAGGTATATGGGACTACGCACACATGCACGACATGTGCGTTATATCTTTCGCACACCAATAGATAAACTAATTTACCAAATATATTAATTAGTAGGCGGTTTCCTGGCAATGTCATGTCGAATCTTCCCGCCTCGCTCAGTACAACATATTAGTCAAAACATATTCTTTCACATGATTGGTAATAAGAGCTTCCATTTCATTTGTTGAAATTGGGGCATTTCCAATACTGGTCTTTACCTTTAAACAATACCTTTAAATGTCTACAATACAGACTTTTCCCAACGTCAGAAGATCTCCCGAAGACACTGTAATTGTCACGTTGTGTTATACATGTACTAGTATCAATCAAAGGCAAATCCTACCCCAAAAACTTGTTGATTTGATTGAAAACGGACACTATAACAATTTTTAAAGAAAAATCAGACAAAAAAATTATGGATTTTTGAATATGTAAACAGTCACTACAATCAAATTAGCAAATTGTTTATGAAACTGTGATGTCATATGCATACGTAAAGTAATGCCTATTTTGTGTATTGTTTTATCATAAATTCCAAATTTCTGTTCAAAAAACTATTTTTCTTACATCTTTGCCCAAACTACATCGATGGTGATAATTTATTGGACTACGTACATGTATCTTTATAAAGTCAGCATTTATTCAAATTCATCACAGGAATCTTTTGGATTCAATTATAAATTATACAATTTTTCTCCATGTTTATGAGAAATGTATTATTTCATTATAGGTACATCATTGGAATAGCATAGCTACACTGTACTATCAAAATAATGAGGATTTTAAGTATTGGGGGAAATTAGATATAGAGATTTTTAATGAAACAATACACAAAACAAATGGCCTTTAGCATACTCATGAAATCAGTTTGATGTGTAATTTTCTTGTTTCTTTGGGGGGGGGGGGGTTAATTAAACAATTCATTAATATCTTTCCTATTTGTCTGATTTCTTTTTATTCTGCTCGTGCTTATTATCAAATTCATTTCTCCTGGAGCTGTACACCCTTTTAAGTTAAATCCAGCCACATAATATTCTAATATTACTGTGGATTTCTTTTTTAATGGCTGAAAAACACCCTTCAGACGCAGTGAAACAGTCAACAATAGCAAATCTCTACATGATAGCTTTTATTTACAACTTAATCATTTGTGATCTGTTCATGAATACTTTGAAAGCATATTGTGTCACAAAACAAATGAGAAACAAAAAGAGGAAATACCATCAAAAATTGTTCTTTGAATTATAAAGTGAAAAAAAAGATGAAGTCTCCAAATCCTGACTTTAAAAACCAACCATTTGTGCATAAACTGTCATTTAGCATAATATATTTATTAAATCATCGTTAATGCCATTATAGTTCTAAGCTTTGAAAGATTATCAGAGTTCAAAATTTTAGTGTTGGGAATTGGATAGGAATAACCAATAGAGTTCAAGAAGTAGAAACTTAGCAGGATTGCTCAGGTTTATGAGATGGGTTGTTTGGTGTTTTGCCAATTAGTTAAGTCATAAAAACAAAAGTATCTTCAAGACCCAGAGGCTTTACGTCTAGTCATCCACCTATACAACTAGATTCTGAAAACAGGTGCAACCAATTTGAGGAAATTTGATCCATTACAAAGATTCAAACATGAAATGTATTAACAGCTATTTGAAGGTGATGAAACTGCACAAGATAGTTGATTGTCAGTACTCCTAAAAAATGGGGAAATGATTTGGTTACGGAAACATCACCTGTATAAAGAAATAGATTACCCCTTCACTTTATGTTATTACCTATACTTCTAATCTTAATCCACATACAATACTATATCTGTTATGTTGAATATCTCAAGGGTCTATCATCAATGAAAGTTACCCTATAAATACAACACTACTCCTATCCCTTAACGTACACCATTTTGTTATCTGCTCCGTCACATGCTATGCTACATCATATTCGATCTCAGTTTGGCTTGGAAATCTGCTTCAGGGATTGTCTCATCAAGGTTTTTGTTACAATGCATAGTGATGTTTTGAGTATATAGTTCACATTATCAACGATGCATACACTACCATGTAAGCACTTTTAACTCCTGAATAAACATGTTGAGGAATAAAACTATAGGTGTATACAAAATGAAATGATGGCATGGTTCCTAATTTAAATACTGTTATCAATTAAAACTGATGACAGGACAGAGGAGGTGAGTATTAATCAAATTCCATTCCATGGAAAAAATCCTTTGAGGAATGATTTTCATGAGATATATATGAATTTATGAACAAGTATTGAAAAATGTGAACAAAAATGTATTAACAAAAATATTTCACGAATACAACTATGCCTATAACGATATTCAACTTCTTGCATCTAACAAGTGATGGACTTTAACCATTGCCCCTGTGACCCTCAAATTGATTAAATTCATCCTACTTATTCTTATCAAACTATTGACATTAACCACTATCATTACCAAAATGATTGACATTATATCACGTTTTCCTCCTACAAGTATAACATACACGTCCCTTTAAACATTGGACTGTGAGATATGAGATGCATCAGTTACTAACATTTTGATGCTTCAATGCATAGAGACCTACTGGGGACTTTAACATAAAGCCTACCGTTATGCATCGTCAACCTTTACAAACATACCATTTCATTGTTTCTTCAGTCGGATAAATAGCACATAATGCACATAATGTGTAAGTGCTAAATTTTATGAAATAACAACAAATTGGAACATTTCCATTGTAACCTAAACATATAAATCTCATTAATGGTTGTTGAAATTTGTAGGGGTTTATATCACAACCCATTGACTACTGTATTCTCTCTTTCCCATAAGCTTTATATAGGAGCCATCTAGTTCCAGTTGGCAAAGGGTTAAAGTAATTAGCAACCAGAGGACTTATAGCTCATGTCCTATCCAAGAGACTAGTTAGTTCATGATTACACATTACTAAAGCACTCTGCAAGGAAATATATTGACATTTCTCTCAATTAGTGGACAATTAATTTAATTATTACAGGAATTAAGTTACAACTTACTTCTAATTTTTCTACACAGAAATTAAACAGAAGAGAACAGCTCTATAAGTGATTATTCTTCAATACTACAACATATTTATATAAATCAAATATAAACATCAGCCATTTTAAATGGAAAATTTTCCTACCTAACATGCACTATTCAAAGCAACAACAACAACAATTAATACATATCATACTTTAAATATATTTTCTTTTCATTCCATAACAATATCAAGGATTATCTCAATGTGTTAAAATGCCATTCATTAATAATCACCTCCCTTTGACTGTTCCTATCATATATTTGTATTACCCCCCCCCCCCTTTCCTCTCCCAATTCTACCCCCCCCCCCAAAAAAAAAAAAAAAAAACAAACAAAAAAACCCTCTCTCTAAATTCTATAATCTAAACTCCATCACCTCTCACAAAATATGTTTTGTAGTCGATGACAATATTCAATATATCCCTTACTCAGATTAATCATTATTCTGTATTACTTACAATTATATTCTTTCTCTGCCAAATATATATTAGATTTAGGCCAATATTCTTTCATATCACTCTCTATTAGAAACTTTAAGCCCATTTACAGTGCGTTAGAGCTGCACAACACAGTGTTAGCGAAATCAAGAAGGTTGGATGGTAATGTAAATGGGCTAAATTTATTACAGATCCTGGCAAAACATTATGAACATTATGAACATTAGTAACCCTTGCAACTTCAGAGAAATCTGGTTTGTAACATGCATGATACACATGAACAGTCAAAGTTCAATGTATAGTTTACATTGAGGAAATGAATTCAAATTAATGTTTGATATTTTCTTCTTTTCAATGAGGCTTGTGCCGAGGAATGTAATCTCTTTTGCCGAAATTGACAAGGGCAATTAAATTGAACCCATGGTTGAATCATGGGTGACACATTCACCACAGACTAATAAAGATATCACTATGCATTTATGAGTGATGGATTGCATTGGACATAGGACATGCTTGTATAAAACCTATAGAGGTTTCAACCATTCTTTTTGTGAATTTGGAACCATGTTACTATTAACATTACATACTACAGCTGTAGGAATTCATACTACACTATAGTCTGTCCTATTTTTTTACAGCATTCGATCACTGAACAGAAGTGAAATAAAAGCATGCAACATTTCATATTTAGAATCTATGTATTCATCTATTCATTGAGTAATACTTGATGTCAGGATGCTTAGCGAAACATGAAGATGAATATCTTGCATGAGGCTGCAGTCATACCTTCCCTCTCCATGTTGTTTACAGCATGAGCACAAACACAATTCCAATCAGAATATTTCATTACAATGTCTATGTTGAGAGTCCATCTCTTATGAAGAGGGTGCTGATGATGCTGGCAGAGGCGACGCCCCAATGCCTGCCGGTAAGGTAGGTAGTGGTGTTGGCCCCGGTATCGAGATACCACCAGGCAGACTAACAGCTGGAGGAGGGGGCAGGTTTGAGACCGGGGCAGGCGACGCCCCTAGGGAGATGGGAGCTGGTGATGCACCTCCCACTGGGGCGGGGCTGATACCAGATGTGTTAGGTGAATATGCCGAGGAGGATGATGTGTTGAGAGCAGGGAAGTTAGCGAGATTGACCGACGGTAAAGAGACATTGATGTTGGGTAGGCCTGGCACATTGGCTAAACTCACTGGTGGCAGCATGCCTGAAACTAGCAATAAGACAAGAGGAAATGAAATCATAATAAAAGAAATGATGATGTAATTATGACATGATGACAAGGGAACTAAATCTTTACAGCACACATAACATTTGAATTTAACTTCCTATGCATGCTTATTTGAAATGACATATAAATTGAACAGAAAACCCCCATAACTTGAAAAGGGTATCAAAAACCAAATTATTTCTGCCCTAAATGTTAACCAGTAATTTTAGTTAATTAAATTTCAGGGAAATAAAAAAGGCATTACAAATTTTTGATAGGAAAGTCTGCAAGATTCAAAGATTCATAGTTAATGCAATACACATTTACCATAGTGAATCATCATCATGTACAAATTCCACAGCTACATAGATAAGATAAATTCTTGTGACATTCTTACTGGTACTCGCTTCATTCTCAATCAAGGTGCCACATAGCAGGTCCACTGGCCCAGTAGTGCCAGAACATGTTTGGAGTATCATGTGTTACAACTGCAAAATATTATTGAATTGCCACTACTGCATCTATCCTTAGGCATACAAAAAAAGAGATGTTGCATTGCCCTCCCAAAAATCTTGAAATCAACGGTCGGCTTTTTTTTAAGTTTTAATTTTTTTTACCGAGTTTTAGATTTTTTTTTTTAATGAATACAAAAAATATGTATTGAAGCATTCAAAACTGTGAAACATCAGCCCAAAGAGGGAGGAAAAAAAAAGAATTTCAACCGATCCATGTTTTGGCACCTAAAGCCAATACAAAATTATTTTTTTTTAGGCCTAATGTGACTATGGAACTACTGGATGATGATAGAGCTTACTCGGTCCAGAGAGTGGTGGTGGAATGGAAGCACCCGATGGAGATGCTCCTGGTGTTACATTGAGGTTAAGAGGAGGAACCATTCCTCCTGCTGGACTCTGATACAAAGATGGTGTTCCTGTTGTCATGGGAACCGTAGTCCCTCCTCCAAGTGTGACTGGAGAGGGTGCGGTTGCACTCAGGTTGGGCTGGGCAAGCGGAGGGGCTACACCTGCTGCTGCTGAGATACCAGCGGGTGTGGCACCAGTGGGCGTGGCTCCTGGTGTTAGAGCAAGGTCTGCCAGGTTGGTCTGGAGACCAGCCACTGAATTAGAAGGAGTCGAGGCTAATGAGACCTGTACAAATGATGAAATAAATTTATTACAATTATAATAAATGTACAACACAATATGGGAAAAAAATGATGTTTGCTTGGTATAATTCAAAGCAATTCGGGGGATGGCCAAATATTCAGTGAGCTTTACATTAAACTATGCTTCCTTCAGGAAGATCTGTCATATATTACCTTGAAAACGTTATTACCTTTCATTCTATATCATTAAAATTGTGGAATATGAAATCTTTATATATATATAAAATTATATGCACAACAATATCTTGACATATCATATCAATCTTTTTCAAAGTGGTTTCTATTCTACTTGTCTATATTATATAATACAAATTTCTGTAACTATTTCTATAAAGAAATACACTTTTACTTTCAGAATTAGCCATTAGGTCTTGAATCACTTCTGGCATGCAAAAACTCAGCATAATTTTGTGGGAGTCTTGTAGGAAAAATCTTTAAAATCAGATGAATGTAATATCTGAATGTTTGTGATGCTATGTGAGGCATACCTCTGAGAATCCATCAGGTGGAGCTGATGTAGATTGATCTCCTGCTGCTGCTGATGCTTTTAAATGTGCACTAATATCAATCGTCTGACCTTCAGGGAATGACCTTGTGGGAATCCGATGAAGGTAACCATATCCAATGCCACAACCCATACTGAGGAACAGGAAACAATAAAGAAAACTGTAACATACTATCTCTGAAATTGCATGCTGAAAAATCAAGTCAAAATGGTGATGGGAGACATAATTATATGGATGATTCTTTTAAATTAGTCCACTAGTTTAAATGAAATCTGATTGTAGGGACGTTAGTAATTTGGTACAGATTTCTTTTTTTTCTTCTTTTTTTAAATGATTCTGACTGAAATTGAATATAAATACTTTCCTTACACCAAATGTCTGTCATTTTCCTCATAGTATGCATTCGTTTGCGTTTATAAAAAAAATCCTTTTGTGCCAAGATTTGAAAAACTATTTTCATAAATTTTATGTCAAGAGTGCTTTTCGGCATTTAAAAACTATATTTCATGTTAAGGTTGTCATTAAATATCTTTACCACAACCATCTCGACAATGTAAGTACCTACTTTTGTTTTATTCATAAAGAAATGTTTACTTTGCACGTACAGTAAAACATTCTAGGGTGGGATTTGTTGGAAGGGTTAAGGTTTTGGTAATCTAAAGATAGAAACGTTCGAGTAAAGATACCTTCCTTCTCCTCCCCAGTTCCTATTAGGTGTGATGGTGACCTCTCTACACCCGTCTGTCTCGACGTTATACATGTAGAGTTTGAGTGGCCTGCCCTCGTGTGACTCGATCAAGGAGAACAAGTCTTCTGACTGGAATTAGATAAACAGGGGGGAAATAATGAACAGAGATTGAGAATAATCGGTAGAGTTAACACTTCATAAAAGTAGATAATATGACATGTGTTGATTTATATGACTAACAGTTGGTTGTACACAAACCTGGCATGCATGCTTCAAAAACAAATCAAACATTGCAAACATGCAGTCATATATAGATTCCACCTAAATGAAGTATGGATGTCCTGGGCTGCATATTATAAAGAGTTATAATTTATCTTAAGTTTGAGCGATACATGATGAGACATATGCTCAATATTAACCTTACCATCAATCAACAAATTTTATAATACATGGCAAAGGTATAGTAACAAAGCTGCAGTATGGTAGCAGTACTCTCAATGTCGGGTATATGTTGCACACATAATGAGTGAATGAATCCAATGAACGGGTAATAATCAAGTTATAGAGACATGTATATCTAAGCATTATAGCAATCCGAATAATTAGCATTTTAAATTCAGCTTTGTCTGTGTGCATTGCAAAGTATCTGAGTATCATGTACAATATCAAAATTACTGACATTGAAACTTCTTTACTTATTACTATTATCAAAGATACCGAGATGTGAAGATACAATACACAAGTCATGGGAAACTTTCAGCTGAAACGAAGAAGCTTGATGCTCATACTCACCTCCAGAAGCACCGAGTCTGCCCCAATGATGTAGTCTGTATTAGCTCTGAACCCTGCTATTGATGCTGGGGAGTTGGGTTGCACATCCTGTGAAGGAAACAAGATGGAATGTTGAGATTTACCCTCTAATTTATAGACACACATTTCTCACATATTTCAATTCTGTCACTTCATTTCATATCCCTAAGAAGAGCAAAGAATACCCCTATTCTCTGTAATTCCTTCAAAGATAGTTTCTACTAGTTTTCTAGCTATTTATATGTCAGCAATAAATGTCTTTTCAGAGCAGAATATTCATGAAATCATGTTTCGTTATAATCAGCATTTTGGGATGGATAATGCAAGATTTGTGTGATGTGGTTAATAAAGACTCTTTCCTCGAAAGGTACAATGATGGTGACGAATGAATTTGCAAAAATACAGTGGCATAGCAACAGAGGGGGCATATGCCACTCCCTTTCCCTCTAAAATTGAAAATAAATAATAAAAAGAAAGGGAGAAAGGAAAAGAGAGGGGCAGAGAGAAATAGAAAGAAAAAGGGAAAGCAATATGAAAAGAAGAATGATACGACTCCCTTCCACCTCCTCTCACACTATGCCCTTGTTCTCTCACATTACAGCTATCGAGTACCTCCCCCCCTCCCCTCCCCCCCCCCCACAAGATCAGTGCCCAATAAATAGCTGGACCCACCCAACAGGGCCTACACCAATGGCTGAATATGAATATGACTGAAAGGAATTGAACTTACCAAGACATGCCAGACATTCTCATTAGCACCTTCAAATGAACAAAACCTGATGCTGACACCGAGCAAACCTTGACCACCCCATCTGTTGTTTGGTGTTAGTGTAACCTCCCTAACACTCAATGCCTTGCTGCTATAAACCAACATCTTCACAGGCTTCTCCTCGTATTCCGTAAGAAGACGCTTCAGGGTGTCATCATCTTTGTCCTGGAATAAGAAATCAAGATAATTCCTCATCACCAAGCACAAGAAACTTATCTCAGCAACACTGCACTAGTTAATCCTCTTACACATAAACCTTGTTGCTAATGGGTCATTCCGTGACAAATAATCCCCTTTTATTTCTTTAAATTTAAGCCAGACCGCGTTCAATTTGACCCCAATGTGGTACGTAGTTAATAATCAAGGCTTTCTAAGCAGACATTAGAGATCTAGCCTTATCTATTCAAAAGTTTTCACACACTGGCATGAATTTTGCCAGTAGTAAATGCTTAAATAACTATACATTTACTCAGTAATGACTCTGATGATCTGACAAATGCTTATTGTAAAATTAATAACAATCCATATCATTAAGAAATAGATTCACATATATAATACAATAGATTCTGGTTGCTTTAGTGTTATGACTTACTAGTCTTGTGTTTCCAATAGCGATGACAAAATCAAAGAATGCTTCCAATCCAGCTTTGTGTCCTGGAGAATTCTCTTGCACCTGAATGAAAATAAAGAAATGTATCTTATTTTAGAGTACCGGTAATTACAATTTCATATTCTGTCATAGTTATTTGCATTTAAGCAATATCAAATTTATGTAAAGTGAAATCATCACTGAGGAGGCGCGATAGCTCAGTCGGTAGAGCAGTGGTCTCGTAATCCGGTGACCCGGGTTCGAAACCAAGGCAATGCGCTAGTGCCCTTTGGTTAAAGGCATTAATCCTCACTACCAGGTCCCTCGGAGAGGACTTAAAGCCGTCGGCCGTCTGGTTGCTTACAAGCATTTATGCTTTCTTAGCAGTCAGGTAAAATAACCATCACATTAATAGTAGAAAAAAAGATACATAAGGCCAAGTAAAATCTGTTTTCAGTTTCTTGTCCCCTCCCCTAATTTTAGGTTATATTCCAAAATATGTTACATGTATTTCTGACAATTTGAAAACTGTAATACCTCAAATATCATAGACAGACAAGTGACAAACAACAGCAAGTGCTACAACCCCATCAGAGCACAAACTGAAAACTACAGGAGCTCATTCTTCCCATCTACCATCATTGAATGGAACCATTTGGATGAAAACACCATCAACTCCACATCAACCAGCACATTCAGGAAGGCCATTGACAGAGCCTTCTACGTACCCCCGCGCCCTCTCTCTCAACAGATGCGTTTATGCACAGTAGGGCTCTGCATCGTACACATCCAGATCCAGATCCAGACTGGTTTTGGCATGAACTGCTGTGCATGTTGAGCAGGAAATTAGCTTGAAAGACTCTCTCATCTCTCGCATTTAGGAGACTGTCTGTACTGTCAGAGACTTCTGTCAACAGTTTTGGTAGCCTATTTGGGAGACTCCCATTATAGACAACTATTTCCTTTTATTTGAACATTTGCTGCAAGGGTTGGGAGATTACCTCTGCTGAAGTTTGATATGTGATAAACACATTTATCATGCCAAATTATTACTTTTAACCATCTGATTTTGAAATGTGCTGCCTACTTTTGTTCATGTATATTCCCCAACCTCTCTTGTATCCTTCCTCCGCTCAGGTCGGAGATCGTCGGCACTGTGACTGTGAGTCTGCCGAAGTTACATAAATGGCTTTCTATAGGTTGTTAAGTAGATTTTGATGGGTTGTGTGAAGGTTGCGTATAAAATAAAGGATAAGTGTATGCAGCTGTGTTTTGGCACTACTGCTGATGTGTCCAGCAGGGAGAAAGAGCCCTGACTCCAAGAACAGCGCAGGCGCAGATTCGAAGTATTGAGCAAACTGCTTTGTGTTGAGGTTATCCTTAATATGATTAATAAGGTCTTGACACACAGATGATAGGGCTGGGCAAGTTGCAACAAGGTGCTCAACATCCTCTCGCTCTGCCCGACACAGACGGCAGCAGTCATCAGTTGCCTTCCCGATCCTGACAAGCCTGACTTGGGTCAGGTAGACTTTGCAGGAGATCTGGGCTCGAATGGTGATAGCTGACCTCAAGCTTGGGTTGGCGATATGCCCAGGATACAGATCCTTGGCCTTAGGTTTAGGTCTTCTGGTCCACAGGGATAAAGAAGTCTTTTCAGTGAGGGCAACACATTGTCTGGTCTCAGAAGCGTGCATCACTGCTAACTGTACCAGGCGCTTTCATAGGTGGTAGTTGGGGGGTCTCATTACAAGCTCGTCTAGAGTGGGAAGACTGAGCTGCTTGAGAGCAGAGCGCCATTGCTGGATGGAAGCGGTGTTGGAGCAGATACCATGAAGGAGCATCCTGTGTTCGATCCTATCAGAGTCAACCATACAGCCGACAATCTCGCTTTTTTTTAACATGCACAATGCACTCCATCACTTCACCTTGAGCAAAGGCAAAACTCTCTACAAAGCTTTTGAGGTACAACAAATTCAGGTTTTAAAAAATGTATTGATCCAAGTTTGAATGGGGACATCCCACAAAAATTAGCTTGCGCTTGTTAACTGTACATACTCAGTAGGGGTGCTGGTCCGAGAATGAGGATATCCTTGTATACGCGGACAAAATGCATCCTAAAAATTAAGGATAGTCGGGACTCACGGCAAACTGCTGCAAAATACATTACAATTACATACCGTACTGACGGTGGGGTGTGGGGGAGGGGGGGGGGCTTAAGTTAGCGACCATGATGATGAATTGCTTAGATTAATTTTATGAGGATCTGAGATTATGGTCGCTAACTTCAGGCACGCACGCCTGCACCCCACCATCAGCACGGTATGCAATTGTATTGTGCAGCAGTTTGCTGTGAATCCCATGAGAAAGTGTATTTTAAGTCTTTGTTTTGAGGAAAATACTGCAAAAAAGATAGAAAATTGACACAAAACAGATAGGCCTAACAAACATAACAACTTTTAAATTCATTACCACTAGACTATTTGAACAATTGATGAAGATTTAATTGGTTTTCGGTATGTTTTAGTAGGGTACATGTATCTCCACGCCGGAGTTAGGGGTCAAAGTATGGATATGATTTTGAATTAGCGCCCAATTATTTGTTATGTGGTTGCTAATAATTGCATGAGCTTCACTAGACAGAAATAACCATCTGATTTGGGTCATTTCTTTAATAAAACTGACATTTGTTGACATTCCCCAATACAGATGGTAACCCAGAGATCTCGTACCGTGGGGGTAGCTAGAGCCAACAATGTACATCTTTTCGTTCAAAACATTTCCTCCCCGATTTTCTTTATTTAGATCTAATTTTTTGATTTCTAAATCAGATGTAAATTAGGTCGGTATGTCATTTGTCCTAATTGCAGTTATCAAAATTTGATAACTTAATATTAAATGTATAATTTACGGACTTACTTATATGAATTATTCAATTTGTATCTCAGAACTGTGAAACAGTACGTTCATGCACTCGAACATAGGGGTATATGACCCGGCGGCCAAAATATTTCCGGGTCAACCTACCAAAACATAGCCAAATGGCCAATCAGAGCACTCGTTTCGTGGGAGTTCGTTGGTCAAGCCGGGCTGACTCATACTCGAACGTAGCTACGGTAGCTATTGGACGTTCGAAAAGAAAAAATGAATATTCATCAACTAAAACCAAGACGGATAATGTTGACGACGAGACTTTCTCTCAGATTAATCATTAATTTAGGATCTAAATGAGCAAGCTATCGTAAGTCAAATAAGCTATAAATATATTATTTTTAATTTTTATTATAATTGCAGCAGTTATGACTGAGGAGGTAAAGAGTAGGGAGGCCAATGCCCAAATCTAACTTTTTAATTACTAATTTGTTTATACTAAAACTAAGATTAAAGAAAGCATTTACTTTCACTAAGAAAATCCACCCATCTGCCGACTCCAGAAGTTCCATCAAATAGGAGATATCCAGCTCTTTTTATCCAGCTTCCTTCTACGCCTTTCCGTACGTAAGAGCCTTGAAACAATTATATTTCATGTCTCAAAGTTACGTTCATAATTAGACAGGCCCGAGGGACAAAGTTCATGATGAAGTTTAAAACTTCGCGCGAAAGTGCAATCACTCAACAGCGGCTAGCCTTGAATCGGTCGCACACGTACACACCGACACAGACAAGCCCCGATCCATCAATGTGCGAACGATTACATCTTCTACTACTACGAGCCGAAGACGATGGTTCAAAAATGAAGAATAGATATCAAAATTGGCAGAAAAGAAATATATATAATTCATTGATATTTACCTTAGATGTGTATTCCAATAATTTGATTTCCTCATGAGTATTCCTTATTATTAATGATCGAGAAGTTACGAGGTCCAATTAACATCCATCTTGCAGCGAACACAATCATAGCGCACATCCATGCATGCAACGTACGTGTACTAATATTTCTCTCACTCTCTCTCTCTCTCTCCCTTTTGCTATACGTAACATACACACTCACTAACCATGTATCATACAACACACACCTTCAAATCATGGCTTTCATTTCAATTCTCAATTGGAGTATAGACTGCTCACGTAGACTTTTTTTTTTACTGAAATATCTTTTTTAACACTTCTCATACATTACTGCACGACACTCGTATCTAGTGCTGTGAGAATAAGGTACTAGGATCTATAAATAAGACTACGCTTTGCGCACGATCTGACCGGAGCTCAGATTATGTCGCAATGCCCTTTATTTTTGGCGCGAACAATGACGTCACTGTTCACTGTTTTCCTTCTCATTTTGAGATGGATGTAGCTATAGGGCTCAAACCAACGCAATATTGACAGAAACATCGTACTCTATCTACTTTCGAATGTTCAGTTTGTAAAAATCTGTATTTAAAAAAAATAAAATCTTTTTTCTTTATATTTTCTAGTTGTTAGAAGTGGCAATTGTGAACATCTGAAATGTTGATCTCTATCAAAAGTTCTTTACTCAAAACGGATCCCATATTTTTAGGGTCTACCTTCTGCCAATGAGAAGGTTTTTAGTGAGCAAACCTCTACGCCCTCTAGGATTTTCTTAGTCGGTGGTGCGAGTGCGTCAAGGTCGTCTGCAACCACAATTATTGGATTAAAAAACGTCAAAATCTGCAAGATTGTCAACAAATGGTGAAAGACTGTTACAGATCCGTGATTATAGGTATGTTGTGAAATGTATAATTGTATTTTCTTTTCTTATTTTCTTCAATTTTTATTTTTACATCATTTTTTTCCCTTTGCTAATTTTTTGAAGTGGGCGACGAGCGCACAAATCGTAGGTGTAGAAGCCTTACGCCCGGGCATTGGCCATGGCCTCCCTATAAAGAGTGAAAACCTCGTTGCATATCTCATTCATCGCGGTCCGGTCGAACCAAACCATATGTTCCATACAGTCCCGTACAGTCCCGATAGGCCATACTTCAGTCTCTACAATCGGAGGTCTAGTGGAGCCAGACGTAGTCTCAGTGGAACAACCGACGACTAGAGAGACTGAAGTTTTCGGTCTAGAGCTTCACCTGTATCAATCATGTACTAACACAAAAGTAAATGGGTAGGACACTCCAACTAAGTGTAGCTTACCCTCAATACATGGTACCCTTCGGTGCCTCCTCCTGGTACTTCGACGCTATTTGCACCTCCCATCCTGTGTGATTCTCGTTGATTTAGGTCGTGACTTTGTATAAATCAGTCAAATATCCGTCAGTTCAAAAAATTTCCATGTAAAATACGTGTCTTTTATGTGTAATGTTGTAGCGGATGGAAATCCTCTACCGGCAAATTTTACGTGGCATAGCAGCAATGCAACATGGGACGGTTCTGTGTTTGAGGTCGGATTATGTGCGTGAATCCTAATGCAGCAATTCAGTACATTAAAAAAAAAATTAAAAAAACGGGCAGAAAACAAAATTAAATACATGTATTGTCATCAAACACTTGTCAAAACTTAAAGAAGTGGCACCCACAGTACTCATAATAGGCATATACATGTACATCATAAAACAAAATTACAACTGTGAAATTGATAGCTCGATCACTTTGAAACTATAATCATAATTGCAAATCACATAATAATTATGATAATTAATCAATTCAAGGTTTTTAAATATATATCTTCGCAGCCTTTGATGGCTGAATTGCGATATAGTTCTTAGATGAAAACTTGCAAAATTGCAACATATACATATCAATTACAATGAAAATTAAAAATGAAATATGGAAATATATGAAACAGAAAACCAAAGAGTTCGAATGCGAGTTTTAGAACTGGGTTGTTCAAATTACATCAAGAGTTTAGTGATTATTCTAAACCATTGTAAAAACATCTCAAGACAAGACGAGAAATTGCAAAAGATTATATTTTAAATTACAAACGCAAATTTGGAGTGATAAAAGATAGTTTATTAAATATATTTGTGGCTTCCACCCAGTAAATAAGATCGATTGATCGATCTGTATCAATATATAAGGTCGATTGATCGACCTGTATTGAAAAACACAAGTCAGAAAAAATCTTGGAACCAGCGGGATTTGAACCTGCCATCTACTGCTTGCCGGGCAGCGACTCTACCACCAGGCCATCACTGGTCCATGGCACAGTCACGATGAACTAGAAACAACCTAAGCTCTCCTGATTAATTCTGACTCATTAATATTCATTAGTCCGTTCATTTCTCCCAGAAAGCATTACATTTATAAAAAGATAGTTTGTTCATTAGAAGTACAGTACCTCATCGATTTACAATATATTTACATGGTAATATATTAAACTTAAATGTATTACATAAAGATTTTAGGAAAGTACACACAATGACAAATAAGTTTTTAGGAGAGTATAATTATATAGATATATCGAAACAAATTCTCTTATTAAATAACGACAAATGGTTACATAATTTAAGCAATGCAATTTATAGCAATTTCAATACAGAAAGATATCCAGAAGAGAAGGTGCAGCCACTGCAGTGCTAAACAATTTTATTTTGTTTTGTAGGGCGCACATGTCTAAAATGTATAGGCCTAACCAGGGGCGGATTCAGTCGGCGGCAAGGGAGGGGCCATTAATAGGGGCCCAATTCGTGAGAAACTATGAAAATATCTAGCGGCGGATCAAGCAGCCAGCCGGCGAATAAGCGAGGGGGGGGGGGGGGTCAGGACCACTCATGTTTTTACCTCCCAATTCGTGAAAGAAAATTTAGCGCCGAATCAGCCAGCCGGTGAATAAAAAAAAAAAAAGGGGGGGGGGGTTAAGGAGTACTAATTTTTGTCTTCTTCCCGATTCGTGAAAAAATATCTAGCGCCGAATCAGCCAGTCGGCGATTAAGCGGGGGGAGGGGGGAGGAGCACTATTTTTTAATATTTTGTTGGCTCAACGGGTGACCCCCCCCCCCTTGAGCCAGGGGGAGGGGCCCGTCTTTTTTTTCTTCAAAAAAGATTAAATTTACCTGTTTTAGGGGGCCAGGTGAGGGGCCCCCGGCTCCTCCCCCCCCCCCTCCTAGATCCGCCACTTGAACTAACACGCAACTTAACCGCAAAAAAATTTGTTTTACTTTACTGAAGCGTTACACCTCAAAATCTGTCAAATTGAGAGTTTGGCAAAATGATAATTAATGCAGATAGTCAGGCGCGGATCCAGGGGGGGGGGCCGAGCGGGCCTTGGCCCCCCCCCCCCCCCCCGCAAAAAAAAAAAAAAAAAAAAGAGAGAGAAGAAAGGAAAAGAAGGGAGAAAGGGAAAAAGGAGAAAAAGGGAAAGAAAGAAGAGGAAGAAGAAAAGAAAAGGGGGAAGAAGGAGATCGGGTGGCCGAAAGGGCCTTGCCTCCCAGGCTGTTAACCCCCTCCCCCCCCCCCCCCCCCCCCCCCCCCCAATAAAAAAAAATAAGAGAGAAGGAAGGAAAGGGATAGAAAAAGGGAAAAGAGGAGATACTGGCGTACTGATAGGGGGGGGGCTTGGGGGAAATCATATTCAAACGTGGTTTATTTCTAATTCCACAACGGTGGATTAAAAATACTGCTGAAATGACATTATTTCCGAAATTTTTCCTCACTTTTTAGTAAATTATACGTTTGTATGTGTTTGTTGGAAAAAAAAATTTACAACCAGGCAAAAAATATGATTCTTGAGATTCCTACATGTCAGGGCCCGAAGTACGGCGGGGATCGAGAGCATCGAGCCCCCCCCCCCCCCCACTTTTCTTGAAAAAGTATTTTAAAGAGAAATGAAATAGAATGAGAGCAAGAAAGTAAGAATAGTGAACTGCCAGTGTTAACAAAATAATGAGGCATCAAAATATGCTCATCTGACCGTGATTAAATGCCTAAAACCCCTAAGCTTCCGGGGGCTTTGCCCCCTGGATTCCATTTAGGGCCCTACGGCGGACCCTTAGATGATCATCTGACGGTAACTTAATACCTAAAACCCCTGATTTTTTGGGGCTCCGGCCCCTGGACCCCACGCCAAATAGTGACTTGCCAGTGTCACAAAATAATAAGGTATACACAAAAATATGCTCATCTGACCTTAATTAAACGCCTAAAACCCCTGAGCTTCCGGGGCCGGCTCCGCCGCCTCGACCCCACCAGGGGCCCTAAGGCGGGCATAGAGAACGGTACAACGCTTCGTTTTCTTTCTCTAATAATACTACGTCAAAGCCTCGCGCAGGAGGGGAGGTGGGGGGGGGGGGACTGAATTCAGACGAGCATTCAGAGCCGAGAACGGTAATACGAATCTTTAATGATTTAATGAAACGTAAAAGCTTCCGCGCGTCGCGCGGGAGGGGGGGGGAACTGAATTCATACGAGGATAAAGAGTCAAGAACGGTACAACGCATCGTCTTCTTTCTTTGCTTAATAAAACGTCTAAGTTTCCGCGCTTCGCGCAGGAGGGGGAGGGGGGGGGGGGACTGAATTTAGACAAGGATTAAGAGTCGAGAACAGTACAACGAATCGTTTTCTTTCTCTTATGATTTAATGAAACGTAAAAGCTTTCGCGCTTCGCGCGGGAGGGGGGGGGGGACTGCTGAAATCAGACGAAGATAAAGGGTCGAGAACGTTACAACGAATCGTCTTCTTTCTTTAATAGTTTAATAAAACGTCAAAGCTTCCGCGCTTCGCGCAGGAGGGGGGAGGGGGGGGGGGACTGAATTTAGACAAGGATTAATAGTCCAGAACGGTACAACGCTTCGTTTTCTTTCTCTAATAATACTACGTCAAAGCCTCGCGCAGGAGGGGAGGTGGGGGGGGGGGGGACTGAATTCAGACGAGCATTCAGAGGCGAGAACGGTAATACGAATCTTTAATGATTTAATGAAACGTAAAAGCTTCCGCGCGTCGCGCGGGAGGGGGGGGGGAACTGAATTCATACGAGGATAAAGAGTCAAGAACGGTACAACGCATCGTCTTCTTTCTTTGCTTAATAAAACGTCAAAGTTTCCGCGCTTCGCGCAGGAGGGGGAGGGGGGGGGACTGAATTTAGACAAGGATTAAGAGTCGAGAACAGTACAACGAATCGTTTTCTTTCTCTTATGATTTAATGAAACGTAAAAGCTTTCGCGCTTCGCGCGGGAGGGGGGGGGGGAACTGCTGAAATCAGACGAAGATAAAGGGTCGAGAACGTTACAACGAATCGTCTTCTTTCTTTAATAGTTTAATAAAACGTCAAAGCTTCCGCGCTTCGCGCAGGAGGGGGGAGGGGGGGGGGGACTGAATTTAGACAAGGATTAATAGTCGAGAACTGTACAACGAATCGTCTTCTTTCTCTAATAATAATAAATCGGAAAAGCTAAATTCACACGAGAATTATTTTCGAGAACGGTACAACGAATCGTCTTCTTTCTCTAATAATATAATGAAACGTCAAAGCCTGGTAGGGGGAAACTCGCCCCCCCCCCCCGCATTACGTCACTGTTGGTCACCATAACGTACCAATATTTGGCTCGCATAATTTCAAATTTGGGCCCCCCCCCCCTAAGAAATCCTGGATCCGCGCCTGCAGATAATAGTAAAGTTCCTATTAATCACTATTAAATAACTGACCAAAGCACTAATACTTGGTCAACTATTTCGCATATAATTACAGCGCAAATCCTCCAATTCCTAGGCTGGGGAGCAGTCGAGTCGCACCGTTGCCAATCGGGATACTAATCCAACCACGCCATATGACGTTCGCATCCTATCGGGTACCCATTGATAACTGAGAGAATTATGTATATAGATAAAATGCATCGCTTAACTATGACCTATCGCCCTTAGTATTTACAGTCAAGTAATTTAACCACTCGACTACGACTGATTATTAAAATTAAGTTTACCCGACCTTTCGTGAATATACTAGGGGCATGTTTACTCAAAAGTTCGTATATACGTGTAACCCAACAACGTGACGCATGTTTTCACGACAGTTCATAAAGCAAAAAACCCGATGGCCTGAAGTAAGTCTTTTCTCAAATCCTTTACTTCTTTCATTCACCCCGGCCCCGCCCCTTCCCCTCCTTCCCCGACCACGTTAATCATCGGGAAATTAAATGTAGGGAAAAGGATTCATCTAAATAATATCAGGCTGTGAAACAAAGGGCATGAACTCAAGGATAATAGCTATTTTTATAAGATCATGCAAGACTTGAAAGTAACTTCACAGGAATATAAATTCTACCAAAAGATCAAATCAATGATATATCAATTTTGTTTGCGAACAGTCATTGAAAGAGCATGAGTTTGAAATGATCGAGCAATTATTACCTATATATCCCCATATAACTTTATAAGTGATATACATGGAGGGCAAGATCTTTGTATCCCTGATATAATAAT